ACCCATCCATCATCCATCCATCCATCCACCCATCCATCCATCCATCCATCCATCCATCCATCCATCCATCATCCATCTATCCACCCATCCATCCACCCACCCATCCATCCATCCATCCATCCATCCATCCATCCACCCATCCATCTACTCATCCATCCATCCAGGTATCTTTTATCCATTGCTTTTTCTTCCTCTCTCTCTCTTGCTCTCTACCTAGAATCTATCAATCACCCATCTGTCCGGAGAAGTGGCAGCAGCTGCCCCTCTCAGGTGGTTTCCTGCTGTGGGTGTGCATCCCCTCAGTGCCCCGAGACCACAACCCCTTAGACCTCATCATAGCTCACTATGAGCGTATCACTGGGCAATGCAGGCCGTGTTCTGCATTCCAGGGAGAGAAGGAGCCGGCTGGAGCTGGGGAAGAGATTAGGAGATGGGAAGAACACAGGGAAACATAGCCTGTGCTGGGGTGCAGACTGTACCCTGTATTTTGCTTCCCTAGACAGAGCTCCTGTGAGGTCCCACCCCAAATCTGTCTGCATGGTAGGCTTAGGTAACCGCTGATAGATTCGGTCCAGCCGGTTGCGCCGATGCTGTCTCCTAGTCCCTCACACCTGGAGCTTCTGATTATTTTCTCCCTCTCCTGCAGCTCCTCCTTCATCCCTGTTTTTCATGGCACAGCCCTTTGCCAAGACTCTCAAACTGAAGAGTCGCCAGTCAGTGTTGCCAGCTCCTTGGTGTTACATCCAGTCTGTTAGCAGATACCACTGGCATCATCTCCTGAACCTTTCTCAGCCCTTGCTCCTTTTTTTCGCTGCTCCCCCTCTCGCGACGTTAAGCCGGCAAATCTTCTTCCTTCCCTGGGTCTTGGCGGCACTTTCAGGGGTCCTGGAGACTCCCTCTCAGAATGCTGGATCATTTTTTATAATATTTTATTTATTTATTTTTAGAGAGAGGGGATGGGAAGGAGAATGAGAGGGAGAGAAACATCCATGTGTGGTTGTCTCTCATGCGCCCCCTACTGGGGGCGTGGCCCGCAACCCAGGCGTGTGCCCTGACTGGGAGTCGAACCAGTGACCCTTTGCTTCACAGGCCTGTGCTCAATCCACTGAGCTACACCAGCCAGGGCAATAATAATTTTTTGTAATGCATCAGAAGAAATAGACAGGTTTCCAGGGAAACCAGGTGCAGTAGACCAACTCGCCAGCACCCAGAGGAGATGCTGCTTTGTGCCCTGTGCATTGCTGTGACGCCCTCCATCCTGCTCTCTCTCTCTCTCTTCTGATGCCCAAGTGATGGTCCCAAGTGCAGACCTGCTCAGTGAGCCTTCGGTGGCTTCTGGACACCCAGCTTTGGGGACAGAGCATAGTACCCTCCCTCTGCCAGGAATATGGTTTGGTGGGGGAAGACAGTGTCCCACGTTTAGGGAAGTTCAGCTTGGTGCCCAAGAGAACTTTCTCAGTCCTGGTAGCGAACGTATCTAAGAACCATCACCGAGGCCTCTGCAGCTTCTTATGGGTGGTAGATGGTGGGATCGCCACCCATCTACCCATCAGTCCATCCACGCAGCTGTCAGTCCGTCGACCCGCCCACTCACACATCCATCCATGCATCTACCCCTCCATGTATCCATCCTCCACCCCTTCCTCCCTCCCTCCCTCCCTCCCTCCCTCCACATTCTTCCACATACCCATCCATCCACGTACTTATCCAGGCTCCCCTGCGTCCGTGAGGAATGACAGAGGTTTCCCGCAGGACGGGTCATTTTCTCAGGGCTTTGAGGCATCAGTAAGAGTTTTTCTGGCATGAGAGGAATGGTTTGACATGTATGACCAAGTGGAGGATGCAAGCGAAGACTCAGGAAAGGTGGAGATGCCCAAACGCTGTGACTCCGACGGCCTCACCACTCATTCCCAAGATGCTGGGGACAATGATAAATTGCCTATCGCCGCACGGTGACATCTATCGGACACCACAGGCACTGTGAGGATTCAGTTCCGAGCAGCAGAGCCTGGACTCAGCAGGGTCCTGGGTGGTCCCTGCCTCCCTGGGAACCTCGAAGTGCGTCCCTGAGGACGGCTCCCCAGACCAGCGGGGGCAGCTTCCCCAGGACGAGTGGGCAAGTTGGCCTCTTAACATCAAGTCTGTCGTAGACTGACCTGCAGGCCCCTGCCCGACCCTGCGTGCACCCTGGTGCTCACGCCTCCATGAGGAGGGAACTGGCTGGCCCCCTTCACCTGCAGTCACCTTAGACCCAGGCTAGGTCTGCCACTGCGTGGGGCTTCACAGCGGAAAAACACAGAGTCGCATTGAAAACTCGCTGTGTCCCTGGGGTTCATTCTTTTTCATGCTGGGCCAGCAGGGAATGTTCTGGACGCCCGGGGATGGCCAGTCTGGTTATTGTGGCCACACACACGCCTCCGCACGGGGCCGCCAGTCCCTGTGGGATCAGCCATTCAGGACACTCTCGGCCTTTAATGCATTGTGAGCTTGAACTTGATCCAGCTGTCGACTGCGTTTTTTTCTGCTAGGACATTCATTCCCGGCACGAATTCATCTTGGTGCCCGGCTTCCCAGACCCGCGTGTGAGACCGTGAGACTGAGCCAGAATATGGTATCACGTGTGTGGACCTAGAAAAACACCTGTCAGAAGCTGTCCGGAAAAAGCAGGGTGTTTTAAAGGGTTTAAAATAAAAGAAACTAAAATTTAGCCAGCGGCCCTGATCTCTGCACCTTGCTTCCCTGCTCCCTTGAGGACTTCAAGCTCCATCTGTACCCGTCCTCTGTGCTCACAGCCTGCGCTTGGTACTAGAATTTTCTATACGCAGGCTACCCTGCTTCACCCGCCCTGCGCACACCTGGATGCCGGGATTTCAGGGGTTCGCCTTTGTTCCGGAAAACCTTGGCCTGGGGTGAGCAGACACAGGCGTGGGATGCATGCTTGGCCCCTGCCTCTTGTCCTGGTGGCTTTGTGGGCTGTTGTGCCACCGAAGTTCTTAGTGAGGCTCGGAGAGATGGGGGTGGGGGGCGGGGCTGCAGAAGCTGGGAGTAGGTGTGGCTGCCCTGCATGGTGCAGGGCGTGGTGGGGGCCGTGGCCTGGACACCAGGGTAGGGCGTGGGAGTCAGGTGAAGTTCCCTTCTCCCCCACCCTGATGGCAGCGCCGTGGGGTTCAACTGTCTCATCCAGAAAGTTTCAGGAACGTAGCCGGCCGTGGGAAAATGCACCGTGGCCTCCGCGAGCTGTTATTATGTCTGTATCACGCTTTTCTTGCTCTTCAAGAGGGAACCTGAAAGGCGGAGGCACACTCCGGCCGCCTGAGTTCTCCTGCTCGTCTGATTTTATTTCTGCAAATCGTCTCTAGTTTATCTTTACCTCTGTTTCTTGTATAATGAATACGTTCTGTTTGCAAGGTATATCACTTGTCCTATCTACGACTTATTATTGTACATGGACATTTATTTCTGTTCTAAGTTTATCTCTCAAATTAATTTGTTTTAATTTAGACATTTATTTATAGGATTTACAAGTTCTGTGGATACGTTCTAAATTGCGTAATTTACAATTACATATCATTTATTGTTATAAATGTTCATATTTTGCTTCTACCATTATACTTTTATCTGTTTATTTTTACATATAACTTTTACATATTTATATATTGGTTTTATATTTACACATACATCTTATATATAAACAAGTTATACACTTGGTAATCACTGTAATTGATGATTGTGCATAGGTTTTATTTCTATTCTAATTTATTTCCATTATAGATTTATGTAATTTATACACACACATTCTATATGTAAATGGCAGAATTTTTAATTTTTATAATTTATTATTGGAGCTCTATTCTTATCTGTCCTAGTGGTATTTCTTTAATTTATTTCAATTTTAGTTCTGTGTGTCAGAATTTTTAATTTTTATAATTTATTATTGGAGCTCTATTCTTATCTGTCCTAGTGGTATTTCTTTAATTTATTTCAATTTTAGTTCTGTGTGTTTCTCTCTATTCCTTATCCATCCCCTGTGTGTGAGTTATACACTGTGGTACTTTATAGGTATTTTATTTCCATTCTGTTTTTGCTGCCAGGATTTGTGCTCTGTCTGCATTTACTCAGACCTGCTGTGTAGACAAGTTGTACCATTTTGAGAAGTCCCCGTTGCGAGGGTTTCCCTGCACCGCTGAAGTAGCCCGCCCTCGTGATGGAATTTGGGGGAGTCCCACTGTAGCTTCGTCCCTGGTGACAGGGTGCCACCCCCGCCCCCACCAGGAAGCCCAAATACCAGGGTCTCGGGGACTCATCTGGGTTCCCCTGTGTGCTTCGCCAGGGTGACTCAGCCCCGCACCCCGGGGCCAGGGGCCTCGCCCGGGGTGACTCACTGTCTGTGTGCATGGCTCGGACAGCTGTGGGGGGCGGGCTGGAGACCAGGGGCACCTGGGCTTCCACCGAGGGACCCCCGGCTTGTGGTGTCACAGGCAGGTCCCCGATCTGCCTGGCCGCCTGGGACCTCAAGGGGGTGGGTTGCCGGCTTGACACGTTCGAGGACGATTGGACGTCAAGGTGTCCTCCCCTTGCTGGACACCCAGAGCTGGACACTCCACCCCTTCCTCCGAATTCCGGATGCGTGGGTGCCTGTCTGTGGGACAGCGTGCCCACAGACTCTCGGTGTCCAGGGCTTGGCAACCCTCCCCCGCCATTTCAAAGGCACAGCCTTCGTGATAGAACCAGGCACAGGCAAAATGACCGCGTTCTGCCCTTTTCCTTTTCTGCTAAATTCTACCCTTGTTGGTTGTTTTCAGTACAAAGGGGCCTATTGGTTGTGGGCGTGGAAGTGAGTGTGCAGAGGAAGGAGACAGATCACAGCACATTGGTGTGTCTTCCAGAGCCCCCAAACGCCCCAGGCAGTGCCCTGCCCAGCCCCTTTCTGTGTATCATTTTCTTAATTTCCCAGTTTCCTCAGATTTCCCTGAATTCTAACCGGACTCTTTTTCTCTTAGACGATTTCAACTTATTGGATGCCCTGGACGGTGAGTGATTTTTTTTTAAAGATTTTATTTATTTATTTTTAGAGAGGGGAGAAGGGAGGGAGAAAGAGAGGGGAACAAATATCCATGTGTGGCCGTCTCTCCTGCGCCCCCTACTGGGGACCTGGCCTGCGGCCCAGGCATGTGCCCTGACTGGGAATCGATCCGGCGACCCTTTGGTTCACAGGCGGGCACTCCATCTGCTGAGCCACACCAGCCAGGGCTGCGAGTGATATGGGACGGTGGTGGCAAGAGCCCGGGGACACGATGTGCACAGAGCAGGGGGTGCTGTCTTGGGCACGCGTCCCACCCCTGCGTCCTTCTGCCCCTGGATGTCTGCACCTCTGTGCCCGCAGCTCATTCTCCTTAAGGAGGGCAGGGAGTTCCTAAGGACCTGTGTTCATGGACCGTAATCTTTGTCATCCCTCGATCGAATCGATAGTCATCGGCCACCCCCCTGTGGCCCAAGGCAAAAGGCTGGACCCAAACTCAGCAAGGCAGGCACTTGCCAAGCAGCCGTAGGAGACTCTCACTCCTGGGGAAGTCACGCTTCTGGAAGACAAGCGGTGGCACACTTCATGGTCCCGGTGACCACAGCTTGCTGTCCTTTGTTTCCCAGGGGACCAGACTGGGGAGGGGCCCTGAGGAGCTAGGACTTCCTGTCAGGACACACCGTGCTGAAAGCATGCTCAGCCTCTCTCCGGGAATTTTATTTTCAAGCGCATTTTAATTTGGTGTGAAGAATCGCAGTAACAAAAATGATGTCCCTTAAAATTCTGTGGGTTAGCGTGCACCAGTCTAGCCCTAGCTTCATCATTCAGCTGTTAGAGCATCGTCCCGATACACCAAGGTTGTGGGTTCGATTCCCCAGTCAGGTCGCATGCAGGAACCAACCAGTGACGCATCAGTAACAGCTACCACAAAGCAAAGTCTCTCTGTCTCTCTCTCTCTTGCAAATCAATACATAAAACATTTTTTAAAACCTTACAAAGTCCCCCGATGTTTTCATTTTTTCAGCCCAGGTTGCCTTGCTTTTGTGAAGTCCTCGGAAGAGTGTCTTCGGGCATTTGAAATTGGGGGATGAATTGTCCCGATAGTATTTTTTAAAAGAGGAAGCAGTTGCCATTTTCCACGGCGTATTTGTGTGGGCAAAGGCGTTATCGGGAACGATAAAGGAGATGATGAGGCATGTGTACAGGGTCTTAAGTCTCCTTCCTGATCTCCAGTTTCAATGTTTTGGATTTCTCATTCTTATTTATTGACTTAATAAAAGGTAAATGTTGGGGAAAAATTAAAAAAAAAAACATGATTGACTCTTTTTTTTTTAATGGGGCATTCTAGGGAGTTGACTTTGTTTCTGAGCTACAAGTTTTACTTACAGAAATGTCTTTTTTTTTTTTTTTCAGACACTGAGAAGAAGCCCACACCACCCCCCAAAAAACCCGCTTCGGGTAAGAAGCCGATGTTCTTTGTGAGCCAAGAGAGTGGGCAGGTCATTGTCTTGAACCCTGATTTCCCCAAGAACTGGATGACCCATGGACAAACAGGAACTACTCAGAATTTGGGGGCTCTGTGTATGGTCTGGTTAAGATTTGAATTGTTTATGATGCCCAATGATTTCTGGAGGAGAGAATGGGTGCTCTTCAGTGAGGTAGTCTTGGGTCATTGGAACATTAAGTGTTTCTAGGTGTCTGGCTCTTGGGAGAAATAATTTTAGGGGCTGAGACTCCTGTAGACCCCATGAGAAAATTCACACCGCAGCTGCCAGGACTTCAGCGTCTATGCCTTCATGCTCACTGATGCTTTCAAATACAATGCAGAAATTAGGGACAAATACTGAAGTTGGTCAACGCTCTAATTCGGTGGTGGTTAGCCACTCGGAGTAAAATCGATGCCTCAAGTTGTACGACTCTTCTGAGTTTTTATTTTCAGGAATAATATATCTGCTTAATTAGGGGGCTTGCTTGTAGAAGGTTATCTCTTGAGTGAAGGGTTGGCACAGGTCTTTGTTCACACCCAGGCGTTGGGACGCTTCATACACCTTGCAGGATAAATTGCGGTTGAATAAGTGAATTTGCACCACTGTGAGCGGTAGGCAACACGTAACATCCACCTCGTGCTTCACAGTCGTCCAGTGTGTTGTGTGGGGTGGACATGTGTGTCTAGACAAGAACTGGAATTGGAAAACAGGTCTTAAAACCGAGAAGGCGCCCTGGGGAACTCTCCAGAATCATCATGCCGATTCATCAAGGGTACCTGGGTCAGGACCACCATTGTTGAGGGAGCTTGTCACACAAATCTGGCCACCCATTTCTGTCCCTGTGTCTTGGCGAACCCACCTCCTTGCAGAAGTTGCTGGCCGTCTGTGGGGGAATGGCCGGAGAATGGGAAATGAACCAGACGGAGTGTTCTGGAGGTGGCGTTGGAAATCCACCTCGGTCCGTGGGGTGCTGGTGATGGATAAATTACTTCTGTTTTTGTTGTATCGTGTACTCTTCATCTGAGAGCTGAACCACGTGGAAATTGGTTGAGGAAAATGGGTTCCCCATTGCCATCCTGCTCAGAGAGGTAGTCGGACCAGTAGGAAGAAGGGAGATGGGGACGCCATTCTCTAAAAGATGCCTTTGTCTTTGCTTTTTGCCCCACAACTTGGGTATTAACGACTACCGTCCCTTCTTTAGGGGATGACTTCAGTTTAGAAGATGCGGTCGCTGGGGGAGGACACAGTGAGTAACTTTCATCACTCTGCTTCATGGCTGACTTGCTTATTATCACCAAAGGGGTGTGAGTTCAAAGAGCTTCATCATTTTACAAGGATACATAGAGGGTTTTGTTGTTTTTTTTTAAACCAGGAAAACCTAGGGAATGAGCGTGGTGCTATTTGCTATGGAGTTTACCTTTGTGCTCACTTTTACTTTGGAAACTCTGTGTTTGTGGAAATACAAGGCAAGCTGACTGGCCTTCCCTCCAACGGGACCCCATCCATGGCTGCACCCTCTTGTTGCTGCCATATTGAAATTATTGATACTGATGGCATGGCCTGGGGACCCAGCATCTTCATTTGGCACTGGGGACCCACAAATAGAGCAGCTGGTCCCAACAGCTGCACATAGCTTCTATTGGATTCACGTGAATGGAACTACTGTCGCTGGAAGACGATGGAAGGAAATCAGCAAGGGGCGGGCTGAGGGCGCGCTGAGTAGACTGTCTGCGAGCAAATGGATGATGCTTTGTTGTCTTTGCCGAAAACTGCTCATGACTGCAATTCTTCTCTTTTACCGACAGATGACCCCGTGCCTCCCGATCCACCGAAACCAAAACCGAATCCAAACCCCAACCACCCTGGAACTTCTGGTAAGACCCCCAGATCTCTCCACCGGTGCCCTGGGTGGTTGCTAGGGTACAGCCTTGTCCCCATCACTAGTGATCACTGCACATCACTGGACATCACTGCCCCATCACTGGGATAAGCAGGCTGACCGTGGTTGTTCTGTGCAGGGGAATTCCAGTTTTCCCCCCATAGTGAAAGCAGGCTTGAGAAAGATATTTTGGGTTTGCATGTGATTTTTATGGGGCAGCTGTTTTGCTTCCAAGCTTTTATGGGCACTTTAGAGAACAGCATGCAAGGTTGGTGTGTTTTTTTTCCGTTTAATCTTCATTATTTTTTCCCATTACCATTCAGTTCTCTCCTACACCCCTTCCCCCAGCAATCACCAGCCTGTTGTCCATGTCCGTGAGTCCTTTTTCCTTCTTGCTCAGTCCCTCCACTCCCAGCTCCCCCTCTCCCCACTAGCTGTCATCTGCTCTCCGTCTGTGAGTCTGTCTCTGTTTTGCTTGTTATTTCAGTTTGCTCAACAGACTCCATGTATGAGTAAAATCAGACGGTATTTGTCTTTCTCTCATTGGCTTATTCTCTCAACACGATGCTCTCCAGATCCATCCATAGTGTTCCAAAGGGTAAAATTTTCTTCTTTTTTTTTTTTTATGACCGAGTAGAATTCCACTGTGTAAATTTCCAGCAACATTTTAAATATACAGAATCGATACAAGAAAAAATGTCGGCTGGATTTTTTCATCCTTTTTGCCTTTTTTGGCACATCACTATATACTCTGAGTAACTGGGCTAGCACCAGTTTTTTGAGTGGAATGCCTATCCAAGTTTCTGGTTTCGAGTTTTTTTTTCTTTATATATTTGTTAACATTTTTAACACAGAAAAAACAAACACTGTTCAGCTACCACTGTTAACGTTGGGATGGTTATTCTCCTCAGTATTTTACTTGTGAATTAGATAAAACAAATTAAGTAAAAATGTTCATCTTTTATTTATTCTGGGCCATAAAATAGTTTTTGCTCATTAATAATAATCTAGAAACATTTTTCCATACCCTTTCATAGTTTTCATCATGTAACTTTTTAATGGCAGCTCTATGCTATTATAACTAATCTCCAAATTTGAAAATGTTCTATTTTGTTTCTTCTGAGATTTTGGAATTGTGAGTTACAAAAGCAAATTTAAGCCATCGTCATGCAATTAAAACTTTTTTTGTTAAAAAAGATTCGAGAAGTCTAGCCGTTGAGGTCAGTATGTGTGAACTCCTCCTGTAGGGGCTTTTTTTTTTAGATTTTATTTATTCATTTTTAGAAAGAGAGGAAGGGAAGGAGAAAAAGAGGGAGAGAAACATCAGTGTGAGACACATGTATCTCGGCTGCCTCTCACACACCCCCAGCCACGGGCCTGGCCCACAACCCAGGCACGTGCCCTGACTGAGAATTGAACCGGCGACCTTTGGGTTTGCTGGACGACGCCCAACCAACGGAGCCACACTTTCTCCCAGTTTTTAATTTATTTCTGTGAATAAGCGTTATGTGCACTGTTTTTCTGTTGATTTCTGCCTTGCAGATTTTTTAAACTAGATACTTAATGACGAACAGCCTTTTCCCTTTGAATACTTTCTCTCTCGTTTCTTAGTTTTTCTAACACTTTCACACTGCCCAATGACTTAGGTAAAATGTTTCCCTTTTCTTTCTACAACTTACTTGTGTGTTTGTGCAATTGTGCCTTGGCTAGAAAGCCCAAGACAAGTTTCCCATCTGGAACGGCAGACATTTGTTACGCCTGACTTTCGCTCATATCTAAAGAAATATGTTTGGAAAGACCGATACTCATTTACAGAAGTGTCTTTCCATTCCTATTCCCTTTTACTTCCTAAAAAGGAGTAATAATAATACTATGTGTTAGCACGTGCGTGTGGTCAGCAAAGAGGGTTATTTTTTTGTTTGAACCCACGAATGCGATGACTTATATGCGGAAGGATGTTCTTGTAGAATGTATACGTTTGAATTCACGAGTTAAACTCCGGTGCGTCACGATAGATTTTGTGAAGCCGATGCATTACATTTGGTGGGTGTCTCCTAGGTATCGCGGGCTAAGAAATCATTCCTACATGCAGAGGCTTGAAGATTTTTAAAAGTTGTGGTGTTTCATCAGTCTGTGCTGGGCGCGGCTGAGATGAGTTTGGCTCTAGTGGGGTCACCTCGTCTGGGGTGGCCTGGCTGGGCTGGGGGGTCCCTTCCTTGCATGTCTCACACCCTGATGCTTAGGGGCTCCAAAGAGGCTATTCAGCAACATTGCTTGGTGCCTCATGTTGCTACCAGGTTGTTGTCAGAAATACTGGGCTGACCAAAAACTTCCTTCGTTTTTTTTTTTTTTTCGTTTGACTCTAGGAAGCTCTAGTTGGCTTCCATTGGCTCTAGTCGGGCTTAGTTGTCTTCGACTTCATTCGAAACCACTTTGTTAGGTTGTATTGTGACAGCTGTCACATCAGGGTGCATTTAAAAAAGACCGTAAAAACCGGTGAATTTGGGGGCAGCCATTCGAATGCTGAAGATGGAAGAAGACACGCAACATTTTTGGCGTGTTAGGGTTTATTATTTCAAGAAAGGTAAAAACTGAAATGCAAAAAAAAAAAGGTTTGTGTAGTGCATGCAGAAGGTGCTGTGATGGATGAAACGTGTCAGAAGCGATTTGTGAGGTTTCGTGTGGACGATTTCTCGCTGGACGGTACTCCACAGTCGGGTAGGTCAGGTGAGGTTCACAGGGATTCAATCGAGACAGTCGTTGCAAACAACCAACATTGTGCCACGCGGGAGAAGCCGATCTACTCAAAACATCCAAGTCAGTCAAGTTATTGGAGAACATGGAAAATGCATCTTTTATTTAATGGATAAACACCATAGGGACTTTTTGGCCAGTGAGTCTCCCATCGGAGTCCAGAGTGAAGACCTGGGAAGAACCCAGGATGGAGAGCGTGAAAACCGCCAGCCACAACGGCAATGGACCTGCTTGAGATCAAGCCCTTTCCGACTGCTCAGTTTATAGCCATCAAAAAACATGAGGACCCACTTTTCACTTCTTCGGGTGTTCTTTTTCTGGTTTCTGAGCAGAGTTTTGGCCAAGACTGGTTTTAGGAATTTCACCACCGAGATGGAATACAGTTGTCATTGCATCTTTGAAAGACAGCTTCCGTGACGCTGTACCCTGGTGGGGCCCCTTTGGTGGGTTTTCTTGGTGTGTCCCCTTCAGCCCAAGACATCGAGACCCCGCCAGCCATTCCCGTCTGACCAGTGACCCTGTTTTTCTCTCCTAGGTGGGTTATCCGATTCTGACCTGGTCGACTTCACGTCCGGTGGAGGTAGAGTTAGTTTCTTCTTCTGTATTTTCGCTCATCACCTGTGGCTCAGCTGTTCTGCAGAGTTACTAAGGGTCGGAAGGCTGAACCCTGGGTCCTGTCTTTCTGAACGTATCACAGGTGTAGACCCTACATCCTTCCTGGTAGAAGCTGGTGCCTGGCTGTTCTGTTGATGGTCAGGGGGCCTTTCCTCCTTCAGCGGGATGGAGCTCAGTGGGAACTTCCCAGGCGTGACCCAGTCACTCACTGGTGTCTTCTGTAACTAGCTCAGGTTTCTCATGGGTTCTCTCATGTCGCCAACGAATGTTGAAATCATGGCACCAGACACAGAGTGATGTCACCTTCCCCAAGTACCCTCATCACCCCCACTGCAGTTAGAAAAGTTATTTTCTGCTTCTGTCCTTGAAATCTTAGGTCATAATAGGGTTCAAACAGTATACAGAGTTATCAACCAACCAGTAAGGAATGACATCATCTGTTTATAATTATTAGAATGTGCTTATATGCATTTGCTATATTTATAGACAATTACCTGAATGTATTTTCTGCATCCTGGGAGTCCTCAGAAATATGTCTTGAATTTCCACCCCCACAATCACAAGGGGCAGGGACTCAGGTGGGGTCTTGGACCTTGGCCTGGATTGTCCCTGGGCCCACTATAAGGGGACAGAATTCCTGAGAGACCTTCAGGACTCACTAGACAGTGGCTGTCCTCAAGCCCACCATGCAAGGATGGTCTGAGTGAATTTTTATTCTCTTTGGGAAAAGTGAGTGAGACAGGTGATACCCTCAACAGAGCAGGGACAGCCTCCTGACGATGGAAAGCGACTCCCTGCTATTCAATGTCCCGTCCCTGCCACGCCCTCTTCTGTTAAGGTCCCTTCACACCTCAAGGTCACAGGACCTGCTCCTTGGGGTGAGTTCTTCACCAAAAATCTGTGGGATGTCATTGGTCAACTAGTTTGTCCTTCTCTTGACCAGGCGGGGGCGGTGGCGGAGGTGGTGGCGGAGGCGGTGGCGAAGGAAACCAGAGGCATGATGGGGAGGGAGAAGGTAGGTACACCTGGTTTCTGACAGGTTGGCTTTGGGTGTTTAAAAATGGCCCGAACGGCCAGCTTGAACCCCCCTCACCGTCCTTTTGTGACTGTGCTCCCATAACAGTGTCCTGCGTTCTTCCCTCAGGCGAACCCCAGGGCGTGGTCCCTGGCATCATAGGGGCTGTGGTGGTGGCCGTGGCCGGGGCCATTTCCAGCTTTATTGCCTACCAGAAAAAGAAGTTGTGCTTCAAAGAAAACGGTAAGACTGCCATGCCTGCTTCCTCTCGTCTTGCCTGCTGCTACCATGAAAGCCGTTCTTTCTCTAAAACAAAGCAAAACACTCAGACGCGGTCCTCACCCGAGACTGCATGTGAGGAAGGTGGCTGATGACTCGTCACCTTGGTAGAATACGGGAACCAGGTGGTGTCTGATCCCAGCATGCACTGTGTTGAGGGGTGTCAACGTGTACATGTGACTAACCAACCCAGAGCTTGGTTTTCCATCTGGAGAGGGACAGGTGACAGTCCTTTCTCCAGAGAATTTCCCTGGGGGGGTCAGTGAGATTGCACGTGAACGTCTTGGCAGGTGTCTCGGCACCGAGCGACTATCAGAGAACTGTTAGCTCTTAGGATGCAGTCATCTTTAGTTAACGTCGCTGTCATCCCCAAGGGGGTACCATATTTCTTCCGGACCTAATGGACTGAGTGGCTCCCTTTCTGCTAAGAACCCGGTACCAGCAGGTCCTGGGAAGGGCCTCAGGTGGGATGTAAGGTGAGCAAGGGTGAGGGGCAGGATTGGGTGTGTTCATGCCTTCTGCGCAAACCTGCATTACTTCAGGTTGGTCCCTGTGCCTGAAAGTTCTGTTCCAAACACAGCTGACATTCAGGTGTGTCCTGACGTCTCTTTCTAGGTTTTTGCTTGTTTTTTTGCAGGACTCACAGGGGGTGGGCTGTGATGTGGTTTTGGGGAGGGGGTCTCATGGGCTCAAGCCTTCTCCTCTGTGGAAGGGGCCTGCTGGTGTCCGAACTTCTCATGCTTCCTGTGACCTAATTCCTTGTTCATGTCCAGCCGTTGATGTCATGAACCTGGAGGAGAATTTCCACCACATTTCCACCGCACGCTGAAGCACACAAAGCTGGATTATACAGACAAAGTCCACTCTTTTTCTCCCATCAGAGTAGAAGTTTATGTCCACACACTGTATGTAGAGCCTGAAATTCGAATTCTACCCAGCTTTTGAACTCAGAGACATAAAGGCAGCTGCTGGTTTGATATCCCCTTTCTGGCACAGAAGGGTCTTTGATTGCCTTCTATTTTCTACCTATGACTGGGTACCTTCTCTCTGGGGTGCCCAAGGACTCACGGTTGGTTGACTTAATGGCAATCATCGATCCTACTGAATCCATGAGATTCCTAATAAACACCAACAATTTTAGCTCCGGTTGGTGTGGCTCAGTTGGTTGGAGCGTCAACCCGAAAGGTGACGGGTTTGATTCCCGGTCAGGACACATGCCTGGGTTGTGGGTTTGGTCCCCAGGTGGGGCACCTGTGAGAGGCCACTGATCAGTCCATCTCTCTCACATCAATATTTCTCTCCATCTCTCTCTCTCTCTCCCTTCCTTCCCCTCTCTCTAAACATCACGAAGCTTGTCCTTGGATTAAATTTTTTTTTAAAAGGCTTAACGATTATAACTGAGAGGGGGGAAAACAAAAGAAAATACCTCTTGCTCTTGCAACTTCTGGAAACAGCAGGGAGGTGAAAGGAATAGTAGTTCAGTGGAAGTGAACTTGTGTTTATTTTTCTTTTCTGAAGGCTTTATTTATGGATTTATTTCGCAGAGAGGGGAAGGGAGGGAGAGAAACATCCATGTATTGGTTGCCTCTTACACGCCCCCTACTGGGGACCTGGCCCTCAACTCAGGCATGCGCCCTGACTGGGAATTGAACCTGCGACCCTTTGATCCGCAGGCTGGCACTCAATCCACTGAGCCACACCAGCCAGGGCCTGTTTCTTTATCAATTGCATACTCCTTCCTCTCTGGTGATGCTCACCTCAGAGCATGCTGTCCAGCCAGCAGAGGGTCAGGCGGGCTCACCAGGGAAGCAGGCGTGGCAAGAATTTCCGAAATCTTCAGCTGAAACCCAGGTAGATCCTGGGGTTACGAAGCATTTCTGTTACCTGGCATATTCCACTGTGTGGAAATGGGATTCGGACGTTGGGAAAACCCGCTGTCGTCTGTCCCACCCATCTCATCCCTGGTATTGGGTTCGATGGAAGCATTTTGTCCATTGTTTTGGCGGGGTGGATGGTCTTGAAAACAGACAGCTCCTCGGGGAGAAATAGTTGCCCTTGTAATTTTGCAAAAACGAAAGCGTCTTTTCTGAAGAATTGGCTCAGGGCCGTTTAGGAGTCCCCTTAGGGCACTCAGAAAGTGGGCTAAATTTATTTCCCCAGAAAATGTTCTCGATAGTCTTTTGTTCTTCCGAGGCTAGATGGACATCGGGGGGCAACTTCAGTACTTACTTCTTTGCAGTTTGTGTGAGACTCATGAGCTGGAGCTGGAGTAAAGATGCAGAAAACAAGAGGCAAAGGGGAGGGAGAGAAGTTGGCTGGGCCTTGTGGTTTCAGTCATGACCGCTCTTGCCTTCAGCCACAGAATGTGCGCCGTTCACACAAACAAAATTAGGTGCTCTTCTCCTAGACACCCCCCACCCAATATGGAAGAGTGACTATGTCTCTTGATTTCCTGAGTAGACATTTAGACTTTTACACTCAACTTATACAACCAATTTAGTATTTATTATCAGGGACGTGGTTTTATGGACAGAGAGAGAATTAAAATGTGGAATCAAGGTGCCAGGCATGGGACAATCGTAGGATTTGTCGGCTGTGTGTAAGACTGCTTTGTGGGTTTTAATTCTGTGCTGGCCATTTGGAGAACACACCCCTGGGTGATCATGACCTTGGAGATTCCCTATGGAGGATGTTGGTACTGCAAGCCCTGGTCCTTGAACAAGCCAGGGCTTTGGGGAGACCGTTACTTTATACAGAGAACAATTTTCCAGGACCTGGTCGCTGTGTTGAGGTCCATAGTGTCTGCTGAGTTTGCGTCAAGATGAGTCTTGGGCATGTGGGTGGGAGCAGAGCTTCCTACATCAGCATGGAGACATGTTGATCAAATCCTGTCCATCTTGGCCAAAGTCTGCTTGGGAGCCTTTCGGTCACAGGGGTTAAGCTCAAGTACGAAAACCTATGTGTATCTCCAGCCAGCGAAAGTTGGTAGATCTGTTCCTGATTCATAAAGGCTCGAAATCACAGACCTAAAACTCTGATCTGGTTTCCACGGGGCGCTGCTGACGCTGTCTCAGATTCGGGCGCGTGGTTGCTGTGTGTCTTTGTGGCTTGGCATGTTGGCTTCAAGGAGCTGGGCCCAGCGCCTGCTGACCGGGCTCCTGACATTCACTGACAGAGCCCAGCGCTTGGCTGCTGTCACTGCGTGGGAGTGATGCTGTGCCCTGTGTCTGCGGCTGGTTCTTGCTGCTCGGGACACGTCCACCAGCTTCGTCCAGCATCTGCTTGGTAGTGGTCTCTTGAGGCTTTGGTGAAATGAGCGACTAGCCTCTCTTCCTTCCTTCCTTCCTTCCTTCCTTCCTTCCTTCCTTCCTTCCTTCCTTCCTTCCTTCCTTCCTTCCTTCCCTCCCATCTTCACATCAGTCTTATTCATCCATTCTTCAATTCCTGTTTCCTTATATCCATCCATCATCATCCATCCATCTACCATCCATCTGTCCATTCATCCATGTATTTATACATCCATCCATATATCCATTGATCTCTCATTTATCCATTCATCACTCATCCATCTACCATCCATTTGTCCATCCATCCATCCATCCATCCATTCATCTATCATCCATCCGTCTACCCATCCATCCATGTATCCATCCATCCATCCATCTACCCATCCATCCATGTATCCATCTATCCATCCATCTACCCATCCATCCATGTATCCATCCATCCATCCACCAATCCACCCACCCATCCATCCATCTATCCATCTACCAATTTTTTCATCCATCCATCCATCCATCATCCATCCATCCATCCACCATCTACCATCCACCCATCCACCCACCCACCCACCCACCCATCCACCCACCCATCCATCCATCTATCCATCCACCCATCTAACCATCCATCCATCTACCAATTTTTCCATCCATCTATCCATCCATGCATCATCCCTCCAATGCTTCCATCAAATCCTCTCCTCCTTCCTCCCTCTCCTTCCTGCTCCTTAATTTTGGTCTCCACTCCGATTCTACGTCCTGTAGCTGTTCGGTCTTCAGCCCCCTCTCGCTTTACCTCTGAGCCAAGCCCCAACCCTAAGCCCAACCCTAACCCCCATGTTTGTAACACTCCTTTGCCCTTCTAACACCTCGTGCCTGCGCTCTGGGGCATTGCCAACCTCTCAGAAAGTTTACTACTCTTTTCTCTCTTCCCCAACCTTCCCTTTCAGATGAACCGAAGATGTAGGGTGGAGTAGCACCCCCCGGAAGGGCCTCCAGACCCCGTCCTGTCTGATCAGGGTGTCTGTCTCCTGAGATGCACAGCCAAAGCGCTCCGAGCCTCCTCCCCTCCCCGCTAGCGAATGTCTCGGCGGTCACCTGCTCCCACACTCCCTGCCGTCCCGGGGTGTCCCTCGCTTTGCCCCTTTGTCGTACACGGAAGCATCTTGTATTCTTGCGCTGGTCACTTGAGGAAGTGAAGATCTGTGGCCGTGTTCCCTTTTCCGGTGAAACCCCACAGAAAGAAGTGCGGTCCATGACGTCCACGCACAAACCGAGTTCGTCGCCACGGGCGTCTTTGGCAGTGCATTTGGCCAGAGGGCAGCGGACAGCCACCATGCTCCCTGCATGGTGACCGGGGTCCCTGGGTCTGACCTCTCACACCACAGATGCGATTCGGACGCTCGGATTCCCAGCCTGTAGACTTCTCCCAGGGTGTATTTACCCCTCCGTTCCCGCCAAGCAGTCCCTGACCCTCTCTCTGTAATCAGCTTGTCCAGGATGTCGGGGTGTCTCCATGGTGGGGGAGGGGACGTCCACAGGTTTAGGGGTCACCCTGACAGTGTCACAGGTTTGTCATTTTTAAGGCAGACTATTGCTGGCCTCACAGAATTTCTGCGTCCGTGTGTGCCCCCGTAAGCATCCCTGAGTATTTGTTCCTTCTTCACTCTCCGCTCTCTGCTTCCCGGGCGTCAAAATGACCTTTCTTGTTTGCCTCTGGGGTGAGGGTCCAGCGAGCCTTGCTGGTGACTTGGGGTTGAGGTTTTGGGGTTAGGGTGGGGGTTGTTGATGGGGCGTTCGGGTCAGAACCCTACCATGTGGACCCCGTGGGCTCCCGCGTGGGTCTGGTCACCTCCAGCAGTCCCCTGCGTAACCCTGACAGCCTTCCTGATGTTTGCAAGATGCGTGCGTGGTCTCCCGGTTCCGGTGACGTGAAGCCTGTGCCCCACTCAGCACAGTATCGACTCTCTGTGGGTCCCCAAGGAGTCAGTCTGACATGTCGCCTGAAGGTGGAGCCATGCTGGTCCGTGGTCCCCAGGTCCCCACACGTGGTGGGCATGCTCATAAATTAGAGAGGTGTCGTCCCCATGCTGGCTGCTGTTGCCGTGACCGCCACCCACCACCCCCACCCACAGTCCCTGCAGAAGCACAAGAATGGCTTGGGCTTCTTTTCACTCGTGTGTTTGGCCCTTGCAGTTCTGAGGGCCACAGCGGGTGTGGTGGAGGGTGGGTCCCCTGCCATCTGCTCTCCTCTTTGGGGCTTGGCGTCTGGGGGGTCTCATGTTCCAAGCACAAAGCTTCTGCCCGGTGCCGCCTCCCTTCCAGAATGGTCACACGAGCTCCACTGAATGTCGTCCCCGCAGCTCAGAGTCTGGGGGTCTTGCTCAATGTCCCTGGTGCTGGAGACTCATTGTGACCCTAGTCAGGGGTGCCCCCTGGTGGCTTCATCCCTGAAAGGGGCTGAGTCTAGGGACAAAGGTTTATCTCTGGCTTCCTGGAGGGTGGAGACCTCGGGAAGCCTCCAGCTCCTTTATCAACAGGGTGCGGCCCCTAAACACCCTCCTTCAGAAGTTGCCTCCACCCAGTGGCGGGGCTGGTGGCGCCCGAGTCCTTCCGCCATCCTGCCCCCTAGTGTTTACTCAGAGGCAGCGCAGGGAGCAGTGGTTCCACGCGCTACAAATAACATTCACCCACAATGGCTTTTGCTCTTGCTGCATAGATCACATGGGCCTTTTCTTTTGTTCTCTCAAATGTGTCCAGATTTGAGGTGGCCCTTGACCGTCCCGTTAGAATCTCTGGGCTGTTTAGTCACTCACATTTTAGTTTGGTGGACACCCGTGGCGTGCTGTGCAATTAAAGCCCATCCGTAGATGAGTGGATGAAGAAGCAGTGGGACCTTTGCACAGTGGAATACTACGCAGCCCTAAAAAAATGAAAGGAATCCTACCCTTTGCCCGGGATACACCTGGAGAGCATTATGTTCAGTGGCATAAGCCAGTCACAGAAAGACAAGTGCCGTGTGATGTCCCTTCTGTAAGGAGTAAAATCAAGTGAGAAATAAAACACAGATTCATACATATGGAGGGGGAATGCATACATTCAGAGGGGAGGGGGTTACGGGGCCAGGTGAAAAAGATGAAGCAAAAAAATAGCGATAAACTCGTAGACACAGACAACAGTGTGGCGATGACCAGAGGGAGGGGGTGGGGGGAGGCAGAGCGGGGGAAGGGGGATAAATGGTGATGGAAGCAGACTCGGCCTCGGGAGGGGAACACACAGTCCAATATACAGATGCCGTATTGTAGAAGTATACCCCTGAAATTGCTGTAATCCCATTAACGCCCGTTACCCCAGTGAGTTCAATAAACAGATTTTAAACACGAACGATGTCAGATCCAGAGCGTGCTCTCAAACGTGGCTGGTGCTGGCAATGAGCTGGCCGACACCATGACCCCTGTGGCCCCCGGTGTCCCTCTGTTTTGGGTCTGTTTCCTTCTTATTTGAACGGCAGACGTTGGCTCTCTGGGATGGGGGTCACTGGTGGTTGGCTCTGTGTCCGAGAATCATTTCCTACACACCGTGACGAGTTTTTCTGGGACTTGGATGGAAAGTTACGTGTCTGTGGGCAAGTAAGGTGTTCTCAGAGCCGATGACGCCGCTGTCCTGAGGTTACGGATTTGTGCACAGGTCACAGGGTCTCATGGCCCCGATGCCCTTGTCCGGGTCCCTTTTCCCATGGGAAAAGTGCCGGCTTGCCTCTTCCTGGGCAGAAAAGAAATGCGTACGTCTCGTTCTTGCAGGTCTGGCGTGCTGTCCCTTGGTTGCCTGAGGCCACGCACCTTGGGGACCATGCTGGGGGCAGGTCGTGGATGTGTTGCTGTGTGTTTGCAAAATTTTGCAAATAAAAAAAAAGTAGATGGCAGTCAAACACGATATTAAGGAGTTGGGATTTGTTTTGTTATGTGTGGGACACTGTAATACAGCTCTGATGTTTAAGCCTTTTAAAAAACGATTTTAAAAATACATGAAGACAATGTGGCAAAAATGGAACAAACCACAAAATCTAGGCGGTTGAAATAGCAGTTGCTTTAAACATTCTTTCTGCGTCTGTGTTGACAATGTTTCCTAGTAAAGAGTAAAAACAAACAAAGGCTCCCGGCCTTCTAGGCAACAATCCCCATTTCAGAAAGGTCCCTTAGGGAAACATTCGTTCTCACAAAAGCTTTATTTGTAAAGATCTTCATGTTGCCAATATTCCTACGACAAGCTGTTAGGACCCATCCAAACGCCCAAAATGAAGGAAAGCAATGTGTTCACAAATGATGACAGTTCCCTATCATAGAATAATACGCAACTATTAGAAACATCAGGTTAAGGAAGCAGGGTACAAAATGCAGCGTGTCTATTTTTCTTTGTAAAAAAAAATAAACACATGCCTAGAAAAGAAACTACAAGGATCTGTGTCCGAATGTTACGGTCAGTGGCCTTTTCTTCTCTGTAACTTTTCCTCTTTCCCTAATTCTGTGGGATACATATGCACCGTCTCATAGTACAGAGATACTTTTAGTATCAACAAAATACGTTGTCCTGATCATTGTGGAAATAAAGGACTGTGCCCTTTTAAAAAAAAAGTCAGGAGTGGGCAGGCAGTCCCCCTGAGCCCTGGCCTCCCGCTGGGGTTGGGGGAGGGGGGGAGGCCCACTCAGCCTGAGGTTGGTGTCGGTATTGGGGTCTTCTCTGACTATTCACCCCGGGGCTGTTGTGTTCTCCTTTGCAGCCGACCAAGGGGACATCAACATGCAGACCAGTCGAACTACCAACATGGAACCGCTCGGTGAGAAGGGGGGGCCGGCCCTCCGCTGGCCCAGGGCGTCATGGTGCCTTTCCTGCCGTCTTGTCCCCTTTCTAATCCCCTGTGTGACACAGACTGCGCCCTTTTCTCTGTCTCCTTCCTTCTGAGGGGACATGTTCCGGAGGTGACGTTGAAACTTCCCTGGGCTTTCAGTCTGCAGACCATTTCAAATCCCCGTGTGATCATTTTCCCAGGGGCGCTTGGACGAAATGTTCTCTCTCCAGGGGCCGAGTAGGGTCAAGAGGAAATTGATAAAATTATGGGAACCTCTCGGGGCAAAAGGCAGATGTTTTTGAGATTGGGACCCCTTTTGAAAATGGCAAAGAGAAAGAAAGTATGCGTGCAACTAGAAGATGCTTGATAAATGACAATTGTGTCGAATGAAATTTTAAAGTGTTTTGACTTCTAAAAAATAGACACTTGCAGGAAGTTTGTGTTTACTTTTAGTGCTATTTCTAACCGGGGAAAATGCAAGAGAGGTCTCAGAGAAGTGCAGCTGCAAATCACTGTAAAATAACCAAAGAAAGAGAAGCAAAACCCCCCAAGGACCCTCACCAGACAGTTATTTAGTCTGAATTGGGGAGGTTGTAGGGCTTTCTGCTGTCTGAGAGAACTCTCCATTTCCACACGTCTTCTCTCTCTTCCTTCCTCCTTCTCCCGAAGTGTTTATGGTTTCTGGCTACAATTGTATCACGCCGGTGTCCAGCTACAGAGTTGATTGATACTTGTTGCTAGCCCGGGAGAACTGATTGTGCCGTCTTGAGCGTCTCTGAGCCCCTTTATCTTGCATGGAAAGGATAAAGCCTTCACCAACGTCTCAAAGTTGGAAGGAGCAGATACGCACGGGCAGGGCGGGGGGGATTGGAATGCTAGGTGACATTGTCCTTTCTTGTCTCTTTGTCCTCGACAGTTCAACAGACGATTGTGGAGAAGTAGAAGGTGACCAGCGCACACAGCTTGGCGGTCACAGCAGGACGGGGGGACTTCAATGCGGCACCTCCACAGTGCAGCGGGGAGGGGTCTCCTGCACCAGCCCCCCTGCCCCCAGCCCCGCCTAGGTGGCCCCCCCTGCGCCGGCCTCGCCTCCCCCCTGCCCCTGCCCACCTTGGATCCTCAGGTTAAATCCTCAGAAGTGATTTGCCTGTCGCCGTCCGGCGTAGATGCCGGTGACCAACCAGGAGTCCAGCATCCAGCGGAACGTTTCCTGCGCCGTGTCCAGGGCCCTCCAGGGTCCCCACGGGATGCGGCAGACTGTCCCTGGCAAAGTCCCCGTCATTCCGGTTCCAGAAACCCCGAGCCATGGACGCATGCCGGGCACATCGGAAACTTCCTCCGCTCAGGCCTTTTCCCACCGTGGGAGGACCCTTCCGAGCGCTTCCTCGAAATTCCGTGTCTTGGGATACTTCTTACAGCAGGCGAATAAAAGGGCGTGAGAAACCATGTACTTTTTCCTGAAATGCTTTTGCCGTGGGGTGACTCTGCAGCGAGGCTCCGGGACTGAGTGGGCCGGGTCCCACGGCGAGTTACAGCTGGGGCGGTAAGACAAAGGATCGGCCCAACTCCTTGCTCAGAATTGCAGGGGTTTTCTCTTTGCCCTGTTCTCAGATACTCCCCTACATGCACATACTACTCCGCCTTCACATATCCCTCTGCATGCAGATACTCCCTGGCATCGAGATAGTCCCCGGCATTGAGAGTCTCCCCTGCATTGAGATGCTCCCCCTGCCTGCAGGTACTCCACACAGATACTCCTCTGCATTCAGATATTCCCTCTGCACTCCGATACCTTCTTGCACTGAGGTACTCCCTGCATCCAGGTACTCCCCTGCATTCAGGTATTTTGCGTCCTGTCTCGCCTCAGGTACTCCACCAGATACTCCTCTATTAGATATTCAAAAGGTATCCCCTGCATTCAGGTATTCCCCCGCAAGCAGGTGCTTCCTGGCACTGAGATACGCCCCTTCTCCCAGGTGGGCAAAGGCCAGCAGTATGTGAAGTGGTGGCACCATCTTTACGAAATGTTCTGAGTTGCTTTGGCGCCAGAGAACTCATTCTAAGTTAGGGGCAAAACCGCTTGGTGCCAGAGAGATCCCTTTGTCCAATTCCCGACGCTGTGGGGTGAAGCAAAAGCACGTGCTTCTTCCTCGCTGTAAACGATGACGTTTCCACGGCAGGAAAAATTTCCCGGTGTACGGCCATGCACGCCCCGCCAGGCCTGGCGTGGGCGCGCTCTTTGTATAACTGCGTGGAGAGGACTTTGCCTGCTGTCTCCTGTTCACCCCCTGAAGTACAGGAGCCCCGACATTCTAAAAGGTGTGGACGTCCTTGGCGTGTTTTTGTCCACCGAACAATTGGAATATCTCCCTGAACCCTCAAGGCCACTGCTTGTCCTCAAAGCCGAGCCTCACGCACCTCGGCCCCTGTTCGAAGGTTTGGTGTTTTTGCATGTGGTGGGTGGCCACTGTCCGCAGCCGGATCTGGGGAAAAGGCTGGGCCACCTTTGCGCCTGGAACTTCCCCACATGGGGACTTGTAGAATCTGCCCCCAGGAGCTTGTGGGGTGGGCTCCCGAGGCATCCGCCCTCCTACTGAGGAAGCCCTGCGCCCCCCCCAACCCCCGATTTTTCCCTCAGATTCCGCTTCCCTTCCTGCTCCAAAACCTCCAAGACTTTCCTTCTCAAGACTGACATCCGGCTCATTGGGGATTTTAGTCGCTTTTCTGCCTCTATAAAAAGAAGGGTAAAAAAATGATCGAGACCCCCTGCGGATCTGCCACAGCCAGGCAGGTACCTGCTGGGTGCCCTGGGTTCAGGTGTGTGTGCAGTCAGGGGACGTGACCTTCTTCTGGGTGCCGGGGGGGGTAACATGTGAATCACATGTATGTTCTCTCAGTCAGCAAGAGGCAGGGCCGACTGGTCACCAAGTGCTGAGTTTAGCTGATGAGCCCAAGACCCTTCGCTAAGTTTCGGGAACCGCTTGTGTTATAAAGGCGGCGAAGAACATGCGCCTTCCTTCCCGATCGGCCACTGATGGCCTTCGCGGTCCCACTGTGCGCACCGATGGGCTTTGTAAATGATACTTAAAAATGTGTATTTTTGTTGCTCTGAATAACATTGACTTTTGTAAGGATATTAATGATATGCTGTGGCCATGCGTGTCTCTTGGACAGAAGGTAATAGTGGAAGGGTGGCTATTTTTTTAACAGTACTCCTATTTTGCCATATATAATACACACTGTTCTTGCCCAAATTTTCGAGGGGAAAATAAGGATGCAAATTAGACATGGGTGGTACCAGTTCCATACCTACGTAAATGTTTTTAATCCTTTATTTACGTTTATGTGTTTAAAGTGTAACTCCAAAAAGCAATAACAAGATCCATGTGCAAAAAAATACCCCAGATAGGATCATTGGTTTTGCTTGTAAATATAAATCAATAAAAAATGGAATTAGAAGGTTGAAACGAATGTGCTATTTTTCCCCCCTGAAAGTTTGGGCCCAAAATGTGGGTGTGCATTACACATGGCAAATTACGGTATGTGGAATTATGACTCATAAATAAATCTGTACATTTAATAAACATGTCAGCCAGGCTTACTTTTTATGGAGCGTGTATGTACATTGTTCTTGAGTCATTGTAATTTCACATTATGGAAAAACACCCATGACTTTATCAAACATGGATTTTCTGGAAAATTGCATTTCTAATTAAGTGGTTCATTGCATCATTAAATAGTTTGGCAAAAAAAAAAAAATGTATGCTTTGTTTCACCCCTTGGTGCTGTCCACAAGGAAATCACAGAGCAGTAAGTTCTGAAATCAGGGTAAAATATGTATTTGAGCATGAACGAGTGAGAGTCGCATAGTACAAGTTTTGTTACAAGTCTGGGTCACAATGTCCGTAGCCAACCCCCTGTGAACTGTGGTCAAGTTTTTACTACCAAGGAAATGCTACAAATGCATTCAGACCTTTGCTAGTAAATGCCTGCGCCCCAGAAATGCCTCCCTCTGTGTTTGTTAAGCAAAAGGGTGTGTGGGTGTTTTGTTTTTATCCGCACCTCACAGTCGTGCCCCGTAAGGGTTATGGCAATTCTTAGTAGCCCCAATGATATGCAGATCTGTGTCCTCAGAGGTTGGCAAATTTTCTGACCGTTGCTCATCTGTTTGTTGACGCACAGTGTCAGATGGATTATTTTACATGGCATTTGTCTGGTCGGGAGTGAGACACAGAATCCATTGGCCGTTCTTTTTCCAGGGAAGTTCTCTGAATAGGCCCTTTGCCCATTTGTATCTGTGTCATTGGTCCTTTTGTTATTGATGTGTCGGAACTCTTTACATATGAAGGGTAGTGCCACGAGACTGTGAACTAGGGAGTGAATATGCTTTTTCGCTTTTTCCTTAGCCTTTGGGGTTTTGAACGGGTATTTTCCCCAATCTGGTTTTTAGTATCTTTATGTCGGGAAATTAGTTAACTGTCACACTGAGAAAAATCATCAGTCATCCTGACATTATTATTTTACATAAAAATATGTTTCTTTATGGAACATGAGCATTGGGTATACATTGTAGTTTGTCATGTGCCCTTTCGGAATATAATTCTATTTGAAACATGGAGACATTTTCCTTTCCTCTGTATTATTTAATTTCACTTTTTGATGACAGTTTACATTCCAAATTATCGGGTATGAGTTTTGAGTATACACCATAGAGAATTGCATAAAAAAAGCTGTGGAGGATGTGTGTGTATATATAAATACTATTGCATTAAACTAATAGATAAATGATCTGCCAATAATTATATAGCATGAAATTATATATTTATTGATTATTATGATATAACATATGGATGCATATGTAGTATGAAATTATATATTTATATATACACACACAAGTGAATAAAAAGCAGTGTGAGTGTATAAATATATAGACACACATACAAAGGAATATTACTCAGCCATAAAAAAGAATAAAACCTTCCCATCTGCAACGGCAGGGCTGCCCCTAGAGGGCGTTATGCTCAGGGAAAATGAGCCAGAGAAAGCAAATGCCATATCATCTCACTTATAGGTGGAATCTAAAAAAACAAAATAAACAAACTGACATTTTTTAAAAACTCGTATTTCTCACAATTTTATTATTTTTTTCCATGAAGATATTTGATGCCCTAGGCATTCATATTTGCAGAGGCAGTGAAGAAGGGATTCCTCTGTGTGTACAGTTCTCTGCACCGCACCCTGTGTGGGATGATCCCATTATTCCCAAACCTCTCTCTGAATAACCCACATTCTCCCTGCTGGTACAAAGTGCTTCGTGCCATATTTTGCCGTGAATAACGCGCCCCCTTTTGCCCAAATTTTTGAAGGAAAAAGTAAGGACGAGCCTTGCACATGGGTATAATGATGACATACCCAAGGTATAATAATCCTGTGTGTGATGGGCAGAGAAATAATTGTACGTTTCATGAATATGAATAACTCCAGGAAGAGGTTCATTATACAGGGAGAAATACGGTATAGCAGCCGTTCAAGGTGCCAAAAGACTCACAAGCCCTGGTGAGTCACTTCTGCTTTCGGCTCTCTTTGGCCTCCACCCGGCTTTTCTGGGGAGTGAGAAACTCTTTCCAAACTGAGAGTTATTTTTCCTGTTTTCCTGGGCACTGACCCCCTTTCTCAGAGGGCTTCAAAGCCTTTGGCAAAGGCTGGCTCTCTGTTCTTCCCCGCGGCTTTGAGGTGGGGACTTTGGAGAGGTGAATTGATGAGCGTATTTGGGTCAATTTAGGCCCAAGATCAATCAGATACGTAAGGAAAGAAAGAAATGCGGATTCAGTCCCTGGGCTGGGTGGCTTCTCCCGGGAGAGTGACAAAGGAAGACGTTGGTGATGTGCCTGCTACATACATGAAGTGTACGTATGTCGATCACGCATGCTCAGTGCTTTCGCCTTTTTTTCGTGGCACGAAGCCTGGATGAAACCACAAAGCAAAGAATTTTGCAAAGTCCGGTGGAGCCGTGGCTGTGTTGCGCGGGCTAGACCAGGTCTTGACTTCCAATCACCGCTCAGGTCACCTTCCCCGCAGCGAGTGGTTGGCGTGGTCAGGAGGTACGGAGAGGACAGTATTGGTCTCTTGGCACAGTGCTCAGGGCTCCCCCTTCTGTTCCTGGTCGTCCTCCGGCTCTGTGGGGACACGCCGGGTCGGGGGACCCAATCCCGGGGAAAGACACGGACTATGATCTTCACTCAGACCAGCGCGTTGGGGAGAAGGCGCAGATGCTTCGGAAAGGAGCTCAGTCCGGCTCCGGCCTGTGTCAAAATACATGGCTTTGTCCTTACGGTGCTCTTGTTCGCAGGGGAAAAAAACACCTTATAATAGTTCGTGTGCGTGTAATTCTGTGCAATCGCACTGATGAACACGCCGCAGCATTTGTGTCTTGGCATTGTGGGGGCCGCGGGGGGGGGGGACACTTACTTCTGGGATAGAAGAGAAATGTGTTTGGTCTCTTGATGTCATTGTGGGTTTTTTTGTTATCGTCGTTTCAAAATAATAATGTTAAAAAAGAGCTCTGTTAGGCTCTCGCTGCCATAGTAACGGATCGCCACAAAGCAGGTAGTTTCAGACCACAAATGTGCGTAATATCCTGTCCCCGTCCTGGAGACCCCAGGGGTCCCAGGGCCGTGCTCCCTCCACAGGCTGCAGGGAGGGGCCTTCCCGCCTCTTCCAGCTCCTGGGGACTCCAGGCGTCTCTGGGCTGGTGGCCGTGTCCCTCCGGTCTCTGCCTCCGTCTCCACGTGGCTTCTCCTCCGAGTCTGCGTCTCCTCTTCTGTCCCTTCTCAGGACACTGTCACTGGATGCAGGGCCACCCTGACCCCGGACGACCTCCTCCCAGATCTTTCAGTCAATGCCTATTTGCAAATAACGTCCGATTCTGCGGTTCTGGGGGTTAGGACTGCGCCATACCTTTGTAGAGTGGACACAGCCACCCCAAACAGCACAGTGGCGCTCCCTGGGGCCACGGGCCCCTGGGAGCGAGCTTCATAGCACCTGCAACCTTCGCTCCTCATGGAAATCAGTATTCGCCACACAGTTACTGACTAAAGGAACTGGGGTGTTTTCAATGTGGACAATGGTCCTGAAATCGGGAAACAGGTGTCCCCGTAAGTCGCTGGACCGGGCTCTGGTGCCAAGTGCCGGACCGCACTCTGGCCTTCACGCTCCCCGTCTGAGTGGCCCCAGTCTTCCCGGCACGAAGCTGGAACCCCTTGGTCATCTCCACTCTCTCTCTGCACCAGCTTTGGGGGCTCCAGGTGTCCCTAGGCTGGTGGCTTCATCCCTTCGTCCCTTTCTCGGCCACCGTGCTGCCCTTTTCACCCAGTAGCAATGCATTTCGAGAGCCGACTCCGGGTGACCCACCTGCACCGGCACAGCCAGGCTGAAGGCTGGAGTCCAGATTCCGGCAGCCCTTGGGTTGAAAGTGGAGCTGGGTGCGGGCATCTCCCCAGATCCCCGAGGGGATGGGCCCCGGGAACAGGGTGACCACGTTCCGAAGGGTCAGCGTCTTGTCCTTTCCGGAAGGCGAGAGGCACGCTTGGCCTGGGTGGTGTTCTTGCGAGGACCCAGGAGAGGCATGGGTGTCACCGCCAGGCAGGATGCTGGGAAGGCTCGTGGCTGGTGCACAAGGAGCTCCCGGTGGCAACACGCCCTCTTGCACGCCCACAGACAGCCGAGCCAACCGGAGGGCGGGCCCCTGGAAGCGTGGGGAACCGCCTGTGTCTGCATCACCCCGAGGGTGGGCCATCGCCGCCCGGGGAGGCCCCACGAGAGAGGTGGCGCATGCTTGCTCCCTCTCGTCCCGCGGGGCCCTGGTCCGGGCTTTGGCTTCTGAGTGAGAGCCGAGCCCCTGTGATGCTGGCCTCGGGATTCTAGCCGGCTTCATCTTCATCCTTCCGTTTGAGGAAATTCTCCGTCTCTTCCTTCCTCACTGGGCAAGCAGAAGTCAGCGGCACCGGCCTGCGGCGGCGGCCGGGGGCTGTGACTTCACAAGTCCCTTGGCGGCGGCGGGGGCACCTCGGGGTCCTTCCCCCAGAGGCAAGCCATGGAAACCCGGTGGGGACTCTTCTGGGTCACCGCCCTGTGCGTGCTGGCCCACGCCCAAGGTAAGAGACACGTCGTGCCCAGAGAGATGTGTGGGTGTGGGTGCCTGCCGGTCGCTTTAAAAACTTCTCATAAAGGAGCAAGAGGAAGGGCTTTAAGTGGCTGAGGACATTCCAAAGGGGACCCGAGAGTGGCAGCTGGCAGGGGACCGGGACCACAGCTGCAAGCGGCGGCAGAAACTGAAAGTGGAAAAAATGCAGGGTGTAGGCTGATGTCCCCGGGGCTTTTGGAAGCAAACGCCTGTTTTCTGCTTTAGAGGAGGGTGTGTGCCTCGTCTTTGCAAAGGGGGGGCTTCCTGCGAGACCCCTTCAGGAGTATATGTTGGGGTTTCTGAGTCTCGCTGGGCTGATTTGAACACCTCAGCGCTGATGGTTTACTGTGAGGCAAAAAGAAAAAAATGCAGTCGGAACACAGCTTGGTTTTGCAGCACACGGCTGGTGGAGACAGGGTTGGATTGAAAGTCGGTCTGCTCCCACGCTGAAGGTGTTTACCAGTGTTGCGGCTGCTGGTTGTAAATTGGAATCTTCTGAGTTGTTTACCCCCCCGAACGCCACACCCATGAGCAGGCCGAGTGTCTCACAGGATGCCAGAGGGCTGGGGACGGTGGCGAGCGAGTTTAGGAGCTCAAGGAGTTGCGTAGGATTTGAACAGCCCTTCCCTGAGCTTCCTTTTCTTGCTGTTCTTTTATGATTTTAATACCGGGAAAGGCGTCCGGGGAAGCTTGGGAGAGTGTGGCTGCTTAGGAATTGAAACACGGCCTGCAGACGCCCGAGGGATTGGGCCATTTCCTGTTTATCCCGTGTTCCCTGTGTTGAGGGGTAAGGACTCGGTTGTTTAGAGAGAGAGGGGGCAAGAAGGGGTGTGACCGGCCGGGGCACAGACCCCCCTCGCAGGCACGTCTCTGTGGGCAAAGGCTAATCCCTGAATTTACAGAAGCAGAAGTGAGAGGCAGCTTTGGGACGCGCCCAGAGCGGGGCATCTGGACACCCAACCCGAGACGGGCACGTGCCTGAGTTGCAACCTCGCAGCCTGTGTTGCCACGACACCCGTGGGCTTCCCGTGCCCCACGGGCAGGGGCGCCCCCAGAATGCAAAGTGGGTCTCGTGCTTTATGACACATCAAACAGGGATTCCTTAAGGTGGCCACGCCTTCACCGTAAAGCTGGGCAGACTTGGCGGGTACTTCACACGCATTCACCGTGGAAAAAAACCTGAGGGTCCTGCCAGGCCAGGTCTCCCAAGTTGCTGTGTTCCCCCCTTTTTAAATGTTTATAGATTTGAGACAAAAGAAGGGAGGGAGATAAATAGCAATGTGAGAGAGAAACATCCATTAGCTGCTTCCTCTATGCGCCCTGACCGGGAATCCAACCTGCAGCCTTTTGGTTCACAGGACAGTGCTCCAACCGGCTGAGCCAACCACCCAGGCTGGATTTTTCTACCTTCTCACTGTGCTTCCTCATGCTGTCCACCCAAGTCCTACCTGCACGGGGTTTTTTTTGCAAGAGAGCGAAGGTGCTTCCCTGGTCAAGCCCCACACTTGAGAGCTACTCACAGTCTCGGCCGGGAGTGGGAGTCCCCTCTGCCCGTGTGTCCGGGGGTTATGTGTCGGGGTGCTCCGAAGGAACCCGAGCAGCACTGACCGAACATCGGTGGGCCCCATCCAGGCAGGTCCCCGGGGTGCACTCAAGGCTGCCTCCCCTCCCCCCGGGGGGGAGAAGCAGTCTGGGGGTCTTCCCCGCCACGCTCTGGTTCTTTGGGGTATGAGGGCCTCCTGCACCCTGGGTGGCTCGGTCAGCGGGATAGTATTCCGGTTCCCACCATGTGCTTCCACAGTGGGGGCCCAGAGCACCCGCGCCCACACCCTGGGAGCTGGGAAGACAGGCGGGAGGCCTCACCCGGACCTGCTCAGCCGGAATCTGCAGGCGGCCGCCTGCCGGCACGATTGGCAGGTCAGGTGGGTGGTTGAGCCTTGGAGAGGCGCCAAGGCTGAGAAGCCCTGAGGCGGATGGGACCCTGTTGTGGAGGCAGCCTGTCTCCAAACGGCTCCCCCTTCTCCTCCCAGCCCCCCGGGGTGCCGCAACGCTGCCCCCCCACTCCACCTGGGTGTCTAACACTCTTCCTTGGGGGCTCGGGTGACCGCCTCTTGAATTCTGTCATGGGTTAAGCCGCCACCCACACTCATAGGCTGATATCTTAACCCCAAGGACTTCGGGTTGGGGCTGTGTGTGGAGATAAGGCTTATAAGGAGGCGGTGAAGGTAAAATGAGGTCACTACGGTGGCCCTGACCCCACAGGACTAGGGTCCTTGTAAGAAGAGGAGATGGGGACACAGACACACCCAGAGGGGCGCCCGTGTGAGGAGGACACAGGGGGAGGATGGCCGTCCACACGCCCAGGAGAGAGGCCTCCGGGGGAGCCAGCCCGGCCCACCCCTGGGTCTCGGCCTCCAGCTTCCAGGACCGAGGGACCCCTGGGCCCAGGCCCTTTAGGGAGGTGGCATTTCACGGGGACACTCAGCGGCAATTCTCTCCTGTCTCCCTTTCACGAGAGATGTCCTGCCTTTTAGGAAGAGTGACCGCTTCTCAGTCCTCTGTGAGCGGATCTTTATCTTCCTGGAGGGCCTGCTGGTGCAGAGGGTTTAGATGTGAAATGTCCCGACAAGGCCGTCGTGACCCCCAAGGACCTGGGACGACTTGGTCGGCCTTCTGGGGAGCTGCCCACCTACCGGGAGGGGGTTGCTGAGGGTGAGAAGGAAGAATGAACCCCCGGGGGGCTGGGCAGTGGGGGGCAGCCCTGGTTGTGAACACACGCCTGGTGCAGGGAATCTCACAGGGGAGTCCGGGCCGGAGGGGATTTAGTCCCAGGGCTGCTCCGTTCTGTGTGGGGTGGGGGGATTTAGTGGGGCCGCAGTAGCGGCCGGGCACCGGGTCCGCCGCTGGCCTCCCGCTCACATTCTCCGACCCCGGGGACCGTGCACCTAGGCAGATAGAGGCCTGATTTTCTCGGTGCTGTGAGTCATGCCGTGCCGGCAAGAAGCTGCTCTGAATGCGTGCTGGGCATTTATTTTATTTTATTTTTTTCTTGGAATGATGGGGTCGGACTCAAAAGGGAATCTGAAGATTTGGGTCCAAACAGTCGCGATGTGTTTCCGGGGGAGCCCTGGTGTGTTCTGCGGACACAGTCAAGTCACGGTGATTTCAGCCCACGGGGCATATGCGTCCTTGGCGCCTGAGCCCGAAGGTTGCGTTTCAATGCAGCCGCCTTTTTGGGGCAAAGAACTAAAAGCCTCTTTAAGGACGAGGACGGGGAACTGTGGAAATCTCTTTTGTAACCTGTTCAATAAAAAAAAAAAGGTTGAACTCTGGGGGACGGGGGAAGAAAGAAAACCACAAGACAGTTGTCAGAGAAGACAGGTGTCATGGAAGCAACGGCAAACCGGGAGAGCCTGTCCGTGTGCCCAGGAGTGTGGTGAGCCCGGGGCACGGGACTGCAGGCCGGCGGGGCGTGAATTCTGCCGTGGGCGGTGGGCACCGGTGCCAGGCCTCGGACTGGTAACGGAGTTTGTGTTTTCTCTCTCTCCTTCCTCAGAGGTGGCCCAGGGGGCCGTCTGCCCCCTTCAGACCCGGAGCCACTCCTTCAGGGCGTCCCGGGAGCTGGGAGGGAGCTTCTGCTGGTTGGTCGGGCCTGTGTGTCCCTGTTTCAGACAGACCTCCGTCTTGAATGCTTATTATTATGATCATTTTATTATTATTGGAAGAACAGCGCTGTGCTGAGCTTTGTAACATCCCGAGTCTGCTCACGGAGGGGTGTGAACACAAGTCAAGCAAACGAGAGAATTCGTCCGAGTTCTCATCATGACAGACAGTTTTCTCTCAAAACCCCCCACGACCAGCGTTGCTGCCGGGACCGAGAGGGTCCGGTGTGTCCCCCCAACCTCCTCCCCACAGCCGCGCCCCCTGCAAGCCTCACCCGCAGCCTGTCCCAATTGAAAGACCACCATGGTTTCCGGTTGGTTGGTTGGTTTCTTTAACAGATGCGATCACCCTGGAGCTGTTCTCTGCAATAACCCTTGGGCCTTTCTGTAACTGCAAAGGAGCCACAAGCCTCTAGAATATTTAGCACAAGGCCCCCTCCCGGGCTGCTGGGAGATGCCCTTTCTAGACAGGAACATCCACTCGGATGTTTTTAGGGTGATAGCCGGTGTTGTTTTGCATGCAAGCAGCCAGCCAGTTAGTTACGAGGGAGTTCGAATGTGTCTCCTGGCCAAGAAAGGCTGTACTGGTATCATATCCTAAATAACTGCTGGTGAGAAATCACCCCAGCTTCTTTCTGCGGTAAAAATGTTCTGTCATCCCCGCACCCGAGGCTGCTTCCAGAGCCGAGGCCCATGTGCCTTGGATTCACCGTGGAGCGAGTCAGCAAAAAAGTACAAACAAAAACCAGAAAAAAAATGAGAAGCAGATGTTATGTTCCATGTCCAGTCTCATGCCCTGAGTGGAAAATCTGCGTAATGAATGAGAGTTTCTGAGTCAGTGCCCCTGTGACTGAGGCCGGGGACCCCCGCCCCCACCCTGTCACTGGCGGGATCTGGCAAACCCTTGACCTGCCGGCCGGCAGAACCCCACGGGTCAGCTTCATGCCGGCTGCAGTGGCCTGGCTTACGCAATGAGGTAGGTGGAACCGCCACCCGCCCCACACGCGTGAGTCATGCTCACACAGGCCTCAGTGCACGGGAGCGCTCCCACACGCCAGGCGCAGCTCCCTCCGGGGTCCTCCTTCGCCCTGTTCCCTGCCCCCCTGCCCCGCCCGGAGGCATCCCAAGCTCCTCCAAGTCCACGCAGGCAACTGAGATGGAGACATAGGGAGGGCTGTGTGTACCCGCAGGCTGTGTGGTTAGGGGTCCCAGGACCCCCCACAGAGGCACGGACCTCCCTCTCCAAACGTCCCTTTGCTGCAACGCACTGGTACCTCCGACCGTGCAGCAAAGGGCACTTTGGAGAGGGGCCGAGGCCCGAAAGGCGCTGGCCGCCCTGGGAGCCAGGGTGTGGCGGGCCCATGGGCTGCAGAGGATGGTTCGGCGTCCGTCCATCACCGGCCCGGCCGGCCGAGCCGCTTTGGAAGCCCGCAGAAGGCGGTGGGGAGCGATGAGAATGCTGTCAGTCGGGCTGGGCTGGCTGGGGGCCTCGCCCAGGGATTGGCCCCTTGGAGCTGGACGGGCAGACGGAGGGTCAGCCACGCCCCGGGGCTGCCCCTGAAGGCAGGGGTCCCAGGCACACACAGTCTTCTGTCCTGGAGCAGCCGGGTGGTTCCCTGCAGCAGATCAGATACCACAGGGCAGAGGGGCGTCTGCGGGGACCCCCAGAGGGACAGAAGGCCCTCTGGGACTGGGCTGTCATTGTGTCAGCCGGCCTCCCAGCCCTGCCGGTGGGACGTACTGGCCTCGGTTTTCCCTGCCCTCTGATGCCGGGGCCCAGACCTCACTCAGAGGGCTCGTGTCTGGGGCTGCGCCCACTCAGGGCTCAGAGGACACTCAGCGGGGACCCCAGAGCCGTCGCACGCGGCACCCCAGCTGGGGCAGGGGCAGAAGCTGAGTGGACCCCAGGGTGGGCCCAGCAGAGCTTCCCCAGGGCGTACACAAGGCAGGGAGCTTCCAGGAGCCCCCGCGCCCCTCCTTCCAGGCTTTGGGTGCGACTAAGGTTGTCCAGGGGCGAATTCTGATGCCTCCCTGGTGCTCCGGGAAATGCAGAGTCCCAGGCTGGGGCGGGCGAGCCATTGCAGCAACACCAGCGTCCGGCGGGCAGGCAGAAGCCCTGCCCTGTGTGCTTGGAGGATTCCTTAGGGGACACCGTCTACAATGTCACACAGGTCGGAGAAGCCATGATGCTTGGTGACAGATGCCAGACCCACGAGGTCACATGGTGTGTGATTCCGTGTGTGTGAAACGTTCCTAGCAGGCGAATTCGCGGGGACACAGAGGGGGGTCGGTGGTGGTCAGGGGCCGGGGGAGGGGCTGGGCTGATGGTTCGTGAGGACGGGGCTCCTTCTGGGGCGAGGAGGGTACTCGGGAACCCAGAGACGTGGCGGTCACGCAGCACGGTGCCGGGGCTCGAAGCCGCGGACCTGTTCCCTGGCCAAGCGTGGACCGGTGACCTGCAGGCTGCATCCCGGCAAAGCCGCGTTTGAAAAGGTTGTCGGCCAAAGAGGGATTCCGACCGGTCGGGGTCTCCAAGACTCTCAGACCTGGGTTCTGTACCTCGGGGGGCCTGTGGGATGGGGGAGGCGGGTGGCAGGAAAAGGGGCCTGTGTGGTCTGAGACCCTCGACTGGCGACAAATGTACACAGGGAAGCCCCGGCTGGTTATCTCACTCGGCTGGAGCATCGTCCTTAAAAGCCAAGGTGGTGGGTTCGATCCCCGGTCAGGGTGCAGAGAGAAGCAACCAATCGATGGAGCAATCAAGTGGAATGACAAATCGATGTTTCTCTCACTCTCTCTCTCTCTCCACCCCCTTCTTCTGTCTTTAAAAACATCAGTGAAAAATACACATATTTTCGATTGAGATTCAAATCCACACGCACGAAGGTCACCGCGCTCATGATTTTAAGATCAATTCACAATGTTGGCAACCACCAGCGCCACCCGATTCCAGAACATTTCGCCCGAAAAGCTACCCCAAACCTATCACGGGTGCCCCCTCATTTCCCACCCGACTGTGGACCCTCCGGACTTCTCAGACTCGGGCCAGTTAGGAAGTCGGCGCGTGCTTTTGTGCCTCTCTGGGGTCATTTTCTGCCAGTCGAAAAGCCACACGCGTAAGCCGAATTTGGGAGCCCTCGCTCACTGGGAGGAGGGCCTGGGGCGTGAGCCTCGGGTCCAACTCCGTCCTGTCTTAGCCATAAAGGAAGACATCCCTGCCTGTAGTCCCAGCCGGCTGTACCCCATTTCCCGTGAGCTAAACATGGGGCCAGAGACTCTCCTGGTGGCTTCAGCAGCACCTTTACAACAGCTGACATTGTTGCCTCCTGCAGGAAGACTTCCAGCTTTGCTGGCCCAAAGCATCCGCGTGGCTGGCTGGCTGTGTTTCATCCATAGCTTCGCACATGTCTTCCCGCAACAGGGCAGCTGAGACCACGTTTCTCCTCTGTTTTAAGCAGTCATACAGCCCTGGCTGGTGTGGCTCAGTGGATTGAGTGCCGGCCTGAGAAGCTAAGGGTCGCCGGTTTGATTCCCAGTCACGGCACATGCCTGGGTTGCAGGCCAGGTGTCCAGGAGGGGGCGCTCAAGAGGCTAGCACACATTGATCTTTCTTTCCCTCTCTTTCTCCCTCCCTTCCCCTCTCTCTAGAAGTAAATGCTTAACCAAACAAAATTTAACAAAAAAGACAGTGATGGAATTATATTTCTGTGAGGGGGGCCCCAGCCTGTTGGGAAAGATACCGCATAGGTCTGCACAAGGCCTGGGACCTGGAGGGTCAGGGGACTTTGTGCACCTGCTGAACTCTCAGTGGGGCTGAGCTGTGCTCCGAGGAGAGGGGGTCTGTGGCTCCTGAGGAAGGAAGTAGGGAGCCTGGCCACCCTCCTCCCTGTGTGACTGACACCCTGCGTGTTCCCCACAGGGCAAGGCGACTTCGACTTGGCCGATGCTCTCGACGACAACGCTGGTACGTGGGTGTAACCCCAGCCCCTCTGTGAGGTCGGGTGGGGGCTTTGGAATCCCCAGGCAGCGATGCCCCCGCAGTTCCCACGAGATCGAGATCAATGGCCAGGTCCTGCCGATGCCTCTTTGGGGCTGGACTCCGCTGCTTCGCCCGGCCGTGCTCCGGTCTCCCGCTGGTGCCTCCGCTTCTCTGAAACTCTGCGGCTTGGGCCTTGCTGCCCGACACCCTGTGCATCCAGCCCCTGACCGATGCACCAAACCGGCCTCCCCCTCCTTCCTCCCAGAGGGCTTTCTTGTCTGTTCTTCAAGCGACATTTCATTTCAGCTATTTAGTCTTTTAAACGATGCGAATTTACCATGCTCCTGTTTGGTGGGTGAGAAAAGTCTGGTACGAGTCTCAGCCAATCACCCCGAGAATGCCCACCAGCTCCCTTCTCTTCTGGAGGCTGCTTCGGACAACCCCCTCAGGCTCTCGGCCAAAGCGGCTTCACCGGGGTCGTCCGAGCGAGGCGCCTCTGTCCTTGCGGACTGTCCACCGAGGGCCAGGACCTGTCCTGAATCAGAACCGGCGTCCGCGGAGCGTTGAAACGTTGCTTTGTTGTCTCCATCACTTCTGCACCCCCGTCATCTGCTCTCCCCTCCCTAGATTTTGCACAAGTTCAAGGCAGTTACATACATCCCCTCTCACAGCTCCTCTTTACCCAACTGGAAAACTAAGCCTGGAATTTAAAACGACGCCTTGGCTGCCTCCGTGGCCCTGACCAGCGTCCAGCTTGCCGGTGGACGTGTTTGACCCGAGGAAAGGGTGGACTCACAAGCAGGCAGGAACGCGGTTTTCTTTAAAAACGAAACAAAAAGAGACCTGCTTGCCTGCTTCTGGCCTCGGGGGCCTCCCGCGGTCACTCGGCCCCTATAAACAGTTGCGGGAAATGAAAGAGGGGGGTGGCGACCGACCAGACCCCCGGCTGAAACACGATGAGGGCGGAAACACGTGAACCTTCCCACCACCACCCCGATTTTCCCTGCTCACCGAGCAAGGCCTTTACTGGCAAGCCCCAGAGGCCTGGGGTTAGAATCAAGACAACAGACAAATGTCAACAGGCACCGTGATGTTGAGACTCCTGGAGCCCAGAGGGGCCGGGTGATGCAGCCTGGGTTGCGGAGTGGGGAAGGTTTGAGGAAAGAGAGCAGTTCAGTGATGTCCCGTGAAGTTCAGGCTGTGTGGCCAGCAGGGAGTGATCAGATGGACAGAGAAGAACAAGGGTGAGGACATGGGCTCAGAGCCGTACCACCGAAGGGACTCAAACAAAAGCTGTGAGAGGCACGTTTGCAGCCTCATGCGCTGTAGCCACAGGTGGAAACAACACGAGTCTCCCTGAGCTGATAGACAGATACACAGAATCCACACCATGGAATATTACGCAGCCAGGAACAGGAGCGAGGCTCTGACTCAGGCTGCGACGCGGATGGACTTTGAACACAGGATGCCGCGTGCACAGAAGGATTCCAAGCACGCAGTTCCGTCTGCTTACAGAGACTTCAGCCCTGGTGTCTGGTTCCTTTGAGCGACTTGCCCAAACCTGTTTTTCTGGCTGTTCCCGTTTATGCACCGCACGGCGCAGCCGGGCTCCCGCAGCCAGGGGGCCATGCGCTGCAGCCCGAGCACTGTCCACGTGGTGTGCACACCCACCAGCACTGAGCACGAAGCCCCCCCAGTGCCTTCCAAGACTCTGGGGGTCTCAGTGACTGACGTCCAGGGGCCAGTGTTTGTTGAGTGAATAAACGTTTGCACAAAACAAAGTGAGAGGAGAAGTGTCCTTCTGGAAGCTGGGAAGCTGGATTCCTGTTTTATTTTTGCCTTTTCCACCTCTGTGGCCAGATCTACCACCCCTTGCTCCTGCTTGTGGTCCTAGGGCGCCACCCTCCTGCCCCCCATCCTCTTGGCTGAGCGAATTCTCCTGCATGTGTTTGAAGTCCCACCCCCTCGCCTGCTGCTGGGCTTTGCTAAAACATAGTTTCTAACACACAGAGGGGACTCCCCCTTGCAGCTCTCACCCCCTGGCGGCTGCGGCTAAGACAGGCGTGCCTGGTTTGGGGGGGTGTCTTCTTTGGTCTTTTTTCCCCTGTGAAGTTTCTGTTCAGTTCCCTACACTCGGAGCACCTTCCCTTGTTCGTTTATTACACGCGAGCCGTGTGTCCGTCCTGATGGTCATGGAGTGTGTTCTCTCTCTCTATTTCCAGAGCCCACAAAGAAGCCATACTCAGGTGAGAGATGACTGGCTGGGTGGACCAGAGACCCCGCCCTCGAGTGGGTGTGTTGGAAGGGCTGCGTGAGGATGTTGGCAGAGGTGCGGTGTGCTGTGTGCCCGGGGGTGTAATTGATGGCCGGCCACGAGGTGTGAGAAGCACGCCCTAGTCACGGGGGGACTGGCCTGTGAACAGTGCTGGTGAGAGACGTCTCTGCATTCTTGCAAGGGAAGCAGGTAAACAAACCGGAACCTGTCTGGATGGCTGGCGGGAATGCGGAATAGGGCAGCCACCGCACAAAACAGGTTAGGAGTTCTTTAACCGTTTCCACCCAGAGTTACTCTGGGTAGCAGCAATTTCACCTCCAGGTATGAAGCAGGGACTCTGACCAAAATGTCTGAGGATGAGTCCGTAGCGGCATTATGTACCATAGCCCCCAAATAGGGACAACCTAGCTCCCCATCAGTGAGTAAAGAGATGAACACAATCACACAGTGGAATATTACGCAGCCCTGAAAAAGGTGCAAACCTCGGGCCCAGGCTACAATGTGGATGGACCGTGAGAACCTTATGCAGATGGCTATAAGCCAGACACAGAAGGACCAGTCCCATAGGCTTCCGTTTCTATAAAACATCCAGAATTGGCATTTCCTGCCAGGAAACTTTCAATAGGGGTCCTGTCTCTCTGGGCCCCTGACTTTGCACGGAATAAACCTACACTCCTCATGCGCTTTTGTGAAAGAAATAGCAGCTGCCACTCTGGTGAGGAGTCACAGGTGATACGGCTGTGTAGTACACCATTGCACAGATGTACCACAGCTTCTTTTAAAAATCTATTTATTTTATGGCCATGGTCACTCTTTTCATGGAATTTTTTTGAGGGGGCGGGGGGACACTGATTCACATAATTATACAGGTTTCAGGGGCACGATTGTCAAATGCATGGTCTCCAAGCTCTAATTTCTTTATGCACTTGTCTCCTGACGGGCAATTGGTTTGCTTCCACATCCTGGCTTTTGCAAATAACGCAGCAATGAATGGACACACGGGTGGGTATAGCTTTTCAAATGGGTGACTTTGTTTCTTTCCCATAAACAAGCAGAAATGGGACTGCTGGGTCCTTCCCAGTGCTACTTTTAAACTTTGAGAAGAGGAATTGAAGACAAATAAATGTAATGCTGCCTGCCTTGGGGGCTGTCTTAAGAATACCATCTTATTACTGATTTTTTTTTTCAGACAGTGCCTCCTATAGTTTTGCATGGAGTGTGTCTGAGGTGGTGGGTGTGGTTTGACTCAAGCACTCCTGTTGTTTTTGTTATTATTGGTTTTAGTATTGCTGTTATTAACTCGTGTTCATCCTGGAGAAGAGCTACAAACACAGGGGCAGGACTAGGAACAGAGTTCAACAATGTTGCTTCCCGTAAGTCGGCTATGCAAACATCGGCCACATTTGGGCGCAGCTGGAGAAGCCTGTTTGAAATGTAACTGTAAAAGAGATCGCATCTAAAAAAGATCGCATGGGCAATAGCCACAAAGTCTGAAAGGCCTATAAAAACACCTACACAAAGGACATGGGACCAGGATGGAAAAATGTATAAAATTTATGCAACACTTTTGAGAACACTTGACTAAATAGACATCGACCTCGCCCGAGGGTGGAGAGAATCAACATTATAGAGGTATTAACTCACCTCAGAGCTGCCAATCCAATGCATTTCCCAAAAGAAATTTAAAAGATAGATTTAATTCATTCATTTGTAGAGAGAGGGGAAGGGAGGGAGAAAGAGTGGGAGAGAAACACAAATGTTTGGTTGCCTCTTGTGCGCCCCCTAGTGGGGACCTGCCCTGCAACCCAGGTGTGTGCCCTGACTGGGAATTGAACTGGCGACCCTTTGCTTCTCAGGCTGGCGTTCAATCCACTGAGCCTCAGTAGCCAGGGCTCTAACAGAAATGTTTTTAAAAAGTCTTTTCATAGAACGTAAGTGCTTCTCACGCCCTATACAAGACGAAGGAGAGCCAAGAAATGTTGGAAACATAAACATATACACATGGAGTTTAATTGCTGTAACAGATATTGAGATGTCCGATGCAGCTACGGACATTCAAACAGCCACAGAGGGGACAAACGTAGCCGTCCATCAGCTCAGAGGGAGTGGACAGGGGCGTTGGATGGTGTTAAGTCTTTGTCCGTCTGAGACACCACAAATGCCAAGAAGCTGGCTAGTCCATGTCCCCAACAAGGGCTGGCCGCTCGCCATTCTGGTGGGAAGCACATGACCCAGACTCAGCCTCACGAAATACTCGGAGGCGAACGCTTGCCTGTGATTAAATGCCCGCAGGTGAAAAGAAACCTTAAAACCTTCTGGTAAGACAAAGGCGCGCCAGAGGGGGATTGTCTTTGGGGAGAAACATAGGGAAACGCAGGTTTGCTTGCGTGAGATCCCAAAACAAGCCGACTGTTGATAACACGGTGCCTTTTCAGCTCCCTTCTCTGGGGAAGACCAGGGGCCGGGGGGCAGGTGTGAGTATGTTGGAAATAAAACTGTCATTGCAAACAGAAGGAAATACAACTTCTTCTCAGCTGAGTGTTTCATCTGGTTCTGTTTTTTTAAGTTGGACGTTTTGCCTTATTCATTGAAGCTGGCCCTGCCAGAAGGAGTAAGAAGTCAGTGAGTTCACAGGTGGGGAATACGGTTAAAAGCAGAGTATTCGGTGTTATTACCGGGCCAGGTGGCATTAGGATGCCAATGCACGAATTCCAGGCGTCTTTTTCTTGTATTTCGTTTTGGAGTTCCGAGTTACCTTCATGGAAGGCAGCCGCTCCGATATCTTGCCATGACAATTAGATTCTAAAAAAATAGAGTTTTGGATGTATGTGCGGTTGTGCTTTTTCCTGAAGGTTCAGGGTTGAGCCTCGCATGCCAGGAGCTGCGTGATTTCCAGCTGGTCGATGGTAATGTATCACCCGTGACCGGCAAAGGCAAACAGAACATAACATCTATGGCCACCAGCACGTCCTGGTTCTACAGACTGCTTCTGGCGACCGGGGATCTGTCTTGTCTTGTAACAAACGCAATATCTTCTCCCTTGCAGACATCTATCCCAAGCCGAAACCCCCGTACCCCCCGCAGCCCGGAAACCCGGACAGTGGAAGTAAGGATGCTCAGCGTTCAGAGTCCTTTCGGCACGGGGCTCCGTGGACCTGGCCTGGACCTCCGTAGGGGTTCTCCTGGGGCCACTTCCGAAACCAAGTCCGTCCTGGATCTCCCGGGGGCGGGTCCTCTCTCTTCACCAAAAGGGAACCAGGAGGTCGAATCGACGCCGATTATTTTATTTCCCTCAGGTGCTGGGGAGCGCGGTGCATTCAGAGGACACTGGTGTTATTGGGATGGATTTCTCACTAGACAGTTCACCCTTTTTGTAGCTTGTCTGAGCCCTTGGAAATGTGGCTTTTTCTTCAATGAGCCCTGCCCTGCGTCGTGTGCTTTAGTGCCCTGGTCCCCAGCTTCGGGCTTGTTGCAAACACTTGGCAGACACTTGGTAGATTCTTTAGAAGAAAAATAAAATAAAAAAGGGCAGAGGGACATAGGCCAGGCTGTCAGTGATTTTTACAGCAATTCACCAACTGTAAATAGCAAAAAATCCCCTGGGCGGAGCAGTGTGCGCCTTTGTGAACCTCCCTGCAAGCTGGTGGGGGCGTTTGGATGGACGGAAGTTCCTCTGGCCTTGCGAGGGGTCCGTCCCCAAGGGGTTGCGTGTCACTTGGGCTCAAAATCTCAAGGGATGGAGAAAATGCTTGGGAAATCGGCACCTAATTTTACAGATTGGCATCCGTACAGGATACAAAGGTGGGTTCGGTGAAATCCCTCGGTGATCGATTACGGAGGCGGGAGAAAGGAAAACGAGGACATCTCTGGGATGACAGAGAAAGTCAGATGAGAAACCATGAACAGTGAACACGAGAACAAGGAACAGTGGGAAATTTGGGGTCTCCCCCTGGTGCGGTGCCTCTGATTTGAGGGGGTCCAGGAAGAGAGAGAGAATTTGTTTTGTTGTTGCAAAGATATATTTGTCTGGTAGGTTATCATAGATGCAGAAAGACGAGGCAGGCTCCGTGCAGGTAAAGACTCACCTTTGGTCAGAAACTGCTGACCACTCAGCGCGGTGTGAGCAGGTGAACTCATAAACGCGCCATCATGAAATGGGCAAATGCGTTGAGAGAATCTTCACCAAAAAAAAAAAAAAAAATCTACTGTAGCCAAACCCAGCCTCTCACCGCAACACCAGCTGGCGCACAGACACAGATGGGCCCCTAGGACACTCACCCAGTGGGGGGAGCCTGGACTACAAGGGGCCCGCCGTCCAGAAAATAATTCTGGTTTTGGCAGGGAAGGGCCTCCTCATATTGTTCGTTGCTGGACTATGTCATTACTCCCCTAAAGTCACTGTGCTGTTTTCCAACAGATATCTACCCAAGACCCAAGCCACCACCGCCTCGCCCACAGCCTGGCTATCCCGAGGGTGGAGGTAAGAGGGGGCAATTACTGGGGCACATGTGTTGGACACAACATGCCATCTTGGGTTCTCTCTGAGACGGTGAAAAGCCCATTGCTTTGAAATAATACCTAAGTGTGCTTCTGTTAGGGGTCCCACCTGCTCCCCACCAGACCTGGCGGTATACCAGCAGCAAACACATCTTATTTTCTTTGGCGTTAACTGACTGAAAAAATGCACCGAGCTCCAAAGATGCTTCGTGTTCTTATTAAGGAAGGCAAATTTTAAAAAAAAAAGTTCATTTATTTATTTTTGGAGAAGGGAGGGGAGGGAGGAAGAGAGGGAGAGAAACATCCATGTGTGGTTGCCTCTCTGGCGCCCCCTACTGGGGACCTGGCCCGCAACCCAGCCATGTGCCCTGACTGGGAATCGAACTGGTGACCCTTTGGTTTGGCACCACACAGAGTTATGGCAATCTTACCGGGTCTCCGGCCTGGCTTATCCTCTCCGTCCTGTGACTCCTCTGTCACTGCCCACTGGGCTTCTCAATCCCCCCCCGCTTCTCACTCACCCCCCAACCCCAGCCCCTCTCCGATCCAGCAGCCCCTCGGTCTGTTCTCTCTGTCTCGGAGTCTGCTTTTGCTCTGTTTGCTCATTCATTTTGTTATTGGGATTCCCCGTGCACTTGAGATCGTATGGTGCTTGTGTTCCTCTGTCTGACTTATAATTCCACTGAGCACAATGCCCACTCTGTCCACCCAACAGGTGTTCTGTTGAGTTTTGCTTCTCTCCCTGCACACGCCCTTGGGGGGGGTCCCGCGGCCCGAGCCCCTGCTGTATTTCTCATGAAATGCTGGCGAACCCCCACAAGTGGGAACCTCCATAACCATGGACAAGTCGCAGTCATTATGTAGGGTGAGGGTGGATGTGTGTGGGTGCCATAGCCACCTGCTCCACGGGCCACCGCCGCCCCGTCCTGCAGGCCTCGGTCAGAACCCCGTTCATCTCCAGGAACCAAGCTCCCACCCTCAGTGTGGGGCTCAGGAACAGGCCCCCACAGGGCCCCATCACCCGCCCGCATGACCCTCCCACGAACCTGGGTCCTGGGGGTGCAGTCTGCAGGGAGTTTTGACAATGGCGGTGTCTTTCTTCCCTCAGGTTCCTTCGGTGACGGGGACGACGGCCGCTACCCGCCCAGGCCCAGGCCCAGGCCGCCCGCAGGTTTGTGCAGCTTCTCCGGGTGACCGGGGCCCGGGGCGCGGTTGGGGTGCTGCGTGGCACCCTGTAGGCTCCACGGACACCTCTGTCACCTCACAGAGTGACCGATGGTTTCTGTGTGGTGAGCATTTGGGATCTACTCTCTCCACATCTCTACCTATGTGGGTGTACCCTTATGAAGCCCTGATATAAGTATGTGGGCAAGCACGTAAGAACATGCTTTATGCACACACATGCACGTACACACATGTATCTGGGCCACATAGGTATGAGCACACACATCTTTGTTTTATATGCATGTGTGCACACATTATAAACATGCACAATAGCATGAGTAACCACACACATACAAGTTACATACATGTGAACACATGCGATGAGTGTCATCGCGTGGAACATGCGGCTTGCATGCATGCATAATAATTCACAGGGTCTGGTGCAAATAATGCCCTTTTTTATTATGAAATCTTTTCTGACAAAATCATAGGCATGTCATTCTGGAACATGACAATATCACCCCCAAACACCCCCTATGACACTGTAGGTGACATGTTCGAATTGAAACTGTAAATTATTACACGCCTATTCTTACCCTACCAAACACACTCAGGCAAGTGTTATTTCTGTGGGACCCTGTGTATTCATATATAGTCATTCTCCTTGATGTATATCCATGTACATATATTGATCTGTGCAAATATTACTGTATGTATCTGTCATTACACACGTCTTTATATGAATATATATCCTTTTACATTAGTATGCATATTATGTATACACACAACCCCCTTGGAAAGTCCCCCAATACCGGTGCTCCCGGCCCCTCTGTGGTGACTCTTGGGGGTGCCTTCATTCCCACCCATCACTGAGGACACCTGCTGAAATCGCCCCCCACACCACCTTCTCTCTACAGGAGGTGGCGGAGGCGGAGGCGGTGGCTACTACCCCTCCGGGGGTCACGATGGCTACGGAGGCGGCGGCGGAGGCGGCTACCGCCCGGGTCACGATGGCTACGGATCACACGGTGCGCTCGGCGCGGAGGCCCGGGTGGGGCGCGCGGGGTGCAGGGCGCAAGACGGGGCATGGGGGAGGATATGCAGGGCTCCCAGCTGGGGTCCCCACCTTCCATCTGGGTCTGTCCCTGCTGGGCGCGTCTTCTCAGCCTTCTCTGCGGGGACTCTGACCCGCTCGCTGCTCCTCCTGCGCCTGAGCTCGGGCCGCCCACACTCCCGTGTCCAGGTGGAGAAGCATGGAGAGAGGGCAGGCAGGACCCGGAGGGTTCCATGTGAGGCAGCTCCTGTGCTCCAACGCACGAAGGGACACCATAGGGCGGGGGAAGACGCCCAGGTCCGAGGGCGCCGGGCACTGAAGCGGTGGACCAGGGCTTGTGCGCCTGTGCGCACGGCTTGGGGTGGGAGCGCGCAGTGCGCCCGACGCTCTTGGTTCCCCAGGGCAAGAATGGCCGCGAAAGGCCACAGCTGGGAAAGGAAAACGTCACGGCTGACCTTCCTACACCTACAGAATGGACATACACATTCTTTAGTTTCAACTGTAGGACACCATGATTCGATATTTGTGTAGAGTGCAAAATGATCAGCACAATAAGTCCAGTTAATATCCAACACCTCATGTAGTTACAACCTTTCATGTGTGGTGAGAACTCTTATGATCTATTCTTTTACCAACTTTGAAATGCATAATGAAGAATTATGATAACATATAATATAATATCATGATAGCTAATATAATATTAACATAATATATACTTAATATAATATAATATGGAATGAACTATAGTTACCACTCTGTACATTACACCCTGGGTCTTATTTCTTTTATAATTCCAAGTGTGTACCTTTTGACACCCTTCACCCACCTATCAATCTATCGATGAATTTTAAAGTATTATTATTTTTTAGGTAGATATTTTATATGTTTTTTAAATTTTTATTTATTTTTAGAGAGGAAGGGAGGGAGGAAGAGAGGGAAACATCCATGTGTGGCTGCCTCTCATGCGCCCCCTACTGGGGACCTGGCCCACCTCTCAGGCATATGCCCTGACTGGGAATGGAACTGGCAACCCTGTGGTTCACAGCCTGGCACTCAATCCACTGAGCCGCACCAGTCAGGGCTATTATTATTATTATTACTTGCTGTTTTCCATTTGTCAAGCATTTTTAACATCTTAAAGTTATCGAGGAACTGTTTCGGGTGCACGCCCATATTCCTATAAAGATTTTACAACCCATGCAAGCACGTTTTGGATTTGGGTCACATTAGTCTTTATTGGAAATCATGGTGAGATTTTACAAAAGAAACGCAAGGGTGATGCCCAAATAATATACACTTGACGGGCTCGACATTTGCCACCATCGAGGTGGCCCCGAGCTCAAGATTCTGCCGCTACCAGGTGGAGGAAAGGTCACGGTTGAGCTGAGCGATACCCGCGTTTAACTCCAGGTGTGCGCTCTCTGAAGGGTCCGCCTCCGCTCAGGTACAGCACCTTCGTGTTCCTGGGTCTTTGATTAGATCAGCTCTATGCCCGCGTTCTTTGATCACATTCATAGACTGGAGAGAAATGGCTCCCCCCGCGGGGGGCCCACAGTCCTCCATTTCTGAGTGTTTTTCCAGAAAACGAGTCTGGTCTCTCATGACACAGTGAGGTTTTTTTGGGGGGCCACCTACTGCGGGGCCCAAGGTGTGCTCATCCGGTGATCCTGCAGTCCCGGGGGCTGTTTTGGGGGCCTGAGCTGCGTGCAGCTGGGAGTCACTGGTCTGGTTAGCACCCAGCGCACTGAGTCACCCGACTGTTCCCAGCAGGTGGCCCGACCGTTGGCTGGGTTCTGTCCTCCTGCAGGGCACTGGAGGGGTCAGGGCTGTGCAGCCCGGGAGGGCGTGTCCTGAGTCTGTCCTGCCTGGTGAGGTCAGACAATGTCTCTCTCCTTTTCTGAGGAGTTGGCTTTTAATGGCCCGGTTTCTCTACCAGGAACTCTCTTGGTGACGTCAGGCTGCCCACCTGGGGCAGCTTGAAGAACAGACATCTGTCCCTCCCCGTCTTGGAGGCTGGAGGCTGAGACCCAGGGGTGGCCAGGGCTGGCCCCTCCTGAGGCCTCTCTCCTGGGTGTGTGGACCGTCATCTTCCCGCTGCGTCCTCACACGGGCGTCCCTCTGGGTGTGTCTGAGTCCCCATCTCCTCTTCTTACAAGGACCCCAGTCCTGTGGGGTCGGGGCCACCCTAGGGACCCCATTTTACCATCATTAGCTCTGGAGAGACCCATCTGCAAATTCACACATCTTCTGAGTTTCTGGGGTTACGGCCCCAGCCTACCAGTTTTGGAGATGGGCACGGCTCAGCCCCAGAGCACCCGGCGGGCACTTCCAATGGACAGCACATTAAATTCCCGGTGACATTTCCAAATCACCAGACAGACAATCCCAGTTGAAGACCAGTGAAATGAGCATGGTGCCTGTTGTCAGAATCCTCAAGGCCTGCCTGCCATGTCAGTCTCCAGGCACGAGGAAAAGTGTGACGCCCTGTCTTTGTTGTGACCGGCTGTGGCGGCGACTCAGAAAGTGTTTCCGCCCTGGCCTCGCCCCAACCACCCTGCGAGGCTTTTCTTCTAACTGATCCCCCAGCCAGTGGGCAGACAACTCAGTCACGACCCCCTCACGGGGGACCTGGCCGTGGTCTTGAGGATGCACTCTCATTTGGGGTCCATCTCAGGCTGCCTCTGTCTGCTCAGAGGCCAGCCCACCGGCGGGACGGTCCTTTCCCTTCCAAGTTGGGGTGGCCTTTCCGGGCGTCTGGCCTCAGGGCTTCTGGCTTTCTCCTGGGGCTGCCTTGCTGGCCGGCTGGCGGGCAGCCTTCCTGGGCATTGTCTTCCTCTTCACGCCGCCTCTGTCTCCCTGCAGGAGGTGGGCGCTCTCGACCCAACTCGGGCGGATATAACTATGGTAACGGAGGTCTCTCTTCTGCGCGGTGCCGGGGAGCTGCTGCCTCTGCGGCGCTAACACCCGCCTGGGCCCTGGTGGGAAGCTTGCTCGCGCCGGGTGTCCTGCCTGCCGCCTAACCCACCGCCCGGCTCTGCCATCGGTGTCCCCGCCTGTCCCCACCGCTGGCCAAGATGGTTTGCATGGGATGAGGCCGTAGTTTCTTGAAGGGACATAAACAACATGCTTGGGCTGCATGCTCACACGTGAGCTTGTGTGTTGTGTACAGGTGTGTGAGCATAGATTTGCACACATATGTATTGTGCACAACACACATGCACGTGGCTTTTGCACGTCCACGCACATGCATGGGGATGCATATATGTTCACGGGTGCAGCACATGGGGTCATGCATGTGTGTTTGTGCCAAACACATCCACGTGTGTCTTCGAGCATGTGCTCATGTGGGCATGTGGGCATGTGCTTGTGTATGTTGGACATCTGTGCTCATGTGCACACACCCCTGACCCCTGGACCGAGAGCTGTCGTCTCTGCCCCTTGTTGTCACCGTGACATGGAGCACCTGTGTTCTGCGTCCCTGCTGCATGTCACCTTTCCCGGGGAACAGGCAGCCCTGTGAGAGCGTTCACTCTTGCCTGCTTGCTCACCGCGGCAGCCCCCAGCCTCTGCTTGGTGCCGGCCGCGCGGGGCCCCCGTGCACGGCTGCCGAATGCACGCGTGACCCTGTGCTTTTCCCGTTGCAGGTGGTGACAGCTACAATACCTATGGCAACCCTCAAGGTAATACATCGGTGCCCCCCCCCCCGATGTTTCATAAGCACCCAGCGTCGCCCACCCATGGGTGAAGGGCCAGTGTGGGCGTGCGTCTCTGTCCCAACCCGGGGACGCTCATAAGCGCCGGGTGGCTTTCTTTGTCAGGAAACTCCTGTGCAAAATCTTCAGCGTGGGGTCACGCGTGTGGAGCTCAGAGAGGCAAAGATAGAGATTAGTGGTCACGGTGCAAGGTGCCCTGTCACTGTGAGAGCAGAGATGGGCTTTCTTGGGGAGCTGTGGTCATTCTGCCTTGTGGTCCCCTCCAAGTGCTCAGCCAGCCCCCCTGAAGGTCCAAGACGAAGGCACTGAGGACACAGGTGATGTCTGTCACGGGCAGCTAGGAGATGGGTCCCAGGCCCTGAGCCACGAGACATTTCCTTGGAAGATGAGGAGAAAGCTGTCTGTCCACAGAGGTGGCGGCGGTGACATGTCCCTCATAAAGGGGAAAAGGGACCAAAGTGAATTTGCAACTGGAAGTCGAGATGGGCATGGAGTCTCTGGATCCTTCTTGGTTGGGTACTTGGTGTTCTTAGAAAGGTCCTTAAGGTAGAAGGGGGGAGCCCAGTGCCTAAGAGAGAAATCCAGGTCGGACCCGTGGTCGGATGAGATGTGTCCAGGCCTGTAGCAGCACGGAGGGCCAGTCCTGTGCCTCGTTGGGGTGGGTGGGGGTAAGAACTCTTGGCAAAAACTATATTGAAGCTTCGGTCTAATGGATGAGTCAGCGGCGGCCATGACAGGACAGCACAGGAAGATGTTAGGGACCATGGTGAGCGAGGCCAGGCTGGCTCCCCTCCTGGCACACCAGGAGTGTCTGTGGCCAGGGTGTGGAGTGTGATGGGCACACGGACCTGGAGAATGGCCAGCGTGCTGATGGGATACAGCTGGCTCCCCCCTGGGAAGCATGGACCACACAGGGCTAAGTGTCAGGGAGACCGATGACAAGAGTCATGCGGTTCCCAGATGGGAGGTGCTGGTGAGCTAGGTGATGGGCAGCAGAGATGGAGAGGAGAGGTCAGCTTTTAGGGTTATTTGGTGATTCGTGCTCACGTGGTTGTTCTGTATGGAACAGCGGACAGGAAAACATGTATCGGTGAGTTCTGATGTACAACAACAAAAAAATAATCCCAAAATGTGTATTGGTGAGCTCTGGTATGTAACAAAAGGTCCCAAAACATGTATCAGTGAGCTCTGCTGTGTAACAACAAATCCCAAAACATGTATCAGTGAGCTCCGCTGTGTAACAAAAGGTCCCAAAAATGTAGTGGCTTAAAATACAACCATTTGTTAGGGGCAGGATTACAGGACTCGGGGTGTTGGGCTAAAATCCGTCCCTCCGACGGACCAGGTCATGCTCGTTCTTGAGGAGGGCTGAGGGAAGCGTGTCTGCACTTTGAGGCAACACAGCTACATGTCTGTGTTATGCTGGCCGAAGTCCCCATTGCGTGCACGAGGCCTGGCTGCCACCTCTCGGTTGGGCAGTGGTACCAGATCATGTTGCAGAGGGTGCGGACGCAGGGAGGGGGAGACCGAGCCACCAGAGGTGGCTGTGGTGTGGTTATCGATTGAGGGACAGGTCCCTGGGCTCCAGGCAGCCTGGGAGCCTCGATCCTGCAGTGGCCATTCATCTGTCACCTACGACACACCAGGGGCTTGACCCAGTCAGAGGTGCCACGAGTGTGGTTACTTTAGAGGCTGTTCCCCTAACATTAAAGGGCCTTTGTAAGTGAGAGGTGGCCACGTTTATTGAGATCAATAACAGCTACTGAGGAAGCGCTGACTCAGGCAGGAGCCCACGCAGGGTCCCCAGGAGGAGCAGACACAGGGGTGGCACCTATGAGAGAGGGGAGGGGACAGGGACACCCACAGCAGGGAGGCGTGGCCGTGGGCGCAGCTGACATGGCATCGTGACGCTGCCTCTCCACAGTGAGTTTCATGCTCAGTCCTGGGCTCATCTGTCCAGTGGTCACTGGCTTTCCTGTCCCCTTGGCACACAGCTCTGTTGGACACAGGGAGGCTTTCGGCCCCGTGCACAGGTCACTTTGTCCTGTTTCAACACCCACAGGTTGGAGGCATTCGACGTGTGAGGCAGCTCCTTGTGGCTGGTGGCTCCGGCTTCTTTGCAAAGGGGCTTTGTTTATAGTATTATTTTCAAACGAGGGGAACGGAGATGGCCACGTGGGGGGCTTCTGCCTGTGTCTCCAAGGCACCCCCCACCTCGGCTCTCTGTGCAGGAGTCCGGAGCCTTGCATGAAATGAGATTTCCAGGCCTAGCGGTCTGCAGTCCAGAGCCCCAGCAGGGCTTTGGGGGGTGCCGAGTGGCCTGCTCCCCTTTGGGTGAAATTTTGCTCTTTGGCGAGTTAACATCCGACGTCCCCAAACGTACAAGTCCGGTCAAACACGTTTTTAAGAGACATAGTAAGGACGCCTTGCGCGTGCAGTCTTGGGGGTCCTCAGTGGGTACCCCATAATTATTAGCTCCACGGGTGGCGAAGAAGAGTCCCCTGGTGAAGTTCCCTGCTCTGAATGGCTCTTTTTCTTCCGTGGGTGTGAGAAAAGCTGGGATGCGCAGGGATTTAAAACGAACGGCGTTTCCGCGGCCGCCTTTTCTCACTGCGCGGTGCCGCTCTTGACCCCTGCAGGCAACATGGTGGCGAAAATTGTGTCTCCCATCGTCTCCGTGGTGGTGGTCACGCTGGTGGGCGCCGCGGCCACCTACTTCCAGCGCAACCGGAGGAGAAATTGCTTCCGAACCAACGGTAAGGTCCACTCCCATTTCTCCCCCCGCCCCCACCCCGTTTTTCAAGCCTGATAAATATACTCTCTGGCGTCTTTAGCGAGCGCCGTTATTTCTAGCTCAGCAGCTCTTGCCTCGTGAAGGGATTTCTAGTCGGAACTTTCTAGTCACGAACCCAGAGCAATTGGGTGAGAGAAACCAATGTGTGTGTTCTCACAGAAAATGCTCAATCCTTTTTTTTAAAAAAAGATTTATATATATATATTTATTAGACAGAAGGAAAGGGAGAAAGAGGAGACAAACAGGAATGTGTGGTTGCCTCTCATGCGCCCCCTACTGGACACCTGGCCCACAACCCAGGCATGTGCCCTGCCTGGGAATCGAACCTGTGACCCTTTGGTTTGCAGGACTCAGTCCAATGAGTCACACCAGCCAGGAGTGGTCCAGGCTCCCTGGTTTGGAGAAGCGCCCCTGGATAGCCAGCTGCTGGTCACCGAGGGCTCTGGAGGTGCCCCTCTAAGAGAGGGGCACAGGGTGAAGGAAGTTCTATTGCACAATGAACAGCTCAGCGTTGAACTTGAGGTCTCTGAATGTTTGGTTCTGAGACCACCCATGGGTGAAGCTGTCTGGGGCTTGTTGGGGGACGCTACCAGCAGAAACCTATCCTGATGGCCTCGTTTTTTTTCCCCCCTTACAATTTGTGCAATTTCAAAACCCTAAAACCGGTGTGTCGCTTCCCCCTGCTGGTGGATGGGAGGTAGTGACCCATCCCCGCAGGGCCAGCCTGGGTCTCCATGATGCCCAACCTCCAAAGGGCGAGGCAGGGGAAAACAGAATTGAGTGAAAAGGCCTGGCTTTCTCAGCAGCTGCCTCGGCAGGGCAGAGCTCTGCACGTTCGATTGGATGGCTATGTCCCAGAGCTCGGGGGGCCCCCTGAGGACAGGGCTGGAATGGGGTGAAGGGAGGGAGCTATTCGCCTCAGACACATTATGTGAATGGCATAGCAACAAACTCCGTCACGGAGGGAAAAAGAGTATTGAGTGCGATACCAAAATAACAATAGTACTAGTGACCGTAATAATTCAAACTTCGCCGTGCAGGTCTGACACCTGTTCACATACAGTTTTCCTAAAACCGGGAAGGAAATAAAATAGAAACGATGGCAATTTGCGCATATAATTCGCTTGAACGAAGGGCGTAGAGTTATGCGATGTATCTAGGGTGTTCACCGACCCTTCACGAAGAGCAAATGGGGGACAAGGGAGAGAGCTTTCCTGTCCCAGCTGAGAAATGTCTGTCGCCGTCTTGCCCCGCAGCACCGGAGAACGTCTGAGGACCTGGACGTGCCCTGGGGAAACCTCCGTCTAGACGGGACCCGCGCCCCCCTCTCCTGTGGAAAGTCTCCTTCGTCCTTGGCTTCCTTGAACTTGACTCCTCTCCTGCTGCGCAAGGATGAGCTGCTGAGAAACCAGCGCCCCCTCTCGCTGGCTGTCCTGGGCTGCTTCCCCAATAAACCCGACTGCTGGACCGGGTGGAGCCAACGCGCCCCCCCCCCCGCCCCCGTCTTGGACACAGAGCTGTTCCTGTTTGCACTGAGCTCTTCACACTACCTCCTCCTGCTGCAGAAACACGCCTCATGTTCGTGCCTGGGGGCTTGGCCGTGAAACGCGGTGTCTGCAAAATGGCTCAGGGTCTTGGGCAGGGTTGTGACGGGTTTTTGGGAGAACGGGGGTTTCCGACAGGCGATGGTAGGAATTCGACCGGTGCTGTGTCCCTCGGGAAAGCCAGACACCCTGGGCGCTTTGCCCCTCAGGTGAGGCGGGCAGGAGGGACCCACAGCGTGTAGGGCAGAAGCCCGCTGCCCAGGACCCAGCATTTCTTTATCACCTGCAGAGAGCGTGAGTTGCAGGGGGGCGATTCTCAAGTGCAAACTCATTTGTGGGAAAACCGCCTCTGATTCTCCGAGTCGCAGGGTGCGTGGTCCTGGGACACCGGGTGGATGCAGTCCCTGTTGGACACTGTGGGATGTGCATAGCGGTGCTCAGGTGCTGAGGCTTTTTGTGCAGTTTCTAGTCTTTCTCACGGGCTGGGGGCAGCGGTGCTGAAGCCGCCACGTCGGCTTTGCTTGTTCTACACCTTTTTTCTTTGGGCTGCAGTCGGAAACCTTACGTCCTTCTGCATAAAAAACTCCTATTGGCTTGTATTTGAGAGCTACATCGGGGAGGGGAACAGGGGAGATTTGGGTCGATCGGTGCAGCTGGGTTCCATCAAGATGAGTGTTCACAGGACTTGTAGACTTGGCCGTGAATACGAGAACCAGTGATGAGCTCCTGGCAGTGAGCGAGACACACAGAACACCCCTAAAAGTCCCAAATGTGGGGGCTTCCAGTGTGGGTCTGGGGGCTCGGTCTCCAAAGAGAGAGTTGGAAGCAAGAGGTGTTTGAAAAATAACTGAAAACCAATCACTGAGGCAGACGATGGTAAAAGGGGGTAAAAATGGTGATGGAAGGAGACTAGACTTGGGGTGGTGAACACATAATACAATATACGGGAGCGTATTATACAATTGTACTGATGAAACCCATGTGATGATATTAACCAGCGTCACCCCAATAAGCTCAATAAACATGACAAAAACCCCAAAAGGCAACAATTGTTATTATAAGTCTGTGTCTCTCAATCACTCAAAACAATCACGGTGGAGACATGGAATGAAAATGGTCAGTTATGATGGTTTAGTGCTGTGCTCACAGTTTCCACAGGGAAATCACTGAGGTTCCTTTTATAACATAATTTACGGTAACAAGAAAACAAAGCTAATAAGCATGTAGAGATACCTTACAACAGAACTGCATGTCTGGTGTCCTGGATTGAGGTGGGATTTGAACACTGAAGACAGCCTGTGTATTTACACAAAGGAGACCTACTAGAGATTGGGGTGTCTGGGGTGAGGTCATTTAAGGGCTCACAAGTGTCTTCCAGTGGGTGGGTCCTCAGCGTCCTGTGACCTTGCTCTTCCCAGGGCATAGATCACTCATGGTAAAATAATGGCTGCTGTTGCTCCAGCCATCACAGCCCACCTCCCAATCTCCAGAGGCCAGATTGGGATTATTTCCCCTTGGATGTCTTCTTTTAAAACTACAGAGTCCCTTCCACAAGTCACCAGCTGAGTGAGCTCTCACTCCTCATGAATATACAAGGGACTGTAGAGCCCCAGGCGAAAATTGATCAGGTGAGAACCCATGAATCCTGGGGGGAAATCGTACGCCTGTCAGAAATGCGCAGGAGAAACACGGAGGCCGAATGGGAACTGATAGCATGTGCTAGAAACCCTTTGCTTATTCTCGTAATCAAGTTGCTCACGAATATAGCGGTTTAGATAATGTCATGAGGTTCATTTTTATGGATGTCTCCAATACGACTCTAAATGGTCAATCAAGCCCACATGTATGGGTAACCATTTATCAGACACCTTTTGTCTCCTCCTCTGCTTGTCTTTCGAGTTAATTCACAGGGCGTTTGTCCCCGAAATTTACCGTATACAACCAAATTAGCTGAGGTCTCATTTGTGGATTCGGGTCTGAGATGCGTCCCCAGACAGGTCTTATCCAACAGTATCATTTCTGGCCTGTGAACCCACTAGCTCTGAATGGACCTGTAGGACGAAGAGGACTCACTTGGCAGTTTGTCCGGAACCCAGAGAAGCGGTGCCCTCTGCTTACCACATGCCTGGTGGAGTTCACCAGGCGGCCTTTGTCCATGCCTCCTGGACACCAGGACACTGAAGAACCTCGCAACGCCCCCAGCAGGACGCTTGCTCCGTGTATAAATGGGCCCACCCTTCGTCCAGGGGTGCCCTGTGGTGAACTGCCTTATGCTCTCCTTTCTGAGCACGGGTTTGGAGTGGGCAGGTGGGGCGGCTGGGGGGTGAAGGAGACCCTGTGTGTCTGTGATTCTTGTGTTGGGGGGACAGAGGTCTCTGGTCGCCCCCCCGGAACCGCCTGCTTACACGTTGTGCTGCGTTCACCAACCGTCCGCGCTGGCTGCTGTCTGCTTCCCACTGTCTCTTGTGTCCCAGGTCCGCCGCCCCCTGCTCGCCTTGCCCAAATGTCCGCCATCCAAACAGGGCTTCTCCAGCGTGAGTCTGCGCCAGGGAGAGTGGATGACCCACGGTGCCAGCCCCCAGGCCTGGTTTCCGCATTTCGGGGGGTGGGGGACGGACAGGTGCCTTTGTCAGGATGTCTGAGGGGAACAGGATGGACCCACTTCATAGCTGACCCTGGGCTCCCTCGGAAAACAGGAGGTGGGGGAGGGCTCAGAGCCCCACGCAGCTTGGGGTGACCGGCCGGCCAGAGCAGCTGGGGTGTGTGGGAGGCGAGGACATGGGTGGGGGACAAGGGACACAGCTTCCCTTCTTCAACCCCATAAGCCGCCTGGTGTCATGGCCTGTTCTCTGGAGAGAATGTTGGGGTTCCCTGGAAACCCAGATGTCCTGAGAGCTTCTGGTTACCGGGAAACCGCAGGGGGCTGGTTCTGCCGCGGATGCCACAGGCTGCGTGGCTGCCTGGGTCTCAGCAGGGCGTTTCAGCGGACATGTTCCTCCCCAGCCAGCGAGGACAGGCCATTTGTCCCCAGCCCAGAGTGCGGCCGCTCACCGTACCATCCTCTCCGGGCTCAGAAAGCACTTTTTTCCTCAGCCGACGTCTGTGGTTCGGAGACCCCCCTGTCAACACGTGGGGGAGGGGTGCTCCCGGCACCTGGCTGCTGGAGACCTCGGAACCGTTCCACACAGTCACCCAGCGGCAAATATCAGCACTGCTGAGGGCGACAAACTCTGTCTTCACATGAGGGACTGTCTGTCCGCTTGCCTATCCATCTACCCATGTGTCTGTGAATCATCTATCCATCTACCCGTCCATCGATCTATTCATCTGTCTGTCCATGTGTTCATCTTTCCATCCATCCATCCACCCACCCATCCATCCATTTATCCATCCATCCGCCCATCCACCCATCCATCCACCCACCCATCCATCTATCCATCTGTTCATGCTTCTGTCCAACATCCATCCATCCTTCCATTCGCAGGTGGAGACCAGAGACACTGCTGACACAGCCAAGTGTCATGGCAAAGACTTCAGCTCTTCTGAGAGGCGAGCCCCCAGGATGTGCCCGCCGTGACCTGACTTCTGCTCCTGGTGAGATGTGACCGGCATGAAGAGCCCAGAGGCTGCTGCTTGCTGCTCAGCTTGGAGAAGGAGATGTGTCTGCCAAGTGGTGCAGAGGGAGCTGGCTGGAGGGAGGCAGGAGGCGGGAGGCGGCCCTCTGCCCATCTGGCCAGCAGCCACCATGAGCAGGCAGCCCTGATGGTGTTCTCTGGATGTCCCCTTTGACGGTTCCATGCAGTCGTCTGAGACAGACCTTGCAGGAGCCGCTGTCTGCAGTGGAAGGTGGACTGCTCCCACTTCTCCCCTCCCGCCTCTCCTGCGTGCAGCCCCAGCTGGCTCCTACCCAGGCTCTCTCTTGCTACAGGACGGTTTCCCAATGTAGCGTGATTGTGTCCCCAGAGGCCACCGGGCCGTGTCTGGAGACATTTAAGGTTGTTGCAACTGGGAGAGAGGTCTCGCTCCTGGCATCTGGTGGGTGGGGGCCAGGGAGGCTGCTCCACACCCTCCGGGGCCCGAGACACCCAGCATCAGAGAGACCTCCAGGGCGTGAGACTGGGAGATGCTGACCCAGCGGGAGGGGGTTTTGTCCTCTCCATTTCTCTCTCTTTCTCCGTATTGGTCTGGCCATTCATGCATCCATCATCGATCTGTTTATGCAACCCTTCCTCCGTCCATTCACCCATTCCCTATCAGCTCTCTACCCATCATTATCTATCTATCTATCTATCTATCTATCTATCTATCTATCTTCTCCTTCTTCTTCACTTTCAAATTCATCTTCTCAATAATACAAAGATCTCGCTGGTCTTTTGAAATTATGTGGGTGGTGTTTGCTCGGATGGTCTTGAAGTGGCTGGTTTTCGTGGGGAGGACACTCCTCTCCTGTCCTTCCCCCGGGGACCCCGGCACACCAGCAGAGTGGGAAGCCCCGGTCTCGTGTCCCGTTCAGCAGGAATGTCAGGCTCCTCTGCTGGTTGTCCCCTGGACACTGGAGCAGGCAGGACAGTGACAACTCGGAGATCAAAGAGTCTCTGAAATGACTGCTGTTTTTTTCTGCCTCTTCCCTGAGGGGTTCCCCGATCCCTCTCGGGCTGTCCCCCCTTCCTTCTGCAGCCCACCTGACCCTGCCGCTTTCTTCTGTCCACCCCAGGGGAGTGTCCCAGACGGCCGGCCCTCCAGGGCAGCACCCCGGGGCACCCACCGCCCCGGTCCCTCTCCCCCCCCATTCGACGACATGGGCGCTGCATCTCATCTGAGTTTTTCCCCGGGTCCCCCCGAGCTGGAGGGGGGCCTGGACCAACACCTGACCTGCAGACCTCGGTCTGTCCAGGTCTGGGTGGTTGCCTCGAACTCCTGGCCAACATGTGAACAGCAGGACGGTCCGTGACACAGCCTGGACTTCTCCGGAAAACCGTTCCCGGCTGGCCGCCACGGCCCCCCGCCCTCTGCTACACCCTGAAGTCCAGTGAGGGCCTCCCCGCCCACGGACGCAGTTCCCCAGGAATGGCTGGTGGGCCCAAGGGCCTCCCAGACCAGTCACCTGTTGGCTCTGGGTGTTGGTGGCCTGATGTAAATCCACCGTCACCAAGGAGGCACTGATAGCCCTTATCTCCAGCTCTGGGGCGCTGCAGACCCAGAGGGAACAGGAATGCAAAGGCTCAGGCGGACTGATTTTCACCTGAATCCATTTTTCCCTCTCACACGCACACGCATTGACTCCTTCCTTTATTCACGCCCCTCACTCACTCACGCGCGCCTGCACTCATTCATTTGTTCACTTCATTCATTCCCTCAGGCGTAGATGAACTCGTTCCGCGTTCCTCCGCTCACTGGTGCCGGCGTGACCCCTTTGGTTCCTTTACGCATTCGTGCCGTCCACGCACCGCGTGCGCCAGGTGACAGACGCCCTCCCTCTAGTCTGCATTCAGGATTTCTTCTCCTCGTTACTCCTTCATCCCTGCATTTGTTCTCTCACTCGTGAGCGCGTTCATTCCCCGACTCTGGTAAGCGTTGAATCATTCGCTCACGTCGAATAGCCATTGTCGTTTACTCATTCAGTCACTCCTGCAGCCCGGCGCGCGCTCCTCTGCGCCTCCCTCCACGAGATCCTGGAATGCACATCCCCGGCTGGCGGGTTTCCACCGTGGCCTCCGCGCGGACTGCGCGCTGGCCCGGCGCCCGGGCCCTTGAGGCCATTGCAAACATTTACTTTAGGGCCGGCTGGTTAAAGGTTAAATGTCCGAATCCAGAGATCGCGGACTCCTGCATTCAGCTGGGAGGGGGCTGCGACGGCGCTGGGGCGGGGCATCCCCGGACAGCTGGAGTCGCCCGGGCGGGCGGGGGCGCTGGGGCGTTGGAGACGTGCGCTGGAGCGGCCGGGCAGAGGCGGGACTGGGCTTCCGGAGAGCGACCAATCGCGGTGCGCTGTCCGCGGGGCCTCCCGGGGCCGGTGGAGCCACTCAGCCGGAGAGCAGGGGAGGTGTTGGGGGTGGGGACACAAGGGTCCCGGAGACGCAGCCTGCCGGAGCGCGCAGAAGGTGCTGGAGACCTAGGGGTTCGGGGGCGTGGAAGCCTCGTGGGTGCGGCTGGGGACCCGGGAGGGGGCCAGCGCACCGAGGCTGCGGGAGTGCGGAGAGGGGGTGAGGTGCGGGGGCGGGGAGCGCGGAGGGGGACCTGAGCGGAAAGAGGTAACCGGGGGAGGCAGCACGCCGAGGGAGCCGGAGGGACGCAGCGGGCCGTCCGGGACTGGCGAGCCCGGAGGAGGTGCAGCGCGAGGCTGGCACGGGGATGGCTCGGGGACGGCTGAGGGGTGAGGGGAGGCCGGCCGGCAGACAAAGGCTGCGCCCAAGCGCGGAGGGTGAGGTGTGGGGCACCTCTGTGACGGAGGTGGCGGGGGTTCAGCGGAGCCCAGGTGACCCGGAGCGAGGAGTGGACGCTGGGCTGGAGCTGCACCACGGGTGTGTCTCACAGGCCTGGAAGTCAGCGCTGGTCCCCGGGAGACTTCGCTGCCGCTAGGCCGGGCGAAAAGCCGGAGAGTCCACCCAGCGCGCCCAAGTGCACGTCGGCCCCTCGGCGCCCACGGCGCGCGGAGCCTCGGACCATGCCCGGTGAGTCGAGGAGCGAAAGCCCCTTCCATTCAGCCCGCCTCTGTGCCTTCTGGCACGCGCGCGAGGTTAGTCTGCGCCGGGAAGACCCCCGCCGTGCCCCACGATCAGCCCAGACCCCTGGTCTCCCATCGTCTGCGACCCCAACGTCTCCCAAGTTTGGAGAAGCTGGCGCGGCCCGCTGCAGTTGGAGACGTGGATGTTCCGGCAGTTGGGAGGAGCGGTTTACAGCCCGGTCGGGGGCATTCAGAGTTCATAATCCCCCTTCTGTGAAAAGTAGCTCTGCGGGTTTCAGTGCGCAAGTTTCTGGGCCAAAGCGCTGAAGTATCTCAGATTCTCAGTGAGTGGAAACAGATGGGAAGGGCTCCTGCCCCCTCTCCGAACTCGGGGAAGGCAGGGCCTTGGGGTTCTCATGAGTTCTGACCGCGCGCCGAGTGTCGCGAAACCCTCCGCAGACGCAGACGGCCAACCGGAGACAGAGGGCGCGGGGCTGTCGGTCTGTGGCCCGGTCTGGTCCCCAAGGGCTCACGTGTGTTTCTCTGTGCCTGCCCTTGGGTTTGTGTGAACGTCGGATTTGGACAGCTGAGTTCAGAGACTTAGAACTGGACCCATGAGAGTGATGCGGGTGGGTTTGCCTCCGTAAGACGGCCCCACTCATGGGCCAGACCCGATCATTTATAAGTAGGTTAGTGTGAGCCATTCAGGGGAGCCATGCGATGCATCTCCACGCGGCTTGTCCTGTGGTCTGGCCTTAGAAAGGGCAGTTTGGGGGGCCCAGAAAGAAGGGCCGGTTCCCTCAGGGCGCAGGGCAGAAAGGACGGTCTGTTCTACGCCGCCGAAGTGCGAAACCACGCAGCCCGCGAAACCTGAGCGCGGGGCCCCGCAGAAGGGCAGCATTCAGCCCCGGACCTGTGGACACCGCTCTGTCAGCCCTGGGCCGTGCCGTGTGGAAGACTGTGTGGGTTCTCCGCGGGTCGCAGGGAACAAAAACATCTTTGAGCAGAGGGGACCGGCGGGGAGCGAGCGGCCGGGGCTATTTCAGGGGCCGGCTGGAGGACGGCCTGAGTGGGGGCCCGGCCCAGCAGAGCCACAAACACGTCTGGCGGATTCATTACAAAACTCACAGCCACCTCGACCTTGAGGTTGGGCTGGATGTCGCCAGACTCTCTTTCTTTCTCCCTTTTTTTTTTTTTTTACTTTTCGCCTGGGTTTGGAGCCCCACGAGAAAGTTTATCGGTTTCTTTCCTTCCACTGTGCGCCCTGCCTTAGCTTGGGTCTGTGGTCTTGTCACTGTATCCGTCACATGGACAGTCGCTGTCTGTCTTCCGCACCGAGGCTGCATAAACCCAGCTCTGTGGACGCAGCTCTGAGTCTCTCTCCTCCCTGTGGGTGTGGGGCCTCTTCCTGACACGTGGCCTCATCCCGCTGCCCTTGGCCTTGTCTTTGCCCCACCTACCTGGCCACCTCGGGCCCCGCACACCTCCAAAGGGAACCCAGTCTTGTTTTCCGCCAGTTGTTGAAAAAACTGGACAGCTAGGTATGTAGGCGACAGATAGGTACACGGCTACATAGAGTCAGAGGTGGATGGTGATGATACGTGTTAGATAAATAGGTGATCGGTACATAAATAGGTGGTAGATAGGTAGAAAGGTGCATGATAGAAAGATATGGATGATAAATACCATAGATAGGTGTACAGATGGTAGATAGATACATACGTAAATAATAAATGATAGAGACATAGATAGAGAGAAAAATACGTAGGTATCTTTCGAGTTGCCGACCTGACGTCTGAGCCTTGCTGTCTGTAAGACTCCGCTCACAGTGGAGGTGTCAGAAATCCTTCTAACTTCCTAATTCTGGCCAAAACCCCCAAACTGACAAACAGCCCAACCCACCCACAGTATGCAGACAGACAGGCTCCTGTCAGAACAGGCTCGCTGGGGAATTCACTCGGAGGGACGGCCCCCATCAGGACGTCCGCCCCCCGGGAAAGCAGAGCTGGGAAACCGGCTCGGCTTGTCCCATTCCGCCCGTCTGTGAGTCTGTCCGCCCGCTCTGAGGGCCTCCAGTGGGGGGATGCTGGGATCTTCGAGAATGGAGTTGCTGCCTGCTGAGCATTTTAATTCGGTCCTGCCACAGGCACAGATTTCTCTGTCCTGGCACCCAGCTCCCGTGGGCCCAGAATCCAGTGCCCCTGAGTGTGCCCTTGGACTCTAAACCTTGCGGTAGACGGCTCTTTCTGCCTGTCCTGGAGACGGAGAACTTGAGGTGAAGGCAGCCGATATGTCCCCCTTCCTCCCCTCTCCTCGGCTTCCATACCCTGCAGCCTCCGTCTTAGCAATCAATCGGTGGTCGGTGCAGGATTGAAGGGTCCCAGGGTGGCGTTCCTGTGACTTGGGCGGGGGCCGGGGGGCGTCGTCCCTGGAAATCAGATCATGCGATTGGTGCTGCATCTTCTGATTGGTTTCCTTGGAAACGTTCGAGGTGCGCTTTCGACACTTCAAGGCAGAAGGCAAGAAAGGGCTGTGGCCGTGGACATCCACGGTCTCTTAGCAGCGGGAAAGTTGTTTTATTTGTTTTTATATATTGGTCTGGGAGAGAGGAAGAGAGCGAGAGAGCGTGATGAAAGTGCGTCGTTGCACTTTACGTACGCGGGATTGGTTGATTGACGCCCTCACTGGTTCGTTCTCCCACGGGCCCCGATCGGGCATCAGGAACCGCCAGCAGACGACCTTCCAAGCCACTGAGCTGCTTGGCCAGAGCTCGGACATGTGCTTTGCACTCTGGTTGACTGATTGGGTCTGGGCTTCCTTTGAACTTCCCGCGTGTGGGTGTGCGTTTATGTGAAAGTACATACGTGAGCTGTTAGCAGCGAACATTTTAGAATGCTGGCCGGTCACGCCATGTGACTGGTGAAGCCTGAGAGAGGGAGGGGCGGGCCCTTCACCAGCCGGGAGACTCACTGCTGTTTGTCCCTCCGTGTCCCCACAGTATTGGACCAGGCCTTTGTCACGCTGGCCACCAATGACGTCTACTGCCAGGGGGCGCTGGTCCTGGGCCAGTCCCTCAGGAACCACAGGGCGACCCGGAGGCTGGTGGTGCTGGTCACGCCTCAGGTGTCCAGGCTGCTCAGGTAAGACGTGCAGACACACCTGGGCCCAGCCGGCTGCTCCGGTGGAAGGAAGGCCACCCAGGCGTGGTCCGTGGTCCTGGACCACTGTCAGGGAGGGAGCAGATGGGTGGGTGATGGATGGGAGCGTGCATGATGGAGGGATATTGCAGATGGACATCAAAGACTCTCTTGAAAGACCCTCGGCCATTATTCAAGCGGGGGACTCCGTCCAGGGATGTGCCACGGCTGAGAGTGGCACCTGTGGACAGTGTTTGATGCCCCCTGGGGTCACGGGGGTTAAGAGTGTGTGCATTTTGCTCCCTGAACTGAGTGGAGGAGGAGGCAAGGACGAGTAGCCAGTACCCTGCTTAGACACAGTGAGTTTCCCTGTGGGAATGGTCCGATGATCTGGGGGAGCTTTGAGGGGAGCCCCTGAAGGACATAAGTTCCAACTTTCGAGGCAGTAACATAAAATGCATGGAAAGGGAGAGATAAAAAAATACAAGTCTTGCAGTGAAAGGTGGAGAAGGATTATAGAGAAGAAGAAAGTATTTTATTTATTTATTTTTAGAGAGAGGGGAAGGGAGGGAGAAAGAGAGGGAGAGAAACATCCACGTGTGGGTGCCTCTCGTGTGCCCCCTACTGGGGACCTGGCCTGCAACCCAGTCATGTGCCCTGACTGGGATTAGAACTGGTGACCCTTTTGTTGGCAGTCTGGTGCTCAATCCACTGAGCCACGCCAGCCAGGGTGAAAGTATCATACATTTTAAATGAAAAAAGTAAATAAACCTGTAGGACTCTATCCACACGTATCCAGGATTATAATCGAGGGAGACAGATTAAAACCCCATTTTAAACAGGCTGTGTCTCCTCACAATCTTTACCGGTTGGCTTTTAATGTCCGTCGCTGAATCCTGACCACAAAAATTATTCCTGTGGTGTTTGCCGCAGTAACAGTGATTTTGTTTCCCTCCCTCCTTTGACGTTTATTACTTGGAATTTTTCTGTAAACAGTAGCTGCCCTTCTCCCCCGTTTACTTAACTCATTTAATCTTGATCTCGGTCCAGACCCATGAATATTCATGGCACACATCATGTTTCTTATTCATGTTGTCGATCAAAGTCTTTCAGCTGTGGCCACGGGGCGCTTCTCCTGGTTGCTTCCTCATTTCCTTTTGACGTACTGTTAGCCTTTTCTTACCTCTTCCTTAGTTTTGTATCCTCACAAGATCTCGTAGGCTATGGTGAAATAAAGGCAGAAAGAATACACAGAAGACAGGCACATTGCATTTGGAGAAAGGGTAAAGGGTCTCTCACCACTGGACTCTCCAACATGTACGCAACGAACAACACATGTTCTCAATACAGAAGGCAAACCCTGGTAGACATTGCCGCCGACACCGGTTGGTTGCTACCTGTTCCGCCTTCCCTGCTCCCCGCCACCCGTTCTGCAAACCCAGGTGCCTTCCTAAGCGCTCACCCGACTCAGCCTGGCTTAAGACATTTCTGAACACTTTGTCAGGTTGTTTGAGTTTGCGTCCTTTTTGAGCAGGAGTAAAAATGTGGGCAAAACTCTAAGGCATCTGTGGGAAAAAGAAGCAAAGCCAGGCCCTGGGCTGGTGGCTCGGTGGGTTGGAGCATGGTCCTGGGCACCAGAAGGGAGAAGTGTGATTCCTGGTTAGGGCAGGTTTGATCCCCAGCCGAGAGGCAGATGGAGGGCAGTGGATGGATACCTCTCTCTCTCTCTCTCTCCCTTTCTCTCTTTTTGAAATGACCGAGCGTCTCCTTGGGTGAGGATTAAAGAATACAGGGTGTGAAGTGCACAGAGAGTGTGGAGGGAGGGATTCAGATTCCTCTGCCCCGTGGGTGAGCACCAGTGGGGTGTCCCGTGCGAGGCACATATTCCGAGTCCCATGCCGTCCAGTCCTCCTGGCATTCGACACGTGTCTTTCCCAGGCTTCTCCTCTCCAAGGTGTTCGACGAGGTGGTCGAGGTGGACCTGATGGACAGCGCAGACTACGTCCACCTGGCTTTCCTGAGGAGGCCCGAGCTCGGCGTCACCCTGACCAAGCTGCACTGCTGGACGCTCACCCACTACAGCAAGTGCGTCTTCCTGGACGCGGACACCCTGGTGAGCACCGCCTCGCGGGGACAGCCCGCTGGGTCGGAAACCCGCCCCAGATCACACAGCCCGCTGGCCGCTGCCTTTCCCTGGGTTCCCGCTGGCTGACACACGGGCACTCCCTCTGCCAGAGCCAGGTATCACACCCCCACCTGCGCCAGAGTGCAATCCCATCTACCCTAGGAGGCGTCTACAATCACGTCATTTCATCTGCATGAAACAGAATCATTAGAAAACCGTTGCAAATCCAGCCCTGACGGTGTATCATTGCCTTGCGTTGCCTCATCGATTGGACAGAAGCACCTGGGCTCTGAGATCTGACACCCCCAGGGGTCATTTCGGGGTGTCAGCGGCAGGACAGCGGCGCAGGGCGGGCGCCTTCAAAAAGTGCCGAGGCAGAATGTTAAGGGAAGTTGACATGTCGCGTGGCCACTCTGAGGTGTTTGCACAGAAGTAGCTCTCCGCGCACACAGAGAGACCCAAAGGGGAACAAGACACAATCAGAGCATTACCTTGTATTTGCGTACAAGCCCTCCCGATGCCCAGTGTCCGTAGTTTTACTGAGCAAGTTTGGTGGGTGAAGGGCGAGACACTAATTTGCTTTGGGAGACCCTGGCGCTCCCTCGGCTTGAGATTAACAGAGTGCACGGAGTCCCAGAGGCCTCGGCAGCCCTTGGTGGCGGGGACACGTTCTGAACACGGTTTCGATGTGGACGCGGTCAGTGTGCCCTGCTCGACACGGCAGGCTGTGTCCCAGCAACCTTGTCTTTCTGGAAGTAGAAACAATGTACTTTAAACAAACTACCAGAATGTAGCCAGTAAATACAGACACCAGTAACATTGTTGCATACATTTAGTATTACGCACCTGGACGTAAGTCCTGCTGTTGTTTTTTTTTTAAAAAACGTATGCCATCTGGTGGTAGGTTTGTAAAGACAGGGTCATCCCCAGCACGTATGCCATGTGTTGTGCAACGTGTTACATAGCATGGCTTTGCAGTGTGTACATTTTGGCTCTCCCTGGACAACATGTTAGGGGCACAGGACTGGGCGGGATTCAGAAAACAAAGTCACGGACAAAAATGAGGCGCAGTTTTTTTTCCCCCGTCACCCAACGCCGCTCGGCTCCTGCATCCGCGACCTGCGAACCGCAGCCGAGAGGCACGTGGCTTCAGGTCCCCACGTTTGGTTCCGCCAGGTGCTGTGCAATGTGGACGAACTCTTTGAGAGGGGGGAGTTGTCTGCGGCCCCCGACCCCGGCTGGCCCGACTGCTTCAACAGCGGGGTCTTCGTGTTCCAGCCGTCCCTGGAGACACATCGGCGGCTGCTGCGGCACGCCACGGAACACGGCAGCTTTGACGGTACGTGGCGGGGAGCTGGACGTGCGTGGACCCGCCCCCCCAGGCTCCCGGCCCCACGCCCGCCCTCCCGGGTCTCTCAGTGACAAGGGGGCGTCCGTCAGTCAAACGCCTGGATGGGAGGGAACAGCCGGCAGGGGGATGTGAAGGAATGAAGTTCTATCGTCAGTAAATATGCAGCAAAAACCCACTGGAAGTACGTTTTCCCAGTAGAGGGGGTGACCCCCAACCCTGATCTAGAACAGGCCGGCCAGCCTTTCTCTCCAAGGCAGGGACACAGAATTTATTGACATCCGTTGGAAATATTTCACTCCACACACTCTGGCGAGGCTTCCTTCACCAAATGAGCGTGGCCGGGTCTCCATAAAACTTTATTTATAAAAGACGGCGCTGACTTTCGTCGGCCAGCCTTTGCTATGAAATATGAAAGGGGAGAATTCAACAGACCCGACCAGAAGCCCGGGACTGGACCGGGCGGGCATTAACAAGTGGCCAAACGGCTAGAGTTTTGGTCAGTTTGGGAGAAAGTACTAGGTGTGGGTCACCACTGGATGAGAAGGAGGAGTCCATGGAAAAGGTGGGAGAAGCATCGTGGCTGTAAGATAGAGTTCGTCGCGGGTGGGGTGGAGAATTTCAAAGACAGTTAGCGATTTTATTATTTGTTATTTGGCCGATCAGTGGGGGATTTTGGAGAGAATGTGCAATTTTAAAATAATGGCTTGCTATTAATTGTATGAGTTCATGGTGGTGTTTTTCTTCCAGAGTGTGAGTGGGATTAAGTCCTGGCACTGTGGTGCGTGGGAATTGATTCAAGGTCATCCCTGGTTTTACCGTCAGTGGTAAACGATCCGTGGCATTCGCTTGTGGTAACTAATAAAAATGGATGCTATGGAGTCGAGGCCCCCTGGGAGACCACAGTGGCATTGCAGGGGGCAGAGCGGAGACACAGAGGGGTCGACCTTGAACCCCCTTCGGCCCCACCCGGCGTGGAATTCCCGACTCCCGATCCATTAACGTCTTTCGGTGTCCGCTAGGGGCCGACCAGGGTTTGCTGAACAGCTTCTTCAGCAGCTGGGCGACCGCGGACATCCGCAGGCACCTCCCTTTCATCTATAACCTGAGCGGCAGCACCGCCTACACCTACGGCCCCGCGTTCAAACAGTGAGTCCGCCCCCTCCGCAGGCCCCGCCCCCACCCCCAGGGTGGTTCCCAGAGTGTGGCCCGGGGAACCCCTGGGGGTTCCACACAGCTCCTGTGCCTGTCTACGCGGGCAAGTTGGGAAAAATAAGCCCATGATGGCGTTTGTCTCCGTTTTCCTGAGCCGACTGCGGGACTCTCCGGGGACTGGAGGATGTGGCAGAGCTGTGTGTCGAATGGGGACACACAAATAAACAGCTCAAGAGGATCAGGGCCACCTTTTTACAGTTTTTGGGGGGTTGGGGGAGGGGCAGATATTTCCGAAATAATTTTAATGCCTGGAACTAATAACGTGCTGTGATATTATGGAATAGCTTTAATACATTGGTGTGACCTTATGGTGCGTTGGTTTTTAAGACTGTCAAGGGCTCCTGGGGCCAAAGCTGGCGACCTCAGCTGCGGCAAGCCACCTGGTTATAACGGGATATGGAAAGTCTGAAAGGAAGCAAGGGAAGGGATAAATACGTTTACAGCAAGAGCGATGTTCCCCACCAGCAGGCGGGCATCGGGGCTCTGGGCATGAAAACATGGGACCCTTTTTAACGTATAAAGCTCAGGGGGCCGGCAGATGGACACAGAGCAAACTTGGTGTTGCCATTTCATTGGAAGGAGATCACAGGGGGAAAGATGCTTATGAAGGTGTCGGGGGAACCTTGGGTGGGAGTGCAGCCCGCTGCAGCCGCTGTGGGGAACCGCACGGAGGTCCCTCAAAAATTTAGAAGTACAGGTAGCATACAGCCTTGCATCTCCACTTCTGGAAGTTTCTTTCCAGAAAACAAAAACACTCCTTTGAAGGGGTGTGTGCTCCTTTGAAGGGGTGTGTGCTCCCCTATTTCATTGCCAGATTATTTACTTATTTATTAAATATTTATTTATTTTTAGAGAGAGGGGAAGGGGAGGAGAAAGAGAGAAACATGCATGTGTGCTTGCCTCCTGGGTGCCCCCTGCTGGGGACCTGGCCTGCAACCCAGGCATGTGCCCTGACTGGAAATCGAACCCGAGAGCCATGGGTTCGCAGTCCCAGGCTCAATCCACTGAGCTACTCCAGCCAGAGCTCATTGCTGTATTATTTCAAGTAGCCAAGAGAGGGAAGCAACCTGGCTGTCCATCAATAAGGCAAGTGGATGAGGGAGATGCTGTACAGACACACGGTGGAATATTACTCAGCCATGAAAAAGGAGGAAGTCTTACCCTTTGTACCAATGTGCTTGGACCTAGAGGGTATATTGTGCCCAGTGAAATTAGCCAGAGAGAAAAAGGCCAATACCGTATGATTCCACTTACATGCAGAATCACAAAAAGGAACAAACAAACAAAAAATACAAACTAATGGTTGTCACAGGGGAGGAGCTGGAGGACATGGAATTTTTAAAAAACATAAAAAATAACTTACTGAAAGAAATAAATAAACAACTTATAAATAAATAACTTACTGAAAGAAATAAATAACTTACTTACTGAAATAAATAAACAAAAATGTCCCTGGGTGTTGGCTGTGGAGATAATGGAAAAAAATGTAAAAGCCTGACCGGGGAAAATTCATAACCTTGTTTAGGGAGCCTGTCTTTTTTGGGGGGCAAAGCCCACCCTTGATTTTGTCCCTGTTGTGTTAAGAACATGATGAGCTTGCTGCCAATGGCGTCAGTGTTTATAAAACCCTAAATTTATGGTTCCCAGTTTGGGGGGATGTCCCTCATGGGTCATGCTTATGCTTCACTCCCGGTATTTACAAATGGACATGCTGCCTGCGTCCATCGCGTTTTAAAAATTCAAAAAGAAGTAAATAACAAAGAAATAACCCCAAAACGTTATCTTTAAGCAGTCGCTTCCAGTTTCTGCTTACGTAACTGCAGGCGAATGTCCTGGTGACTCCGCGGTGTCGATAAAGTTTTCAGACAGGTCGTGGACGCGCCTCGTGGCGGCTTGGCGTGCGTGCCGGCCGGTCGCCCGCGAACTCCCGAGTCTTCCCCCCTCAGGTTCGGCGCCGGCGTGAAGGTGGTGCACTTCCTGGGGCCGGCCAAGCCGTGGAGCTACAAGTACAACCCGCAGAGCGGCTCGGTTTCGGAGGAGGGGTCCGGGCTGGACCAGCAGCACCAGCTGGCCTTTCTCAACGTCTGGTGGGACATCTTCCACCGCAGCGTCCTGCCTCTGTACGGGAGCGTCCGGGACGCCGAGGGGCACGCGCCGGCCCCACGCACGGTGAGGCGGGCAGCCGGTCCCTTGGATCGCGACGGTGGTGAATAGAGTCAGTAATAGCGTAATAACTTCCCACAGGGACACAGGGTGGCTGGCCTTAGGATGGTTATACCGTAAGGTACAGCTGTGTTGAATCACTCTGCTGTACACCCAAAAATAATATCATGTCGTATGCCTACTGTAATTTAAGAAAAAAACGTAGCCCTGGCTGGTGTGGCTCAGGAAGTTGGAGCATCATCCCGGACACCAAAAGGTGGCAGGTTCGATCCCCAGTCCGGACCAATATAGGAGACAGCAGATGGATATTTTCCTCCCTGTCTCTCTACCTCCCTCCCCTCCGTCTTGAAACCATAAGCACATCCTTGGGTGAGAGGAAAAAAATTAAATGACACTTTGGGAAAATAAAGCAAGAGTTGAGAACAGAGAGAAGCTGTCCATGGTCAACGCCTAGTCTGTTTCCGGCAAAGGTAATAAAGACGAAGGTGACCTTTTTGGGGACTCAAAACGGTGGCTCTAATGAGCACAAATGCCTGCTGCCTCGCCCAGGGCCGATCCATAAATTATGCAGAAAAAATGAATTATTTAAATCAGCGGCTTCATCAAGGAAAGAGCCTCTGTGATAAGTGGCGAAAGATGATTGATCATCTTTTCGTCCGAGGAGACATTTCCCACTTTACGTCATTGGCGGGCCATCCAAGGCCCATCGTGAAGAGGGCTTTTAAAAATGGTCGGCACTTATTTCACGGTAAAAAATATAGATAATAAGCCTCCACGCTCTAGATCATGAAGCGTCTGCCGTTGATGTGATGTCGATTCATTTGCCCGGGGACAGGCCTGTTGAAATTAGGTCCCTGGAACATATTGCCCTGACGAGTTTTTAACCAGCAGACTCCCCCCGGTAGAGTTTTATTGTACATTTGCTGCCTTAACTCAAGTACCAGAAAATGAGTACCGAGCTTGAGAACTCACAGAGAATTTCCCTGTGGGCGGGGGGTGGACTCTGGGTTTCTGTTCGGCGGACTTCTGGGCTCCTTGCCGAGAAGTGACCCTGTCCCTGACATTTCAACGTGCGTGGATAGGAGTGTATTTTCGTCTGTGTTTTTGGCTGAGCACTGCGGGCTCAGGTAGAGTCTGGCTCCGCCCACAGGTGTGTCCGGGGCAGGGTGGGGGGCGTCCTTCTCACCTGGGGGGCAGCCGCTTTCTCAGGGGCCACCTCCCACCTGTTTCCTCACCGGCGACTTTGTGAGTGGTCACATTACCAGGAGTCCCTCAGCCGCGGGGCTGCCCTGTGTGGTTGGCCGCTGGGGGCGGGGGTGTGGCATCTCACTGCTCTTGATGTCAGAGCTCCCGGCTGTGGGTACAGCCTGCTCAGCGTGGGTGTAGGTCACGGGGAGGTTTTGGGGGTGCCTTCCACAAGTGCAAGTTGGGGTGCCCATGGCCCCACGGAGGACGGGGTGGGTCTCGGCAGCCGGAGAGATGCAAACAGGTCAGACCGGCCTACTAAGCGTGTCCCGTCTTTGGTTTAGGCTGGTGTCCGCGGCCCTGGGGTGCCCTGGGCAGCGCGTCCTGCGGAAGGGCAGTGTGCCAGCTCCGTGGCGGGGGCCAGCCGACCTTGGCCTTGGGACGACCCTGCGGAGCCCACCCTGGTAGTGAATGAGGCCCCGCCCTCACCTGAGAGAGCCCGTAGGGAAGACGTGAGTACATGCAGGCCACCCTCTCAGGGGCGGTGGGCCATCACGCACGGGGTCCCCGCCTCCTGGTCCTGGGAGGGGACGGGCAGGGAGGTGCCCCATCTTCAGCCTGCTCGGCCAGGCGCCGTCCGGCAAGATGTCTGCGCCCTAAGCACCACGTCAGAAAGGCTCCGTGCGTGGGGGCAGGGCCTGTGGGGGGGGGGCCCTGTGTGGGCCGATGGATCTTGGAGGCAGACAGACACCTCCTCCCTGTGAGTCTCACACCTGAAAGGCATTAGCACAGCACACACGTCACCTGTCACCGAAGCGTGCATTTGGCAGGAGCGAAGGAGCAGGGACACGGGGAGGAGACCCAGGGCGGGGCTTCTGACCTGCGGGGTTGTGACAGTCCATCCGCTCCGTTTTCAGGCCCCTGGTGTGTGGCCACTTTGTGCCAGTGAAACTCATACACACACCTAAGGACAGGTGTTCCTTCTGATCTCGATACTGGGGGAGCCCCAAAACTTTCTCGTTTGAAAGGGGGCACTTTGGGCTCCTGGCAGCTCAGGGACCAGAGCCCATGACCCTGCCTGCTGGAGGGTCTGGCCAAAGCCCGCACGTGCACGAATGGGACGTGGGTAGGTTTATGTTCTCCCGCCTGTCATTTCCTTGGAGGCCGCAGGTTTCCGTCCTGGGACAGGAAAAGGCGCGCCCGGTTGGCAAAACAGAACAGAACCGTCAATGAGGCGGCTGATTCTCCATCCCCATTGGATGAATGTGTGGCCTTTACAAATTTCTCATGGCAAATGGTCCCGTTCAAAGTCCCGTAGATTCTCACCCAAACGGCTAGGAACTCACCGTGGGGTGTGTGTGTGTGTGTGGGGGGGTGTTTGCAGGCTGCCGGGCAGGACAGTCCTGGTGTCTCAGGGTTTCCCATAATTTCCCGAGCTCTGGTTCGTGCTGGTTACACACAGCTGACGTTTATGTGGTGGTGACGGGTGGGAAGGCACCGTGAACTTGACCATCGTGTGGAACCAAGTTTGTCCCGCCCACGTTACACATGAATCAGTTGTGAGTTCCGACGTCGGCCCAGCCCGCGCCATTTCCAAAGACCCTCCGGTTTTGGCAGGGAAGTCGGAGGTGGCAGGCGATGAACGTTTCCCCCCCTAGTTTTTCGTTTCTCCTCTCCACCCGGTGGGTCTGGCCCCAGGAAGGCCTGCTGGGAGTTAAATACAGGGCAAGCCGCCGCTGCAGGAATCTGAAGAATGTGGTGTTATGTATAGAACCGCTCTCTCTCCTCCCCAACCGGGAGCCCCGCCTGCGAGATCATGGTGAAGAAAAGCCAGCGTGACCGTGACCGAGGGCAGAGCAGAGAGCACACGCGATGTGTTTACCAGACCATCGGCCTCCTCACCCTCCCTCAGAAAACCGTCGGCGATACAGGCTTCCACACGAGTTCCGTTTTGAGGGGAGAGCAGATCTTTTAGGCCCTGGGCCCCTCGGTGGAAGTCGGGAGGCAGAAAGGGTCCTTTCAAGAAACGTCCAGACGTCTTAGGAATTTTTGCTAGTTTATCGGAGCCCATCTGACGCTCATGGCTGGGAAGCAAGACCTGGATGCAGTGAGAAAATGCTCTGGACGGTGGCAGTTTTGTGCCTTATTTTCTGTGTTACGATTGGGGAGAAGGTATAAGGGGGTCCCACGAAATCTGTGGGTGATCCATCAGGGAGGCGGGAGGAAGCGCAGCAGGAAGGGATTGGATAAAAGCTTAAATGATTGACACATGCTCCTTAATCACGGGTGGGTACAGGATAGTTAACATTAGAAAGTTAACTTGCTGTCAATAACAATGAGGAGGTGTGTGGTCTTGGCTTGTGCCCCTCAGTTTGGGGAAAAGGGACACTGTCTGACGTTCCAAAGGTACGTTATTATCACAGACGCAAAAGGACAACACACAGGCCCAGTCACAGTACAGAAGGACGTTTGTCAGGGAAGATTCTACCCCAGGCCAATGCCTGCCCGCCGTGGCCGGCTTTGAGTTCGTAAGCTTTCATTTCAGAGCCTCCTGTGGGGTCTGTGAGTGTGGAGGCCCCCCTTGCTGGGCGGCCTGTGCTTCTCAGGTGTCAACTGCGGCCTCTTTTCATCCTGAAAAGCAAGCTGGCTCTGGACTTGTCTGGTTGTGAAATGTTCAGTGACCGCAGGAGGGGTTGGGGAAGGGGATCCCCAGGGAGGAAGGTGGGCGTCTGGCCCCTGAGGGCACTGGGGGTGCGGGCTAAGGGGGGGCAGAGTACTCAAAACAAATCCCAGTAAACGGGGAAGACAGGGGTCCCGCTGCCCTCACCCCCACGGAGCCCAGACATGGTCAGGGTAGGGACAAGCCCGAGGTGAATGAAGCTCATGCTTTTAGAGACCAAAGTAGAGAATCCAGCCGAGAGCCCCCGTTTGCAGGCATGGCACAGACGCTTAAAATCTCGATGAGAAAACAAAATACAAGCAAAAAAAAAACAACTTCGCCCACGGTTGCATGCTGTACCTTCTTTACATCCTGTGAAGAAGAAGGGTGAGGGGTGGGTGGGTCTTAAATACGTCTGCCGCTTGGATATTTTACGGCGAGTCTATAAGAGCGATGCGGTCTAGGTGCTTTTACAGTATATGTTATATATTCAGTATTTCATTTTCTGCCCCTGGGCGCCTTTGGAATTCATCACACAACGCTGCTGCCACCTACTGGCCACGTGTTGCATTACGGCTCTCGGTTCTTCCTCCCCCTGCCCCCACCGACTGAAAAACTTTTTTAACCCAGTGAAGGCGGGTAAGTTATTCATTTTTCTCTGTCGCTTTTCATTCCACCCTCCGCCTGTGGTTCACAGTATGCCTTTTTACTTTTATTTTTCCATCTTATTTTTAATAAAGCTTTTTGTTGGAGAAGTCCGTATCTAGGAAAGGGGGAAGGTGTAATAAGCGTCCCTGTTAGTGAATCTCCAGAGCGAAGCAAACGGAAGTTGCCAGAATGTCGGCAGACCCAGAAAGTCACCCACAGGACCCCTTGCCCCATCGCAGGCACCTGGAAAGGCTGTCGGGAGCTGGGCCAGTGTTCAGGTGGTCGGCACGCACGCTGGGAAAGATTCCCAAGGAGGAGAAGGGGCGGAGAGGAAAGTGGGGTTCCTCTCTCCAGGAGGGGAGAGGGGCTTGGTGCGCCCAGATGCTCCAGCCCTGGGGGCTTGGAGCTTCGACTAGGCGGCTGGGGCAGCTGTGGAGCAGGGGCTTCGGCGGGTCTTGTACAGGCTGCAGCTTGCCGTGATGTTATCTGTGGGTGCAGGGTGCGGTGCCGCCGGTTGAGGTCTGGTGTGTCCTGTTCTGTAAGTTCTCGGGGCCGCCGAGCCTTCTGGGTACGTTCACTCATCGTCTGGTGTTGATAGAGGCTCCTGAAGCAATTAGCGTCTATCGGTGGTGCATGATGGGGTCCAGCCAGCTCTGGGAAACCTGAGAAAAGGGGGCTGTTGTTCTGTTAAACTGGTATCACTTACGAGGGTTGCATCCCTTTGTTCCACAAACGAAATCCTGCCAAAGAGAGTTGGGAGTCTGGTCTACTTCTCTTCTCTTGTTTTTACTGTTTATTTTTAGAGAGGAAGGGAGGGAGGAAGAGAAGGAGAGAAAAATGGGTGGTTGCGTCTCATGCGCCCCCTACTGGGGGCCTGGCCTGCACCCCAGGCATGTGCCCTGACTGAGAATCGAACTGGCGAACCCTTACGTTCTGAGGCTGGTGCTCAGCCCACTGAGACACACCAGCCTGGTCTCTTTCAGTGGACGTATTTGTGCCCCCATCTTGCTGAGTGAACCGGTGGTCCGTGTGTTCTCTCGGGCTGCATGTCCTCAAACCGTTTATGGATGAATTCTTCCATTGGTGGACTGTTTGGGGTGTTGAGTAACCCTGACATCTCCCCCAGGGACCACCCTGTGGGCACCTCCTTGCCCTGTGTAGGCACGTCTGGAGGGCTTGTCCCCACGGCGGGGTTGCTGGGTCAGTGCATGTCCACGTGTAGCCTTAACAAGACGAAGTTGATAATGAAAGGTGAGTGGATCATACGGAGAATTTTCTCAAAGGTCGTGCGTAACCCAGCGAGCATGGGAGACGTGTCTCTGTGTCGGTTTAATTTGCAAGATCGAGCTGACTAACGGACTTCGCCAATTTGGCTGACTCAGTGGCACTAAGCAAAAGATAATACATCCTGCCTGGCTGGTGTGGCTCAGTGGATTGAGCTCGGGCTGGGAACCAAAGGGTCGCCAGTTCGATTCCCAGTCAGAGCATGTGCCTGGGTTATGGGCCAGGTCCCCAGTAGGGGGTGCCTGAGAGGCAACCACACATTAATGTTTCTCTCCCTGTCTTTCTCCCTCCCTTCCGCTCTCTCTACAAATAAATAAATAAAATCTTTTTTAAAAAGACAATACATTGTGTAGAATTCCATGCCAATAAAATTATAGAAAATGCAAGGTTATCTTCAGTGACAGACAGATGCAGGGAAGAGGGACACCATATAGAGGAAACTTTAGGGAAAATACAGATATTTACTCTGTCGCTTGGGTGTGTCAAAATGTGCTGAATGGTACAATTTAGCTGTGTTCCACTTAGAGAAGGCTCGTGATACCTCAGTAAACCCGTCGGCCAAACAAATGTAAAGTTACTCTGTGTTCTTCGCAGTCTGATCTCGTTGCTACAAAATATTTCCGCTACAGTTGGTTGCGTTAAAGCTTTGTTTTGGTTAACGTTTAAATGGTATGTCTCGTTTGGTTTTTTTTTTCTATCAACCTCTCTTGTGTTCTTATGCTGAAGATGTTCCTTTTTAAGAAGCGTAGGATGGGGTTTTCTTTTTCTTTTTATCCAGTCAAATACTTCTGGGTTTCAACTTGGATGCTTTGTGGACATTGTACGCAATCGCTGGTATATTGATGCCTGAAGCGGTCTTTTCATTTGCTTTCCATCATCGCCTGTTCTAAGGATCTTTCTCTCTCTGTTATCATTTTCCTTTGGATTCATTGTGTATTTTTATTGATCCCGTGGCAGCCTCTATTTACCCACCATTTCCATTCCTTTGTGTTTCCAATGCTTCTCTAAGAGTCCCAATTTCCATTCCCCGCTTTCTATAGTCTGATAAAATTCTGATAAAAACTACTTCGGCATTTCATCGAAGAACCCCAGGACTGCAGCGAGAATCGGAAGCCCTGAACCACACTGCCTTTATCCTAGGCGCGTTTATTTATTTTAGTTTAGTTTTGGGGACGAGGTTTCCCTAGAGGCGACCTGCCCGCTGCAGGTGGAGCTGCCATGAAACTGCGGTTTCTGGTTGCTGTGTGGCTGGGGTGTCTCTGGTCCCCCTCAGGGCAACCCAAGCAAGAAGACCCGGTGGTGTTTGGGGGGTCCCTGTGCAAACACCTGAGCGCAGTGTGGGGTCCCCTGCAGCCAAAATGTCTAGCCAGCTGTGGTTCCCCGTGGTCTCCAGGCAAAATAAGACGCCAGGTGCATTTATTACATACACAGAGTCGAATGTTTTGTGTGTGTAGCAGCTCAAGTCTGTGGGCTGATTGACTTTGGTGGGAGACTTCATTTCGAGCAAGTAGCCTTGCCCAGTGACGAAAATGGAGACACCCCGCTTTCTTGGACGTCTTCTTGCCTTTAGCTTCCATGAAGTTCACAAGAGTGTGAACTTGGAAGCCGGGAGGTGCTTCCTTTTAATTTCTTCTACATGGATCTGTTGGGGCCGTGCATTTGAGTTGGGACGCTTCCCTGAATAATTTGGCCCGGTGACACCTGTATTTCTGGTGCCCGACTCACGCTCTTTTGGAGGTTGAGCTTCTCCCCGCTTTGAGCCAGGAATGCTCTGAAGCCTTCCCGGTCCCCCAGTCTTTCCTCTCAAAAGGACCCTGAACATGAGGCCACTGCAACCAGGACACCCTGGTTCCCTGAAGATAAACATGAGTGTAGTTTTTGAAAGTCCCTCCTTCTGTGGTTGAACTGCCCACACGGACGCCAGAGGCTGGATTTGCTCCAGACAGCGGTCAAATTCTTTTCTTCCTTCTAGCATTTTTCTATTTGGAAAAATGTGCAACAAGACAGCGGGAAAGTGACAGAATAGACCGCTGTGGGCGTGTGTTCTTCACCTACCGCTGATAGGTGTTAACAGTTTGCCTGTTCACACACACACACACACACACACACACACAATTCTCGGAATCCCTGGCAAGTCTGCTTCCGACATCATGACGCCACACCCCAAACACACCCGCAGAGATACAAGGACGTTCTTTCTTAGCAACACTGAGCACACAGGTTCAACAGCGATGTGGTGCTGTGCGTCTCCGGTGAGACGCCCCTTAAATCACGTCTGCTGTCCACCTGTCTTCGAGCTGCTGGGGCTGACCGTTGGCTCAGGGTCCTCCCTGTGGTTTCGGTAAGCGGATGCGTACGCTGTCAGGGCCGCGGGTCAGAATTTGTCCTTGTTTGGGGCGCCCAGGACGTGGTGCTCCAAACGAAGCTGACGCAGGCATTGTGACCCCAGCACTCCGGTCTGCACGTCACCCTTGTCTACCACAATATTCCTCCTGGAGGAGGACAAGGTCGTGGGCGGTCTTCAGTGGAGCAGCGCTGCTTTGCATGAAGGTTTTGCTAACGTGCTTTTGTTATTTTTTTTTATAACAGATGATAGGTAAGCCCGGCATTGAAGCTTCCGCAGGAGTGATGTCTGACCCGGTCTCGGCTCCTTGCCCCCAATCAGCAGAGGTCACACGGACCCCAAACAGCTCGGTACTCATGCTTTGAACACTTACGGGCGCCCGTCTCTCTGGGGGCCGTCTTGTCATCTCAGCCTGTCTGTGGGCGCACGCTGTGAAGGAAAACACCCCGTGGTTTTTATCCTCGCCCCAAGACCTTTCTTTTCTTTTAATCTTTAGAGAAGGGAAGGGAAGGAAAAAGAGAGAGAGAGAAATGTCCATGTGTGGTTGCCTCTCATGCGCCCCCTACTGGGGACCCAGCCTGCAACCCAGGCCTGTGCCCTGACTGGGAATTGAACTGGTGACCTGTTGGTTTGCATCTTATGCTCAGTCCACGGAGATACACCAGCCAGAGCTGTGACTCTCTTAGTGGTTTTGCAGCCGGGACGACATGGTATTGGGATTGGTCTCTCCCGCTATCCAGTTGCAGAAGGCACTGGTTTTCTTCTCAGATGTCCCCTCACCCTTATTATGTGTCCCAGGCCATTGGGCCGGTCTCTTGTATTTTGGGGAAGAATCAGAAGAGAACACAGAGCATCAATATGGCAGATACCTGTCCCTTCATTAGAAAAAAAAGAATCAGTACGACTCTGGAACCAGACTTAATCTTGGTATTGCACAAGGATCAATGTCCCTTTTTGTCCTTCTAAACCTTTATCTGCGTCCTCAGAAGATGGAGCCCAGGCCGACCCTCCTTAGTAACATGACCGGCAGGCACCTGCGTAGGGAAGATAGCAAACAGAGACAGAGTCCCTCCGTCTGGCAGGCCGGCCACCGTAGGAAAATGCCCTGTTGTAGGGGTTTGATAGGAGCCAGCGGAATTGGACTCTGCAAGTTCCTGTCCATCCTGGTCACCCAAACCCAGAGCCTGTCGTCCTGTGTCAGGAACGCCGGGTGCTCAGGAAAAGCTGGGATCTCAGCCCTCGTGGGTGTAGCAGACAGGCCACCCAGGGGCGCATTGGTGGTCTGTTATTCTCCCCGGGATGAGCTTTCTGCTGCTGCGGTTTGGACTGAGGTTCCCCGAAGTTTGCCCCTGACTAACGATGTGTGTTATGTTCCCAGCGTCCCGCGGATCACACAGGAGGTGGCCCATCCCACGCATCTGTGGAACTGAGCTCGGGGACCCCTGTGGACGTCCCCAAGGACCCCAGCTCTGAGGACACGTTGGAGGTGACGCTTCAGTCCTTTGCTTGCTCAGGGCTCCCGCTGGGCGCGCTCTGCTATGGGACCTCGATTTCCAGCCACACTTTGTCCAAATCTAGCGTCCGCTTCCCCTCTCCCGGGGCTTCTGGTCCATGGGTCTTCTCTCCAGCGTTGGGCTGGTGGCCGGTTCCCTCTCGGTCCCGTCCTTAATAATCACACCCTTTCTCCCTCTCAAAGCCGTTTGGCAAACGTTCATTGACGTTGAGAGCTAGGCTGAGCTTTCTAAGAGAGAGCGCAAGCTTCGAAGTGAATGCCCACGGATCCGTGGTCAAAAATGACTCCCTGTCCAAAGGCTGGGGAATTGGGGGAGCATCTTGGGGCCAAACCAAGCCTGTGGCCGTGGGCCCTTCAAAGATGTGTAAGACGCCTTCCTCACCTTGCCTCAGATGCGTGCTGTCTTCATAAACGTCCTTTTCTCTGTGCACCCATTTGAGCAGAGGCTTGGCCGACATTTATTTTTTCAACGATGATTTAATGACACCATTTGGTCTTTAAGTCACAGGAACGGTGCCTTTGTAGCTGGGTGTCGGCAGGGTGACGGAAGTCTGCATTGAATGTGTGTCTTTGTGTATTTGAGCTGCTATGTCCAAGACATCGGAGCCTCGGTGGCTGATAGATATTTGGGAACCGGGGACCCTTTGCTGTGCAGACCGGTGTCCGACCCACTGAGCCACACCAGCCAGGGCTTGAAAAACAATTCTTAAGAAAAAGCAGGCACACACGCAATGACACTTCATACCATTTATTTAAAAAAATGTGGGCCAAAGACATCTAATAACCCCATATGACTTAAACGGAAACAGGATTTGTTTCTCCTTTTATATTTCGTCGTTTGTGAAGTGAAAATGTAAGCTTTGTCCGAACGGAGGCCGGGGGTGGGTGGCGAGAACCGAGGCACGTGGGTGCAACTGGCTGCGTGCGTGCGGGCAGCTGCCCACCGGTCCCCTGCTGCCCTGTGTTCCCCAGGTCGGCCTGGCCGTCTCGATGTCCGAGATTTCCATCGAGGAGAAGGTCCGGGAGCTGAGCCCCGAGGAGGAGAGGAGGAAATGGGAGGAGGGGCACGTGGATTACATGGGCAGGGACGCCTTTGCCCGCATTCAGGAGAAGCTGGACCGCTTTCTGCAATAGCCCGGGCCCGCCAATGTCCGGCCGCGGGCAAGCTTCCGTGGGCCCTCCCCCAGGGAGACGCTGCCCCACCGGGTGCCTCTCTGGAGGGTGACCGACGGTCGGTCGCCTGGCTTCAGTGCCTCTGTCCAGAATCACAAACCCAGACTGAAGTGCCCCTCGGACCCAAGCCACCCAGCCCCACCTGGCTTCCGTTGGACAGTGGGTGTGTTTCTCAAACAACAGCAGCAGGAAGGAGCTCGTGGTGGGCCCGGGACCACCGTCCCGCCCCACGGAGCTGCGGACGGGGGCCACCGTTTTTGCCCCAAGTGGGGCTCCCGGTCAACGCATTTTCTTCAGCTCCTAAGCACGTCACGGCAGTGACGTGTGTCCCAGGCTGCTCAGGAGCCCCCAGACCGAACATCCTCTCTTTGAGGACTCAGGACACGGTCAGCGTCTCGAGCAGGAATCCTATTTTGACTTTGGGAAGCATGTTGCACCTGTCATCCCTGTTCTGTGAAACCCCACGGGGCCCCAGAGTGCCATGCACAGACCGCTGATGTGGGCGACGCCAGAGATGTGCGGGGGCTGTGACCTTGTCCCAGCTGCTCTGCCGGCCGCTTGACAAGAACGGACGGCTTGCATTCTGCACGGGAGGCCACGGAGAACTTGCGATCGCAGCATCCGGGGAGGCGTTTTGCCTGCCGCTACTTCCCCCGACGGCTCGGTGCTGGGTGTCGCTACCTCAGTTCCAGACAGCGCATCTCCTCGCTGTTCTGCAAGCCATTTCAGCTGGGCTCTTTGAGGAGAATTCCCCGTCCGCTGAGCCTGGACCCTTGATTTCAGGAGGAAGCCTTCTCTTGAGCAGCGGCCGCGTTTTGTGAGCTCCCGCACTGTGTTCGAACATCTCCGAGTGTTGCCATTCTCTGCCCACCGCAACGGTGGCCATTAAAAAGGGGCACCGCTGTGCAAAACAGAGGATGAGGTGATTTTTTTCAAGGTGCGAATGGGGTCTTGATCGCGCTTGTGCTGTTGAATGTCCCTGGGTTGTTTAGACGCAGGTCGGGAAGAGGGGGACGGGGCTGTGGTGCAGGTCACGAGGGGCTGTTTGGCCATGTTTTCACCTCCCGGAGCAGCTCAGTGGGGCTCAGAGCATCTGGCTGACCTCCGCCGTGGCATGGGCTGCGGTGACACCTTCTGTAAGAAGAGGGGTCGCTTGTCATCTGAAGTCAAGGATAGTGTCATTGACAACAGCCACAGGGACACAGGCTTCCCTGTGCTGGGTGGGTGGTGACCAACCCGGAGAAGAACAACCTACCTGTGTCCTGCAGAAAGAGCGTAGCTGCCCTGAGCTACGGGGTCGGGGTGGCAGCAACGGAAAGCTGAGCCGGGGCACCTTTGAGAGGGAAGCAGTCCACTCGAGGAGACTTGGGGTCTGGTTCAGCGACTCTAGGGAAGGGAATTCACGTTGGGGGGCAGCGGTGCCGTGGCTCAGTGGCGTCTGGACTCTGCACCTTCACCATCCAGGTCTGGTTTTGTGTCCTCGGGTCGTGACACAGATGTTCACGCAGACAGATTACGATGGTCTTTCTTCTGGTGTGCGCTTGTGTGCCTTCTGAGAGACCGGAAGGAAAGCTGGTGTTTCACAGAGCGAAGGAATCTGGCTGCCTGCCTTAGTTCTACAGTGACTTTAAATTTCCACAGCGGTTTTCCAATGGCACCGGTAACAAGTAAGTTCCATAGACTACGGAAGCTGTCCCCCATTTTTTAAAAGCATTTGGCTTCATCTATTCTTCCATCCATCCATCTACCTTCCATTTATTTATCCATTAATCATCCATTCTCCTACCATCCATCCAACCACCCATCCATCCATGCACCCAACCATTTAGCCACCTACTAACCCATCCATCCATCATCCATCCATCCACCCATTGTCCATCCATCCTTTTATCATCCATCCATCCATTCATCCATTAACCTGCCCATTCGACCACCTATCCATCCATCCACCTGATACTTATCGAGGTCTCTCTACATGGCAGGCACTGTGACATGTGCCAATACAGGGCAGGACAAGTTCAAGAACATTTTGATGGTCTCTGAATGACACCCATGTAAGAGGTACAGTAACACTGTTGTGAACGATACCAGGGCCAGAGTCGGTACCACACGGTGTCAGGATGACGGAATTGATGCAAGCTCAGTCCCTAAGAAATGGGATGCAACCTGCACTCTCTCTAACACTTTGGTACAGAGAAGGGATTTTTAAAAGTGTTTTATTGTTCAAGAACTATTTCACTGGGGGGGGGAGCGGGCAGAGAGAAGAAGTGTGGGCAGGAAGAGCATTTCGAGCTATATTGGTTTGGCCAGGTGGGTTGAGGTAGGTGACGTGTAGCTTTACAGCAACAAAGGGGAGTGCTTTTCTTTCTCTAACGTCCTTGGCCAAAGCCGGCTGACACTATTGCCTGCTACGTAAATGCCCATGGACGGTCTCGGTGCCGAGGGGTCTCTGTGTGGAAAGGCAAACAAGCTGAGGCAGAACGAGTTGCTTTGGGCCCCCAGTCCTGCGGTGGTAGGCAAACCAATGGTCCTTTCTGGGTAAGAACAGGGCCTTCCGGTTATTAAAAAACGGAACAGTTCTCCTACCAACTCTTTCCACCATCCGAAGAAACAAAAATGGGGCTATGATTCGTGGCAGAAAGTATACCCATTGAACACAGTGATGCGGCCCCGAATACACCCAGGGTGTGAAACTTACTTTGCAGATAAGACACGTTTTCTTATTTTAAAAAAAGGGGGGGGGAATAGTAGCAGTTCCAGAAAACTCCAGTTGTTAACCACAATAATGACCAGGGAAATCAGGAGGTGAAACACAAGACTCAGATGTTCAGGGGAAAAATAAAAAGAATACCACGTAGGGAGCTGGCTGTGCCCTTGAGTGAATTTCCGCACCGGGACTTGTACAAAGCTGCACGGGGAAAATTTAAGTTCATTTTTTGTTTCCTCATTTACATTGTTCTTTACATTCTGCATATAAGTGAAATCCTATGGTATTTGGTCTTTGAAGTATTTCACTGAGCATAATGGGTCCATTTATGCTTTTACACTGGTAAGATCACCTTTTTCATGGCTGAGTAATACTCCATCATGTATATGTACCCAAGGTGTTTTATGTACTTTACTGATGGACACTTGAGCTGCCTCCAAGTTTTAGCTATTGTCAGTAATGCTGCAATGAATGTAGGGATGCGTCTATTCCTCCAAAATAGTAGGGTTTTTTTTTAGATATCCACCCAGAAGTGGGATTGCTGAAGTAATGTCCAGTACAGGGAATACAGTCCATAATGTTGTAAGAACTGTGCTTGGTGCCAGGTGGGGGCTGGGAATGTTGGGTGGATCCCTTTGTAACGCATATGATTATCTAAACACCATGCTATGCACCTGAAAACTAATACGGAATAACATTGAAGGTACACCGTCCCTGGAAACGTTTTTAAAATAAATTTAAATTCAAGAAGGACAGAACCTGTTGAAAACATTTGAGTAGTTTTCCAACTTTGTGTTTAAAGATTTTTTTATTTATTTATCTTTAGAGGGGAGGGGAAGGGAAGGAGGGAGGGAGGGAAATATCAATGTGTGGCTGCCTCTTGTGCACCCCCTGCTGGGAACTGGCCTGCAACCCAGGCATGGGCCCTGACTGGGAATCGAACCACGATTCTCTGGTTTGCAGGCCCGCGCTCAATCCACCGAGCTACACCAGCCAGGGCTTTTCCAAGTTTTTAAGGTTGCACGCGAGTTCCTTTCCCTAGAGATGGTGAGCGTCATCTCCCCGGCACGCGGTCCCTTACCTGCCTGGACGTACACCCTCACACCTGCCTGAGCACCCCCCCTTCATGGCTGCTTCCCGACCCCACTCAGCCCACGTGCCTTAGCTCCCCGGCCTCCCCACGAACCCCAGATGTTGAACTTGTTTCACCCACTGCTTCCTTATTTTCCATTTACGTGGGCCGTTTGGGGAGGGGGGGATTGAAGAAACAAACAGAGGCCACCAGACTTTGGAGCAAGCCGTCTGGGAAGGAAGGGCAAATCTTGTCTCTGCTTCTTGTGGGGGGGAAATTATTGGCAGCAGCTGCCAAGGTGCCCCGTCTCCGAATCATGTCTGTAAGCAGACCACGCGGCGAACCAAGAAACGGCCCCGTCTCCTGTTCAGGGAGGCTGCTGAGGGCCCAGGAAGTGCGGCTGCGGTGCCGTATTGCCGGTTCCGTGCGGAATGGCTGTGGCCCACACCCACCCCCCCATCAGCAGCACCCCCTGAGCTGGGTCCGGTGCCCCTCATTTTCTCCCATTCTCGTCACTTTCCCCCCTACGTTGACCTCCGTTGAGCTCCTCTCCCTGTGTGAAGAACCTCTTGCCCCCAGCGCCCTGTCCAGAAGCATCCCCCGGTGCGTTCCTACAATCGGACCCCAAGCTGACCTCTGATAGGAAATTGGGGACTAGCTGGCACTTTTCTGGGCTGCGATGGAACAGCAAGGGCTGTGCCCTCCCACGAAAGTTGACTTCCGAGATTGGAACGTGTCTGCTGGTGACCAGATGGCACCTGCCTGACGTCCGTGGGATGACGGCATGGTGACCACAGGGCGCCGGGAGGTCAGAGCGCGGGGGAGGCCAGACCGAGAGGCCCCTGCGGAACCAGGTCCACGGCGCTGCCTGCAGCCCATCGGCGGCCCGGGGGGGCCTCGCCTGGCACTCCCTTGGGTGGGCTTGGCTGTGGAAGGCACACGCACACCTTGCACCTGGCGGGGGGGCACCCAAATGAGTGCTGGGCACCGTTAGCCAAAGTGCACGGAAGAAGGAGCAAGCACCAAGCCTCTTCCTCCTCACTGCCCTTGAACCAGGGCGGGGTCTGCGTTTCTCACCCGTTAATGGCCACGCTGGCAGAAGGCCCGCAGGTATTGACTCAACACGCGCGCAGGTGGTGGGGACAAAAGGTCAGGGACTGACAGCGTTTAGGACAGTGCTGGGCACAAACGGTTCCTGGACGTGGGGTGTCTGTCTTCAGTTCTCCTGTGCTCGGCCTGGGGATCGGGTCGCATTGCTGCTGGTCAGGACCAGGCACCACTGACTGCTGCCTCTTTGTCCGTCGGTGGGGGAATAAGGAAGATGTGGTGCATTCACACAGTGGACTATCACTCAGCCATGAAAACAAAAAAGAAATCTTATTATTTGTGACAAGACGGATGGACCTGGAAGGTATGATGCTCAGTGAAATACGTCAAAGAAACACAATTGCTGTCTGATTTCACTTATAGGCGGAACCTTTTTTAAAAAGACCAAACCAGTGCCCTGCCTGGCGTGGCTCAGTGAAGCAAAGGGTCGCCGGTTCAATTCCCAGTCGCCGCACATGCCTGGGTTGCAGGCAAGGTCCCCACTAGGGGGCGCGTGAGAGAGAGGCAACCACACAGTGATGTTTCTCTCCCTTTCTCCCTCCCTTCCCGTCTCTCTAAAAATAAATAAATAAAATCTTTAAATTAAAAAAAAAAGACAAATAGAAAAATAGTGCAATGCACAGGTAAAAAAAGATCAGATGGACAGAGCAGCTGGGGTCAGGAGACATGAGGCCGGGAGAAAACTGGTCATTGGTGGCAGAGTGGCCGCCACCAGATCCCGGAGTCCCAAGGATGCAGTGTCCTGAGCGATTGCTACCGCTCAGACCTGTGTGTGGCCGGCACATTCCACAGTGGGTAAGAGAATAAATGCTGAGCGCTGTCCTCACGAGGGGAAAAGCCTTCTTGCAGCTCAGTAAGAAGACAGATGTTAGCCTCCTGGGGCGACCCCGTCCCAAGGTAAGTCCTTGAACTTACACAGGCTTGTGCATCTGTTATTTCTCAGTGGTGAAAATGGGAAAATAAAGAAATACAACCAGACACAGGGTAGTGTATTGAAGGGGTTCTCACCCAGGAGTGTCCCTGGTAGGGTTTCCGTTTGTACGGAAAGTTATCTTGCTGACTTTTGCAGAGTTGCAAGCTAGCAGGCAACCTGAGAATAAAGGGCCTTCCTAAGTGAGAGGCGGCCCTGTTTATTGAGATCAATAACAGCTACTGGGGAAGCGCTGACTCAGGCAGGAGCCCACACAGGGTCCCCGTGAGGAGCAGACACAAGGGGGGCACCTATGAGAAAGGGGAGGGGACAGGGACACCCACAGCAGGGAGGCGTGGCTGTGGGCGCAGCTGACATGGCATCGTGATGCTGCTTCTCCACAGCGAGTTTCCTGCTCAGTCCTGTGCTCATCTGTCCAGTCGTCACCCCGTCTGCTTTCTTGTCCCCTTAGCACACAGCTCTGTGGGACACGGGGTGGCTTGTGGCCCCGTGCACAGGTCACTTTGTCCTGTGTCAACACCCACAGGGTGGAGGCATAAGATGTATAAGGCACGTTATCGCAGCCTTTAGCCGTTCTGGCTCCCTTTTAAAGGGGTTGCATTTATTATATATAAAGATTTTATTCATTTATCTTTAGAGGGAAAGGGAGGGAGAGAAACATCCATGGGTGGTTGCCTCTCATGCGCCCCCTACTGGGGACCTGGCCTGCAACCCAGGCCTGTGCCCTGACTGGGAATCGAACCAGTCACCCTTTGGCTCCCAGCCACACCAGCCGGAGCTGTGTTTATTATATTTTTATACTCTCTTCTTCCTCCATGTTATGATTCATTTTGCTCTTTAGATTCCTTCATTCTCATGGGTGAATGATGTCCTACTGCCTACATACATATAGACACATGTATGTATAGATATATGTACGTATATAGGTACCACCGTCTTTCCCACGTGCCCCCTGACGGAGCCTTAGGTTGTCTCCATGGCTGGGCGGCCGGAAATAACGTCGGTACGAACTTGAATGCGTCATGCCTTTTCTCCCTGGTGTCCTGGGATCCTGAGGTTTTGTTTCTACAAGTGGGACCACTGGGTCAGAAGGCAGCTCCGTGTTTTGTTTTTGGGGGAAATTCACCGTTTTCCACGGTGGCTGCAGAGTCTGCATTCCCACCCACAGTGCAGCAGGGCTCCCTATTCTCTGCGGGCTGGGTGCTGCATCCCCAGGGCAGCCCCCCTGACGCCGGGAGGTCAGGTGTCTGGGTGGTCTCCGTCCTGGCCGCAGGAGCAGAAAGGGAAGGTCCCACAGCAGGGCTGCAGCCATGGCTTCCAGAGAATGTGGTTCAGGGAGAACTGGGGGGGCACTGGGCTCAGCGTGGCCCTGTGCCTGCGCACCGCCTCGCCCACCCTGGCCACCACCTCGTGGAACCGCGGCTCGGAGCCGGGCGACAGGGGCCGGGTCTCCCCAGGGTCGCTGGACAGGTCAAAGAGCAGAGGCGGGATGTGCTGGGTCACGCCGGCCCCGGAGCAGGGGCACACGCCTCGGCCGTAGCAGGCTCCGGCTCCCTCGGGGTGGAACCGCGGCGTCACGTAATGGACCTTCCACACCCGTCCCCCTAAAGGCAAACGGGCGGTGGTCAGGGCAGCTGGGCCCTCCCCGGAGAACCCTCGGGGGGTGGCAGCCCCCATGGTGCCGGGCGGGCGTGTACTCACGCTCTTTCTCGTGCCAGCGTGCGGCGTGCAGACCCTCCCCGCAGTAATGAAACAGGAACTCGTGCTCCGAGTGCTGGGCAGTGCCCTGCAGCAAGGCCAGCAGGCTGCGGCCGTCCATCACCCTGAGTCGGCAAAGAGACCGGAGGGAGGCATCAGCCCTCAAGGCCAGCGGGGCTGTGCTGTGCCCCTGGGGGACAAACCCCCAAGGCTGCAGGGGCCTCCCGGAGCTGTGATCAGTTTGCAAGCGTCCCAGCAAGGCACACATAGCCCTGCGGAGACTCAGAGTCACGGAGTTTGAGGGCCGCTTGTTACGCAGCACGGTGAGAACGCGCACACACACACACACACACACACACACACACACACACACACACACACACCATTTGACCTGGGATGTGAACACAAAGCCTTCTCCAAGTCTGGCGGCCTCGCCCAGGCCCCTGACTGGAGCACTGAGGTTGCACAAACCTTTTTAGTCACAAGAGACTCCAAGATGCATTGTCACCTGTATAACCAGACGGTCCCATGGCCTCTGGGCCCTTCCTTAGAAACACGGTATAATTAGAAAGACGCCTTCCCGCAGGTAGAAGGCAGAAAGGTAGAGCTTTTTCTGACCACAGACAAGCCCTTGGAGCTACTGTTTCATTTTTCACGGCACCCAGATTGTTTGGGGGGGGGGGCTCACTCTGTGTCCCTGCTGGGCTGGGCGTTTGGGGAAACCTTAGTCTGCGAGTTATGACGAAGGGGCTCTGGGGCCGTGGCTGAGGTCTGCACCCCGTGGACCCTGAACGGTGAGAGCCACCTGGAGAGGGAGGGTGGGCCGCATCCGATCACTTGAAGGCTGTCAAGGTTACACACGGACGCTTCTGGGAAAAGGTGGAATTCAGCCTGCGCCCCCCCACACAGAAATTCCGCCTGAGTCCCCCCAGCCTGCTGGCTGACGTAGGATTGCACTCCATCAGCTTCTATGACTGCGTGCGTTTCTTAAAAGAAGTCTTATTTGATACACACACACACACATATTCCAGTCACCCATCTAGAGCCTTTTGTCTTTCTCTCAACTAATAAGCAAACTAAAAGAAAAAATGTGTTTTTGTGATGGGAATTTGGGGGGAAGGGCACCTCCCATCATCGACAAGCGTATTTCTTCGACCCTGTCGTTGGAATCAAGTAAAATTATGAGCGGAATGTTGAGTTCTAGCCTTGGCCCGGTGCCAGTGGATTCGATGCTTGTCCTCTGCCCCCAAAAGGCTGCAGGTTCGATTCCTGATCAGGGCACATACCGAGGTTGTGGGTTCGATCCCCCGTCTGGGCGCAGGCGGGAGGCGACCCATCGATGTCTCCTTGTCTTTCTCTCTCTCTCCCTCCCTTCCGCTCCCAGCCTATTCTCGGGTGAAGATTAAGAAAACAGACTCTGACGTCTGCTCTTTTCTCTCGTCTGAGAATGACTCTGCCACAGCGCTAACTCTGAGGTGACAACGGAAACTGTGGCATGGGTAGCTTGACCCAATATTTTATTTTAACCTTAAGCTTGACTGCGTTGGGTCACTTCACGTGAGGCTGTCTCCTGCATGGCCTGAGGATGTGGGAATTTTTGCAGGGTTCTCATGCTGTTGGTTTTCCCTGCTAAATGTGGGCCGTGTCCCGAAGGAGGGGTCGGGGTGTCATCTCACGCACCTGTCCCGGGGCACCTGGCCGCCCCCCAGCTGGACCACGGTGGGGAAGACATCCATGAGGCTGGTGGGCTCGGAGACCACCCGGCCGGCGGGCAGCACCCCGGGCCAGCGGAAAATCCCGGGCACCCGGATCCCGCCTTCCCAGCCTGCCATGCCTTTGCCACCTGTGAGTAAAGGACACCCCGTGAGGACTCCCCGGAGACTGTGCAATCTAGACACACACGCCTGCACACGCGTGTCTGAGCCCCACGCCTCGCTGCGTATGGGGCAGCTGCCGTTTCCCAAACTCGGCCACAGCGATGATCCCAAACCTTGTGATGCCCCTTCCCCGGCAGATGGAGTCCCCATCCCTCCCCCCTGAAATCTGGGGTGCCTCTGTGGTCCCCTCAACAAACAGGGCATGGCATGCGTCACTTCAGAACCATGCGTGGGATTCCGTACGAGCCCAAAGTGAGTGGTCTTCCTTTTCTTTCCTGCATGGAGAGGGCCCTGGACCTGGGGGACCTACCTCCTCCTCCTCTCCGGATGCCCCAGCACACCCACCACCCTGCTTTCTTACCCCCCCAGTCCAAATCCTTTGTTTCAAACATGAACCCCTGCCAGGGGCCCTCTGGCAACGGGTGGGGCCCCGTCGACCTCTCGGGGACAGCCCAGTGGTGATGAAGCCCTGGACGACTGGTCACTGGCTCTTTGTAACGCACCCGTAAGAATTAACCAGGTGGCCCCACGCCTTAGCAACTCCAGGCACAGAATTTCCAGCGAGCGTAAGATGGTGGGAGAGGTTTAAACAGGGTCCCCCTCCACACTGGCTTCTCCACGCGCGTCTTCACGGTGACGCTGTTGCCGTAGTGACCGACGACTCCCCACGCCGCACCCACAGAGGCTCGACCCCTCACGCCCACCGGTCTTACCTCTGAATATGCCGTTCCACCCCCCCAGCTGACCCAGGGCTCCGTCCGTCGCCTCCAGATGTCCTCCGTGGTCCGAGGTAAAGTACGTGAGCGTCTTGTTTTTCAAGCCGTTTGCTTCCAGCGCGTGGAGAAGTTGACCTGCATGGAAAAAACGGGACTTTTCGGGAAAAGGTAACCAGGAGAGAGCATCGGTACACGGGACACTTTTCCCCCTGTCGGTCAAAGGCACCAGTTGCTAGCCAGGCACCCGAGGGACCCCAGTCCCCCGAGATCGCAGGGAGGAATAGGAGAGGGACATGTGGGGACGCCTCTCCCTGCCCTGATGCCGCAGGACTGAGATCTCACTTGCAAAGAGGTCGACAACTCGGAAAACAGAATAAACGCAGGGAGCCGGCAGGCTGCCGATGGCGGGTTTGGACGGTGCCGTGGCTGCGTGGCTATACACCGACCAGGTGGAGACGGGCTGAGAAATTGTGATTTTAAGGGTCCCCGTCCACTGAGGATGAAGCCAGGTCTGTGAGCATCCGTGGGTGCTGGCCTTTGGTGGCCTAAATGCATCAGGGCAGAGCTGTCTGCAAAGCACATGGTGACGTCCTCAGGGGACACTCCCGTGGGCTTCCGCGTCATGGAACGTCGAGGTGATAAACCCCAAGGAGATTCGCAGCACCGACAATGCCGGCTGCTGTATCATCCTGCCTCTAGCTCTCCTGTGCTGAGGTCATTTGCCTCGTGCGGCGTGAACGCTGCTGTACACAAAACCCCTTTGCAAAGGAGCCGGAGCCGCTGGCCTGAGGAGCTGCCTCACACCTCGGATTTGTCCACCCTGTGGGTGTTAAGACAGGACAAAGTGACCTGTGCACGGGGCTGCAAGCCCCCCTGTGTCCCACAGAGCTCTGTGCGAAGGGGACAAGAAAGCAGACGGGGTGACGACTGGACGGATGAGCACAGGACTGAGGACGAAACTCGCTGTGGAGAATCAGCGTCACGATGCCATGTCAGCTGCGCCCACAGCCACGCCTCCCTGCTGTGGGTGTCCCTGTCCCCTTCCCTTTCTCATAGGTGCCACCCCGGTGTCTGCTCCTCCTGGGGACCCTGCGTGGGCTCCGGTCGCCTCAATTTGAAACCCTTTCATTTTGAGGTTAACAGTGTCATTTGGTGCCATGATTGTAATGCCTACAATTTGATAACACTCTGCAATCTCCTTGGCCTCTTGAAGCCATAGAAGGAACATGATTTTGGCCCCCGATCCCGAAAGACGGCATTATGCTTCCTTTTCCATAATCTCTCGTGCTGGCTTTAACTCACAGACTTTGTGGAGGGAGGCTTTTTTGCTAAAAAGTAGACAAAAACATCCAACATAGCAAAGTAGCCCGTGAGCGACCACGTGGAAGAAGGTTCTCGAGACTGGTTTTCCTGGTCTCCGATTCCCCCCGAAACCCGATTCACAGCGGCACGGCCGACCGGTGAGCCACGAGCTCGCCGCGTCCTGCCTGGACTTACCCACGAACCAGTCCATCTCTTCCACATTGTCGCCGTACAAGCCGTGGCGACTCGTCCCCAGAAACTCTTTGGTGGTCACCAGGGGCACGTGCACGTGCAGTAGAGATACAAACAGGAGAAATGGCCTGTGCTTGTTTCTGGAAGGAGAAGAACGCCCTTCAAATATGATGGCCCCCGTGTCCACGCTGGGGGACCCGGGACGTCCGCGCAGAGACTGGAGTCTGGGACACCCATCCGTGGGCAATGGGCAGTGCCTCAGGCCCATGGGCACCCACGGCGGACTTGTGGAATCCCAACGAGGCTAAGGAGACGCAAATGCTCGGAGAAGCCGTGCTGTCAGGAGACACACGACAGGAGGGTCAACGTCCCTAACCATCAGAAAAATGCACATTCAAGCCACCATGAGACACCACCTCACTCCAGTCGGAATGGCCGTCGCTCATCCATCAGCCAACAGCAAGTGCTGGCAGGGGTGTGGGGAAAGGGGAGCCCTCCAGAAATCATACATGGAACTGCCTGATAGCCTGCCAATTCCACCTATGGGTGTTTATCTGAAGAAACCGGAAACGCTGATTCAAAAAGGTTTATGCACCTTTATCGTCACTGCAGCGATATTTACAATCAATCACTGGGATCTGGGAATAACACAAGTGCCCGTCAAGAGGTGAGTGAATAAGGAAGATGCGGTTCACATGTACGATGGAATATTACTCAGCCATGAAAAAGAACGAATCCTTATCTCTTTGAGACAGCTTAGGGGAGACCTACAAGGGCATTATGCGGAGTGAAAGAAGGCAGACAGAGAAAGACAAATACCATCTGATTGCGCTTATATGTGGAATCTACAAAACAAAACGGAAACAAACTCCAGGATACAGAGAACAGACCGATGGTTGCTAGACAGGAGAAAGGTTGAGGCTGAAAAAAAGGGTGAAGGGATTGAGAAGCATAGATGGGCAGCTACAGAACAGTCGCAAGAATGTAAAGTCCAGCCCAGGAAATCCACTCAATAATATTGTCATAACTATATACGGGGTCAGGTGGGGACCGGGAATATCGGGGAGACCACTTTGTGAGTTCCATCAAAGCCTAACCACTATGCCGTACGCCGGAACGTAAGATTTGAACTCTATCCGAAAACAAAGAAAAAAACAGGTGGTTGAATCACCTTTCCATGTAGGCTATGGCTTCCTTCAGCAGGAGAGCCGTTGTCCTTTCCAAAACCATGGGCTGCTCGGTGACCTCATAGCCCCTCATGAGGATGCAGTTCCAACGCCGCACGAACCCAAAGCTGGCGAACCAGGAGGCGAAGAACAGGAGCAGGAGGCTGGCCGCTGCCAGGACGGCCCTCCAGGGAACGGACAGGAGCCCGCAGGCCCTGCCCACGGCCACCGTCACGATCCCCCAGGCCACCCACTGGGTGTAACGCCACAGCTGCGCCCTCAGGGCTGCGTCCACCTCGGGCGGCCGGCCGGGCTGGCAGTCGTTGACCAGGGTGAAGGGCATGCCGTAAAAGTAGTCAAATCCGTGGCGCAGAGGGTGGTGGCAGTGGTCCCCCCGGGTGGCGCAGTTGACACCCTGGTGCCATTTTCCTGAAGAGAGAAGCAAAAACGCTCAGTGAAAAAGACCTCCCTGGTGAGGTCTCGTGTCAGAAACACAGCACTCTGTCTGCTCATGTTGGACATTCCGATGGCGGCTAAGGTGTGAAGCGGCCAAGTTTGAAACTGGAGAGGAGGGTGAGGGAAATCTGGAGGACAAAGAGAATGACGAGGCTTTGAAAGAGAACGCCAGGAGATCAGTAAGTGCCGGGAGAGACACGGGCCAACCCACCAAGGTTTTGAAGGAAAACTCCTCGTCCCTGAGAAATCCCAGCCCTGGACACAACCCAAGAGAACGGGGACAGATCGGGCGCCGACCTTTGGTTCCGCCCTGTGACGCGTTCCCCTGGGAAGAGCAGGGGTCCTTGTAAGGGCACCGCACCTGCCTACCTATCAGGCCTGTGGCGTAACCTTCCTGCTGCAGGATTCTCGCAAACGTGGTTTCGTTCTGGGGGAGTCCGCCCGAGCCCCCGTTCCACTGGAGGGCCCGGTACCCACCGCTGGTGTCCATGCCTGTGGAGCAGAGCAGAGGGGACATGTTTGGTGTCTGTGGGCAGCTGGGGGCACTCTCGCTGGGCGTGGGTGTGCATGCCCCTCCAGGGGCCACTCGGAAGGGCCTGGAGTTGTGTTTGGCTGTCACGGCTTGGGGGGGGGGTACGCATAGCATCTGGTGTGAGGAAATGTCCTGAAGGGCATGGCGGCAGACCTGCCAAGAGAATCCCCCCGGCCCCCAAAATCAGGAGTGCGGACGCAGAGAGTCTATCATCTATCCTCATCTATCCATCCATCCATCATCTATTTTTTTTTTGGCATACTGGACGACATTCCAACCAACTGGGCCACCGGACCAGGGCTTGGTGCAAATATTTAAATACAGAACACATCCCGGTCAGCTACCATGAAACTTTCAGCCCTTCTCCATTTCCACCTATCAAGACGTTTCTCATGACTCCGTAAAACACAGGAATTTGGTAAATTACAAGACAATAAGTGGCAGATTGGGTTTGTACCGTTCTCCTTGGATCTCAGCCATCGTAACCTGATTGTTAAAATCAATCCATCCATCAGTCAATCAGTTGGTTGGGTACCATCCCTTAAAGCAAAAGGTTGTGGGTTCGATTGCTGGTCAGGGCACGTGCCTGGGTTGCGGGCTCAGCGTCGGTAAGGGTGCCTAAGGCAGGCAACTGATCAATGTCTCAGCCACCAACAGAAATCTCCCTGTCTTTAAAAATCAATAAATGCAGCCCTGGCTGGTGTAGCTCAGTGGATTGAGCGTGGGCCTGCAAACCAAACAATCGCGGTTCGATTCCCAGTCAGGGCACATGCCTGGGTGGCAGACCGGTTTCTGGCAGGGGACCCACGAAAGGCAACCATACATTGATGTTTCTCTCCCTCTTTCCTTCCCTTCCCCTCTAAAGATAAATAAATAAAATGTTAAAAAAATCAATAAATGCAATCTCAAAAAAGTAAAAGTAGAAAATAAAATGAGGGGGCGCAGATGTGCCCGTCTTTGGCCAGTGCCCCCGACACCCACCTGATCTGAAAGAGTGTCTCCCGGTCAGGAAGGCAGCCCTGCTCGGGGTGCAGAGGGGGGCGGCCGCCAGGTGCTGGGTGAGCCTCACGCCTTCTTCCGCAAGCCGGTCGATGTTGGGCGTCCTGAGCAAACCACACACCCGTGTCACTGTCACGACGGGGAGGGGGCACCCGGCTTCAGCAGCTCCTTGCACTGGAAGGCCTTTGGAAGGGACCTTCCTTGGAAATAGGGTCTTTGCAGGTGGGGTGAGGGAAGGATCTGAGCGGAGGTCGTCCTGGGTCAGAAGTGACAGAGGGGGAGACACAGAGGCAGAGGAGAAGCCATGTGGAGACGGAGGCAGAGACAGGAGGGATGTGGCCACCAGCCCGGGGTCACCTGGGACCCCCGGACCTGGAAGAGGCAGCTGGAGGGGACTCTCCTTGGAGCCTGTGGAGGGAGCCCAGCCCTGGGGACACCTGGCCCTCAGGGGCCCAGCTCCGGGACAGTGGATGAATGCTTGTGGTTTGAATGCACCCTCTGCGTGGTCAGTTGCTAAGGCAACGAAAGGACACACCCACCCACCCAACACTGTGCCACAGTGTTGGAAAGGTGTATGTACTGTTTTACTTTGGAAAAATAATTCTTTCAGCGTCGAGATCGGATACACTGGGCAATCTCCTATGTTCCATAGACAGATTTTAAAAAGCCTCGTCAGCCAGACGCGCGTGCACACGCCACAGACCCCACCAGGACCAGCAGGCACATCGTATACCTCAGGGTGCGGTTCCCATAGCAACCAAGATCCCCGATGCCAAGGTCGTCCGCCATTATCAGTAGAATATTCGGTTTCGAGGCATCGGCTGTTTTGAATTCGCAAGTCCTCAGAAGCAAACATACGGTGAGTAGAGCCGGCCCGCAGGCCCTGGAGAGAAACGCAAACGGCGGGCATGAACGTCTCTACTTTGGGAGGAAAAGTCGCCTTTTCAAACCAGCTGGCAGAGCAGGCGTGCGCTTTCCCTGTAATTTAGGGATTTAACGAGGGATTGCATCTACCGTTGGCTTCCTTTTGTCGTAACTGCTTGCAGAACGACATGCACCGCGCGGAACTCGAACAAGCCCGCTGCGCCAAACTTGGGTTTGTTTTTGAATCGGACCGCTGCTTCCCGCCGCCGCGTAACTGCGCTGCACACGCCTCGGTCAAGGGCGGGTTAGGAGGGTGAGCGCACGCCCTCAGGGCTGGCGCCTCCCTTCGTCCGAGCGGAGAGGCCTGGTGTCCCCCGAGTTCCGGGGGCGCCATGATGCAGGCGGCCTCGGCGGGTCGTGGCGGAGGGACGCTTACGTATTAAAATGATAAGTGTGAAATTACAAGCACCGCAGACAAGACCCGGAGACTCCGTACGGCTGTTACGACCAAGTAGATACCGCGCGGCTTGGAAACGCGCGTCACCGCGCGCTCGCGGCGCGCGCAGGCGGCCCTGCGTAAAGGGACTTGGCGCGCACGGGGAGGATCCCGGGCTCTCCCCGCCCTGTAACCCGGAGGCACTTGGCGAAAGTGTGGCCGGAGTCTGGGCTCTAAGCTCCTACGTGTCCTGAGGCCCCGAGCACCTCGGTTGTCCCGGTGGGGTCTGGTGCGACAGCCATTCGGAGACTCGGGGCGGGACCAGGCGTGGCCAGAGAGTTGGGTGTCTTGGGGAGCCTTGTGCGTTGCGGATAGAGGGGCCGCGAGCGTCTTACTGTTGCGGGGTCGGGGAGAGGGGGGGCGGTGGGGACGGGCCGGGTGGGGGGCGAGTGTTGGAGGGAGGTCAAGCCGCACTCCGGGGGCGCTAGGTGGGGGCCGCGAGGGCGTGTCTTAGACAGTGGGGGAGGGCCCAGCCCGGCCTTTCTCTGTCTCCGCTTTTCCTGTTCTCCTCACCCCTTGGGGCGGGGCTTTGTCGCCGCCTCCACGTTTTTTTTTTTCTTCTTTTTTTGTGCCGGATCTGGGTCGAGAAGGGCCCCTAGGTGTGTCTGGATGACTCTAAGGCACAAACACAGCTGCTTTTCCCGGGGACCCACGCTCGCCGTGGACTCCCCTCCACCCCGTGCCCCCAGCCCCAGGCCCCAGCGGGGGCTGCGTCCCGGGGTCCCGCGCACCTGGAGGCCACTGCGGCGCGTCCCCTCCGCACCATCGGTCCTGTGGCGAAGCGCGGCGAGCCAGATGCCCCGGACCTTGCCCGGAGCCCTCTGCGCCAGAGTCCCGCCCCCGGAGCTGTAAAATCTGCCTCCTTAATCTGCTTAATCTGCTCCTGGGCCTCTGGGTAACTAATCTTTGAAACAGGTTTTCCCGGGTCCTGCGGGTTCCTGCGGCCACCCCGGGTGACGAGGGCGAAGGAGGAGGTGACGAATACCAGGCTGGGCTTGGGCACGGTGACGACCCACCGCCCCTCACCTCGGCCCCGAGGACCGATTCTCCTTCCCTCCATTTAAGGAAGGGAATGGGAAGTTTCCCAGTGGAGCCAAGCCCCCCGGGATGCAAATTCACTTTCCCCGGGTCCTGGCTGCCGGACTTCTAGTCTGTGACCCAGGGGAGGGTGTGTGTGTGTTCGTGTGTTCCATGTCATCTGGCTCAGCGGGGACCGAGTCACCCACCGGGGTCTGCCTGGCGGCCCTCATTCACGTCCCTGCCCCCACGAGCTATGCTCGCGTCCCCGGCGACGCCTGTACCTTTGCCATTCAGCTCTGCGTTTGAGGATCCGTGTTTACTGCAAGTGCGTGTGGCAGGGGGTGGGGGCAGGGGAGCTCCGCCGCCCTCAGCGCCCTGGGCGGGTTTACTGGAAGCGCGGTGTCTGGAGCGCTTCCTAAATCCACGGCGTTGGAATGCCCGTCACTGGGGCCAGACATTCTGTTGGGAGAGATGTTTGCCTCTTGGCTGGCAGAATGAGTTCGCTGGGGGTTATTGGGATGACGGTGTAGCTGCGTTCATTCTTGGGCATTCTTGATTCCCCCTCCGTCCGGTTACCAGCCGCTGTTCTCCATGAGGGACGGACGTCCCGCCTGGGGTCTTTTTTTCAGCAAGTACCACGCAGGTGGGGACAATAACTTGAGGCCCAGAAGGGATGGAGGGTGCAGAAAACCGGGACTCACATATGGCTGGGAATGCAGGCGGTTGGGGCCGAGTGCAGGTGGGCCCTTTGGTGCAATGCCATGTGGGAAGGAGTCAGGGTTGCCCTAAATCGTGCAGGGAAGGGGACTGGGGATGCTGGGGGTGGTCACGTGCATTTACGAATGGCAGACAGACGGGGTGGCAGGAGCTGGAGCCCCCGGAAGTTCTGTCTGGGGTGGGGGAGTTGTGTGGATGGGGGAGGAAGAACGATTTGCATCCTGTGGGTCTGAATTCCCTTTAAGAATGTAGGGACCGTGATGGGTCCGGAGAGGGCAGTGACCAGGCACGGCTGGGGCTGGACAGGCCAGAGCTGGCAGCAACCGGCTGGCTCCACCTCCGACACTTAGGGGTGGGCACGGAGCTGGGGGTCCTGGGCTGCTTGCTGGACCGTCGCGTGTGTCTTTGCCCCAAAGAGGAACCCACTCTGGGTAGAATTAGCCGGAGGCCCAGGTGGGCAGCCCCGAGAGCCTCCTTTCCTGGAGGCTGGGGTTTGGGTGTTTTGAGGGGAGAGTGCTTGAGGGCAGGGGGGGGGCACCTTCTCGTGGCCTGGGTTTGAGAACGGCCAGGAGTAACTGCTTCATGCATCTGGGGACAGGAAGAAGTGTCGACACAGCAATACACATGCCAACAGAGGACGTGTTAGGGGCTGGTCTTCCCCAAATAGTCTCACCAAGATGGGGAGACTCAGAATAGGGCTGGACTTGGACATGGGTGTTTAAAGAGAACATGGAGGTAACATGGGGTCCCTAGGGCATCCCTGATCCCACAGGACTGGGGTCCTTGGAAGAAGAGGAGATGGGGACACAGACACACCCAGAGGGACGTCCGTGTGAGGACCCAGGGGGAAGCCAGCCATCCACACGCTCAGGAGAGAGAGGCCTCAGGGGGACCCAGCCCAGCCCACCCCGGGGCCTCAGCCTCCAGCCTGCAGGACGGGGAGACATCAATGTCTGTCAGGCAAGGCACCCCGTCTCACGTCCTTTATTGCGCAGCCCCCATGGACCGACGTAGGGGGGGATGTGCGTGGGGGGTGTGTGTCAGTGCCGAGGTAGGTGGGTGTCTGGGCGTCTGCAATACAATCCCTGCACCCCTCTCCTCCTGTGGCCGCTGCCCTGCGCTGGGCGCGTCCACCGCAAAGCCAGTGTGAGGCACCGCGCCGTGGCCTCCCGGCGCAGACACAGGACCAACCGGGCGTACCCAGCACGCTTTCCAAAGTCTGGGCGTCCCTGACTCCCCGGAGCACCTGCTCACCGAGGAACGTCGCCCAGAAGCAGCCCCAGGCCGCAAACCACAGCGTCCTGGTCCAAGCGGAAATGATAAACCCACGCTCTTTAATGTGGCCCCTTGGGCGCCTGGACACCCGTGTGACAGAGAAATGTGTTGGTTTGGGACTTGAGCTGTCCACAGGGATGGAACAGGCTCTCCTGGGGGCAGGGCCGGGGTCCTTTGCCCAGAGAGATGCTGTAGTAGGAGGGACTTGGCTGGTCATTGCCTATTGTCTGGGTGGGCAGCCCGGATGGAGAAATGGAGACGCAGCCCGTCAGAGGTCCCGGTCAGGCGGTGTCTGTCCGTCCGCATCCCCGTCCCCTTCCCGGTCACACCAGCATAGCGGGAATGCCCCACAGCAGGGCTGCAGCCACGGTCTCCAGAAGTTGCTGTGGGCGTCCAGCTGCAGAGCCACAGGGCTGAGTGTGCGGCGGTGGCCCTCCACGGCCCGAGCCACCCGCTCCAGCACCTGATGGAACGCGGGCTCCGTGTCCGGCGTGAGGGCGTGGGCCTCCGAGGGGTCCCTTGAGAGGTCAAACAGCAGAGGTGGGTCGTGGCGGGCCACCCTGTCCCCGGAGCACGGACACACCATTCTGTCGTAGCAGGCTCCCGCGCCGTCCGGGTGGAAGACCGGGGTCAGGTAGTGAACCTTCCAAACGGCTCCACCTGCGGAAGAGACAAGAATGGCGGGGGGGTGTCTCGGAAAAACGGGGCCCAGGTGCTGGACCGATGCCTTCGCCACAGGGGCGGCCGGAGGAAATGCCCAGTCAGGGCGCGTTCGAGAAACAACCGATCAGCGACCAACGTTTTTCTCTCACGTTTCTCTCCCTCTTTCTCCTTCCCTTCCCCTGCCTCTAAAAGAAACAGATAAATAAAAAATTTTAAAAAATATATAGTTGGTAAGTAAATCCCAGAGCTGGATAATTTAAAAACGACCCCTACAAAAACCAGAAAATGTTTGTCAACTGTTAGGTGGACGGTGGAGGGTGGAGGTAGAAAGTGTGGCGACACATTCCACAGTTACATTCGTGAGTGAGAGAATAAACTACCCCGGGGAGATGGATACTTTCTGAATAACAACTGGAGAGATGTAACGTTGGGAACTGTTGCTCTCCGAAAGAGACGCGTTCCTCCCACATTCCATGATGCGTTGCAGACAGCAGCCAAGCAACTTTTCATACATTTTTTTTTAAAAAGCGTGCCAGTAATTTTACAGTTCTTGGGAAAGGATGGTGGGTCCCCATAGCCCAGAACATCGTGCGGCCAGAAAAGTATTGGGTGAGCACATTGCTACGTATGTTACAACATTATGGCCAGAAAAGTATTGTTACTGCAAAGACCGAGCTGTGTAAGACGAGCTGTGTAAGACGCACAAAAGCTGTGGAGGTGGGAAGAACAGACGGGGGAGGTTGGAGACAGAAACCACGGCCGTGCAGAAGTGGATGGCTAAGGACAGAAGGAGACGAGGCCGCCCCCCGGCCCTACTCACGGTCCCGTTGGTGCCAGCGAGCGGCGTGCAGGAACGCTTCACAGTAATGCAGCAGGAACTCGTGGTCCGAGTGCGGGGCGGTGCCCAGCAGGAGAGGCAGCAAGTCCCGGCCGTCGATCACCCTGCGTGAAGCAGGACAGGGACTCAGGGACCCAGGGGACAGCAGCCACGCAACGCAGCGAGCTTAGCGGCGGCCAAGGCGTCCGTCCCCTGCCCAGGTCACCTCTGCCTAAAAACCGCTCAGGGACCAGCTCACTCTGGGGGTTACTGCCCATCTGACCTCACGGCCAATCCAAAATTCAGCCGCCGCGTCTTTGGGACGCCTTTTTGTTCCTTGATGCTGATCTGGGCTTGAAGTCGTTCTAAAGTAGTTGTGTGTTTCTGCAAGACTCAGAAGTATTGTGTCCTCCGCGTGGCCCTGTGCTTTCACGGCCTGCTTTGGCTTCTTCCCCTATGACGTGGTCCAGCGTCCCACCCCGTGGGCACCGACCCAGTCTCTCACTCCTCTCCGGAGAGAAGACGGACCCACTGGTGCTCAGGAAGAGCCACAGTCCGGCCCCTTTTCCTGCACAATGACGTGACCCCTCGCTGCACAGTGGAAAACCTTTCCCTGTGTTTTGTGACTGGATGAGGGACTCCCTATGAGCTACACATTTCCTAGAAATAATTTTCTCAGGGCACGAGGCCACCACTTGCCACGGGGGCGGGGAGGGACGTCATTCAATGCCTGTGTGGAAAACAGAATCTACTGAATGTTGCTTGCATGCGTTTGAAAAGTGTTTAGCATCCGGTGTCTCAAAACTTAGTCATGAATGCACATGATCAATGCTTACATGCCTCATGGAAAGTCACCAAACAGGTCTTTTACTCCAATAATATTAAACAGTCTTGGTCCCGTTGGAGAATTTAGGACCCTAAGTAGATTTGACTTGGACAGAAATGATGAAATAAAATGGTGTGTATATATATAAGTCTATATAATAATGGACATATATTAATATACCATACTGGATTAATATATCCATGGTATGTTAATTATAATAATTGAATGCATAGCATCTTAATACAGCTTTGATATGTTACATATTATGTCATATTCTTAGAGACAATATTCCATCCCCTATATTTATATTCTTTCCTTATATATTTGTGTATATGACGTATAATATAATGTGTTTATAGACATCTATACAATTTCCCCTGCAAACGTGTCTATTTCTAAACACACTGACAGATGTATATGTTTATTAGATATCAACGATATGCGGCCGGATTTATTTTCTGGTGAAACACACTTCTAATATACATGCCAGACATTTTTCCTTCTTGAAACACATTCAATTCTATGAATAGATTTTAAAATCAACTGCCAATGAAAGAAAATAAAGAGCCCTGGCTGGCGTGGCTCAGTGGATTGAGCGTGGGCCTGCGAACCAGAATATCGAGGTTCGGTTCCCAGTCAGGGCACATGCCTGGGTGGCAGGCCAGTTCCCAGCAGGGGACACATAAGAGGCAACCATACATTGATATTTCCCTCTCACTCTTTCTCCTTCCCTTCCCCTCTCTCGAAAAATAAATAAAATATATATATATAAAAAAAGAAAATAAAGAAACCCCAGCAACTAGAGGCATGAAATCCTATGAGAGCTCCTACCCTTTGCAACAGCATGGATGGAACTGGAGAGCATGATGCTGAGTGAAGTAGGCCAGGGGTTGAAAGACAAATACCATATGATCTCACCTTTAACAGGAAGCTAAACAACAAAACAAACAAGCAAACAGAATAAGAACAAAGACACTGAAATGGAGAACAAGGGGACAGTGACCAGAGGGGAGAGGGAAGGGAATTTAAGGGGAAAAAAAAGGGGAGGGATTTGGAGGAACAAGTATGAAGGACACAGGGACGAGAACTAAGGGGGGGGGAATGGAAGGGAGGTGGGGAGCACGGGGCGGGGGAGGCTGGGATGGGAAAAATAGACAAAAAACTGTACTTGGAAAAAACTAAATAAAATTATTAATAAAATAAAAGAAATCCCATGAGAGCAAACAAGAGAATGTAAAGTGAGTTTGGAGTCTTCCGGTGAACTATGCAATCTGTCTGCTGGGGGCCCACGGACCCCCTAACTCAGCCGTAGGTGTCTGAGCCTGCGCACACACGCAGAATGTAGGTACGTGATCACTCAGCCGCACAAGCACGTACAGAACGTAAACTGAATTTAGCTTTTGTCCTTCTGGAATGATAGACACCCACATATATACCTGGGGGCCACGGCCAGAAAACAGCTGAACCCTGTTTATGCAGAGATGGACCTGCTGACAAGCTCACTGTGTGAAAAGATTTCAGTCCGATGGTTTCTACGAGGGAGGTAATTACGCCCCCGGCAGGAAAGCGACAAGATCGAGTTTCACAGAAAACAAAGCAAAACGGAAAAAAAAACCCCAAAGGAAATTGTCTCTATCCTGCAGTGGGCAAAAGTAGGTTTCTGGTTGTTTGTATGAAAAATACAATAATTCATAATGACAGCAGGATAAACTGTGTGATTCATGTACTCACAACCACAAACCTACTTCTGCCCCCCCGAATAAGCCAGTAATGTTTTGTCTGTGCACAAAGATTTCAAAATATATAATATTTATAATATTAAATATGTTGTATTTATATTGTGTATTTATATAAATAAATACGATTTGTATCTTTATAAATGATATATAATATATCTCATATAACTTATGATATTATATAATCTACAACTTACATAGTATATAAGTAAATATGTAATATATTTAAACATCTGTGTCTGTGATATATGTAAATAATAATATATGAGCATATAGAAATAATATATATAGTATGTTTATTACATACTTGCTGCATAGTTTAATTATGTATTCTTCTCCAGGCTGTTAAAGTTATGAAATCATTTTATTTCCTTGCTATTTCCCCCTGAAATTCTCTATACATTTAAAAAATATATTTTATTTATTTATTTTTAGAGAGAGGAGAAGGGAAGGAGAAAGAGAGGGAGAGAAACATCCATGTGTGGTTGCCTCTCATGCGCCCCCTACTGGGGACCTGGCCTGCAACCCAGGCATGTTGCCCTGACTGGGATTAGAACTGGCAACCCTTTGGTTTGCAGGCTGGCGCTCAGTCCGCTGAGCCACTCCAGCCAGGGCAGTTTTCTATACATTTTGAGACGAGAACAATCGAAAGCACCTAAAATTTCTGAACTACACTGAATCGAAACTGCTTTCCTCTGTGCCTTGTTAGATTTTTCCTGGACAATGATCCTTAGAATAAAATGGGCACCATTTGACAGGCGGGAGAAGACTAGAAGAGTGTTTTTTTGTACAAAAGGAAGGAGACAGGTGACCCCGGCAGAGAAGGCAAGAGGCCGGGCCTCTCTCTCCAGGTACTGATTTTACACAATACGTGACCCCCCCACCCACACAAGCCACATCGCACACCAATGTCGTCTCGGGGGGAGTGGGAACTGATTTCTTGGGCGGCTCCGTACCTGTCCCGGGGCACCTCGCCGCCCCCCAGCTGGACCACGGTGGGGAAGACATCCATGAGGCTGGTGGGCTCGGAGACCACCCGGCCGGCGGGCAGCACCCCGGGCCAGCGGAAAATCCCGGGCACCCGGATCCCGCCTTCCCAGCCTGCCGTGCCTTTGCTGCCTGTGGTCACAGAGGAAGAGAAAAGAGAGTAGTGGACATCAGACGTGGCCGCTTGCTCTGCGTGATGGAAGCTTTCAGCTGGTCTTTGAACACATGCTCTCTCTCTCTGCCTGAGGAAATTGCTCCCCAGCCGATGTTAGATTTCATAGCTTTTCTATTCTGCCTGTTGATCCATGTCAGCCATGGACAGCAAAGCAAGTCCTCATCCAAGAATATTGTCTTTATAATCAATCGATTCTGAATTTCAAGGTAATGTGGCCACTGTGCCTGTCCATACTCTCTGAATGCATTACCTGGATACAAAATTCAAACCTGCGTCTATCAGCAGGTGGATGGACCCATGCCATGTGGTCGATCCGTACAATGGAATATTACGTGGCCATGAAAAAGGAATGCCGCAAAATGCATGATATAGTGTGGGTGGACCTAGGAAACCTTATGCTGAGTAAAAACGGTCAGCCGCAAAGGACAACATATTGAATAATTTTATTTTGACAAAGTGTTTAGAATGGGAAAACAGTGAGGGAGACAGAAATAAGCTACTAGTTGGCAGAGCTGGGCACCAGGGAAAATGAGGAATCATGATAAATGGGCACCTGAGTTTCTTTCGAAGGCGGCAAAAATATTCCCTAACTAAGTAGTGGTGGTGTTTGTGTGATTCTGAGAACGGACTAAAAACCAGTGAACAGTGCAAAAAAAAAAATCCAATATGAACGGGGCAGGTTGTGCCTTCTGCCCACAATCGACATGCAGAGTTCTTAGCCATTTTTATTGCGTCTCTTAAGGGGCACAGCCCCATGGCCGCGGAAGGGTTGGGGATTGCAGCCAAGACCACGGATGAGGATTGCGGGGGGGGGGGAACCTGTGAGCCTTACCTCTGTAGATCCCGTTCCAGCCCCCATACTGGTGGCCCCCCAGCTGAGCCTCCAAGGAACCCCCGTGATCCGACGTGAAATACACCAGGGTATTGTTGGCCAGACCCGCTGTCTCCAAAGTGTCAAGGATCCGCCCTGCGAAAAATTGGTGCGTTTGAGCCTGGCAGAATGGAAGGCTGTCTTACAGCCAATTATTTGCCTTTCGGACTTGCCCCAAATGAGACTTTCCCGGTGAAGCATCGTGGAAGCTAGAGGTAGGACAGCTGTGCTATCTCTGTGCGTCGTGGATTTAAGACCGGCACCTCTCTCTAGACTCCCCATCCTGTGTCAAGAAACTTTTAGGCATGTTCGACAAGTAATACGCTCCAGAGGACAGAAAGGGTCAACACTTAAAATCGAGACAAAAAAGAGAAGATTACAAACCAAAAGGACAGGCACCAAGAAAGCCTAGGAAGGAGGTTGATTATGGAACCAACATGTACGACCATTGTTGCAACATTGTGCTCGGAGTTCTTTAATATCTCACAAATGATGTCTTAACCCCAACGTTCACTGCCGCCTTGTTCACAGTGCCCACGGCATCAGGCAGCCTAAGTGTCCCTCGGTGGATGGAGAACAGGATGGGGAAGGTGTGGTAGAGCCACACAATGGACTATTCCTCACCCATGAAAAAGGAAAAGCCCACTCAGCCAAATTCGGCAGCACGGAGGGGCCGCCAGGGCATTAGGGGGAGGCGGGTCAGACAGAGAAACACAGATGCTGTGATCTGTAATGCGCAGGAAGACCCTTACCCGCCCGCAAGGTCACAACAGAACGGCCTTGTGTTCGGTCTGCACCCTTCCTGCGCTCCGCTCCTCATCCCTCCCCGCGGCCGGGTGAGGGGGCCGCAGCCTGCCCCCCACAGAGGCACGTACCCACCATCCAGTCCATCTCCTGCACGTTGTCGCCGTACAGCCCGTGCACGCTGCCCCCGAGGAAGTCCTCCGTGGTGACCAGAGGGATGTGGGTGTGCAGGAAGGACACAAAGAGCAGGAAAGGCCTTTGTTTGTTTCTGCGGACAAACACGAGGCGGCCAGGGCTCATTCTTTTTTCGGAACACGCGCACACACACACGCACACAGAGACCTGGCAGAGAGCCACTGAAATGAGGTTGCCCTGAGTCAGACGTGCGGCTTCTCGACTCCAACCCGACGGGGAGACTGTCCTGGCGTGTGAGTGTCTGTCACGGGACGGTTTCTCCCCGTCACAGCCTGCGGAGACACGGATGCTGATGGACGCGTCTCGAACATTACGGTTATTTTTTCACGGAACACCCTCCCAACAATGGAGAGGAAGGACCTGGGTTGTGGTTCTGTGATGGGAGGTTTATCCCACTCCATATTTGCTGTCCGTGTTTCCACCGCAGACCTGGGCTCGTACAGTGAGTGGTATTGTGTATACGGTGAAGTTCAGGGCATGAGATTGTCCTGAAAGAGCACACTTTTAAAAATAGTAAGTTATGGCCTTGGCTGGTGTGGCTGAGTGGATGGAGTGCCGGCCTGCGAATCAAAGAGTCGCCAGTTCGGTGCCCAGTCAGGGCACACGCCTGGGTTGCAGGCCAGGTCCCCAGTAGGGGGCGCACAAGAGGCTACCACCCATTGTTATTTCTCTCTTTCTTCCTCCCTTCCCCTCTCTCTATAAATGAATAAATAAAGTCTTTTTAAAAGGTTATTAATTTCTATTTGACTCTCCCTTATGTAGGCAGAGCTTCCTTTTTCCTTCCCCCTCTCTGAATTTTAGGTCTCCCATAGATTTACTTCTCGTTCCATAGAGGTTAATACTAATTCTGACAGCGTAGACACAAAGGTGAGGACCTCAGTCTCAGCTGGGGCAGGTCAGACTCGCCTGCCTGAATTAGAGAGCTAACTGTCAGTCTGCACCTCACACATGGGAGGGGACTACATCAAGGCCTCTCAGAGAATGTTCCAGAACGGGATCCCAGCTGCATGGCTACGGGTGGGTTCCACTTTATTGGAACGCTGCCTGTCTGTGTGACGTGACTTATCTATCATCAGGCCCTTGTCGCTCGGACAGGACTTCCTTCACCAGGAATCTGCCCTGAAGCCTCAGGACCCCTCCTCAGTCTGGGTGGTGGAGTTGAAACGGATTCAGAGTTTTCCGTACAGGGTTGTGAGGTGATTCATGTTGCTGGGTCCGTTCCACGTGGCCCCCTGGTGGTGAGGGGCTCGTGGAATGAAATTCCTCCCCAAGTAAAAGGAGAGCGCGTTCATTCAGTGGGAGCCTTACCTGGTTGCGTTGCTCGTGGCTCGTGGTAACCAAAACGCCTCTCTGGGACCCCCCACCATTTCACCAACTGAACACCCAGGGCAGAAAAAGACCCCCCCCCCCGAACGCGTTTCCGTCGTGAAACCCGGCACCCTCTGGCGCTCACCTGTCGACAAACGCCGAGACCTCCCGGAGGAAGAGAGGCGTCGTCCTGGACAAGTTCATGGGCTGCTCGGTGATGCTGTGGTTTCTCATCAGGAAGCAGTCCGCGTGCACCACCAGCGTGCCGATGAAACGCGAGGCCGTGAAGAACAGGACGGCCACAGCCGCGGGGCAGAGGGCCAGCGCCCACGAGAGGCTGAAGAGGCCGATGCGCTTCCCTGCCGCGAGCCCGAGGGCAACGCAGCTCGCCAACACCACGTACCAGTCGAGCCTGCGCTTCAGATATTCCTGCTTCTCCGAAATCACCCATGTGGCGCAATCCGCCATCATGGAAAACGGCATCCCGTAGAAGTGGTCGAAGCCGTGGTTCAGGGGGTGGTGGCAGTGATCTGCAGAGGATCTGCAGTTCAGACCCAGGTGCCATTTTCCTGAAAGGCGAGAAGGATGATGTTGGGATGACGGCGGGCTTATTCCCCTTGGGAGGCGTGTAGGGTGCGCCTGCTGTCCTTAGTTTTATTCCGCTGCATACGTGACATGCTTTGTTGACCTATCAAAAGATAGAAATGGGCCCTGGCTGGTGTGGCTCAGTGGATTGAGCGTGGGCCTGCCAACCAAAGGGTCGCCGGTTCAATTCCCAGTGCTGGCACGTGCCTGGGTTGCAAGTCAGGTGGGTCCCCAGTAGGGGGCGCTCAAGAGGCCACCACACAGGGATGTTTCCCTCCCTCTCTTTCTCCCTCCCTTCCCCTCTCTCTACAAATAAATAAATGACACCCTAAAAAAGATAAGAATGCTATTTATGGAAGCAGAGAAAGGAGAATTGAAGCAGTCCCATTTCTATGCAGAAAAGGAAGGAAACATCATCCTGGAAGTCGTCGCTGGGAAATGGGTAAAATTAGACACACGGCGAATGTTTGGGATGATGGTGAGTCAGCAAACTGGCCTCACTGGGCTGCTGTTTTCTCCACATCTGGACACCCTGCAACCTGAGCCGCAACCTGAGCCGTAACCTCGGCGCTGCTGGGGAGAAGCTTCCTGTCCAGTGGGGAAAAGCCACTCCCTTCCTGGGCCTTTGGTTAAAGACACTCTGCGCACAAACAGAAGCTGATTTGCGCTTGCAACGGAACGTACCTATGAGTCCAGTGGCATAGCCTTGACCTTGTAGTATCTTCGCAAACGTGGTCTCGTTGGTCGGAAGGCCTCCCGGGACCCCAGTCCACAGCAGAACGCGGTTGCCTTGGCTGGACACCATGCCTGGGGGTAGTTGTCAGAGAAAGGTGACCGCTCAGCACTGCTCATGACCACGGTCATTTGAATCTTCTCTATCCTCCTGACAGCTGGCATTCAATCTTGGATTAGTCTCCGGGTTATTGGTATATATCCCTGCAAGGCGATCCCCTGACGGACCCACTGGCCACCACACATGGTACAGAGTCCAGCGGTCTTCATGTCCCCACGACTGCTCTGCAGCAGGCAGCCTCAGCCCTGTCCTCTGTCCCACCCAGCCCGCCCACACCCCCCTCCCCTCTGGCCACGTCCTCCGGGTCTGTGAGCCTGTTTCTCTTCCGTTTGCTTGTCAATGTTGTTCTTTCAACTCCACAGATACGTGGAGTCATGTGGTATTTGTCTTTCTCTGCGCACGAGAAAAACACCCTCTGGGTTCACCTGTGTTGTCCCAAGGGGTCAGACGACACTCTCCTTCCGCCTGAAATATATTCTGTGGCCTCTGCCCGACACCCTCTTTATCCAGTCATTTCTCGGTGGGCAGTCGTTAATCACGACTGTTAGTGTCAAATGTAGACTATTTGAGGAAAATCCCCACTAGTCCAAAGGAGACGGGAAAGGTACTTCTGCCATCTGGGTCATAGTTTCTGCAGCCAATAAAATGGTCAACCGACTGAAAAGGTTGGCAAGGATACTCACTCCTTTTTGGCGCGTGAAGGTTAGGTATACAAAGAGCAGGAAATCACAAAGACAGACTTAAAAATGGCTTTAGGGTTTCACCAACGTCTGGGTATGGTCTGGCGGTTTCCCAACGCACGTTGGAACCACTGGGGAACCTGCAAATATTCTGACACCTGCTTATCCCTCCGGAGGCCGGGATTCTATCGAGGAGACGACCCGGCGCGGAATGAGTGCTTTGGAGTGGTGGCAAGAGCCCTCCACGTGCTCCCAATGTGTGGACGAGGTCGTGCACGTTCAAAGGGTCGGGGAAAATGGAAATCCTAGACCTGTACGGCGTCACGTGCGGAAGGAAGGGATGTTCATGTTCCAGCACGCGTGAAGGAAGCGTCCCCGGGAGACCGCTGCGTGCCCCCCCCGCCGTGTTACACTGTGTCTACAGATGCTCTCACACTAGGACAGAGTCGAGTCCTCGCAGCCCTGAGAGCCAAACGCGTTGACCAACTAGCCCTTCACAGAAAACGTTTCTCCCTCCTCCCCTATGTGGTCCCCCACACCACAGGAAGCCACCAAGTGGGCCACTCCCTGCCCATGTCCCTTGTTAAGCTATGGAGCCTATAAATCAGTCATTTCAACACCATGACTCCCCGCCTGGTGTGGCTCAGTGGATCGAGCGCCGGCCTGTGAATCAAAGAGTCACTAGTTCAATTCCCAGTCAGGGCACATGCCTGAGTTGTGGGCCAGGTCCCCAGTAGGGGGCGCACAAGAGGCAACCACACCTTGATGTTTCTCTCCCCCTTTTTCTCCCTCCCTTCCCCTCTCTCTCAAAATAAATAAATAAAATCTTAACAAAAATATCACGATAAAAATCGGGGACACTTGCTCCGGCCAGGGGGCTCGGTAAATTACAGCATCGTCTTGACATGCTAAGGCTGTGTGTGGGTTTGGGCACACTTGGCCGGGTGGCTCAGGTGATCGGAGCGTCGTCTCCTACACCAAAAAAAAAAAGCCACCGGTTTGATCCCCAGTCAGGGCAGGTTACCTGGGTTGTGGGTTCCACCCCTAGTTGGGGTGTGTGCAAAAGGCAGCCAGCTGATGTTTCTTTCTCCCATGGATGCTTGTCTGTGTCTGTCCTTCTGTGTCTCTGTCCCCCTCTCTCTCTCTAAAATCAGTCAAACGTATCTTTCTGGGACGATCACAAAGAACAGGGGGGCTCGGACCACTCTGTCCCCTCTCCTGGAGGATCCACGCCTTCCTAAGGGGACCGAGGGGCTTCAGGCAGGCTGTTCCTGGGAGTCGGCGCAAGAGGGGACCTACCGGATCGGAGAGGGTACCTGCCCGTGAGGAAGGCGGCCCGGCTTGGGGTGCAGACGGAGGCGGCCGCCAGGTGCTGGGTGAGCCGCACCCCTTCCGCGGCCAGGCGGTCGATATTCGGAGTCCTGCGGGGAAGAAGACGACTCGTTTCATTCTTTCACCAACAATGGCCTAAGAGACACATTCCCGGACTCGTGCAGGGGTTCCTAGCAATGACCAGAGGCAGGGGCGAGAGCTGTCTTTGTCTTCTGAAGCAGCAGAGACACCCGTCAGGCCGCCCTGGCTGGGCGGTGCCGTGGGTTTCCCTGTCGGTCAGAGCGGGTGCCTGGGCCGTGGGATGGGTCCCCTTGGTGTACGGCAGGCAGGCGACCAACCGGTGCTGCTCTCTGACATCGGTATTTGTCTCCCTCCCATCCCGTCCAAGCATGGCCTTGAGTGAGGATTAAAAAAATTATAGTAATAATAAAATGCAAAAGCAAAAGAAGTGCATGGAATTGCTTCAAGCTTATGCACTAGGCTTCTGCAGCTGACGTGCGTGTCTGGGGAATGCAGAAGGCGGGATCCGTCCGACTGCGGACTCACGGTCCTGGTGGGAACACTGGACCTTCCTGGCCGGCCCACGGAAGTGGTATGTGAGGGCAGGAGTCGCGCACAGCTCCGTGGTGGCCTGCGAGGACAGTTAGCAGGTGGCCGAGGGGGGCGGGCTCATGGTGGGCTAGACAGAGTCGCAGAGCCGGACAGATGCTCAGGTCCTGAGGGGCCGGCAAGTGAGGTTGTCTGTCTGAAGTGGAGATTTCTGGGGGGCGGCCTTGGAATCACGCACAATTGGGTGGGTTTGCTGGGGTGGGGGGAGGCGCAACAGGCACAGAGCTTTGGTCTTTGCCTTACGGGCATGGGCTGTGTCGATGGCCATTGTAGTTAGAAGTGAAAAGGTAACTGGTAGGTGAGGTGGGTAGGTGGGTAACTGGTAGGTGAAGGGGGCATGTCTCGGGCTGGGGGCGCGGCAGGATCAGGGATGCCGAACGCCGTGTACAGAACTCAACCTTCCCACGGCCCACATCCAAGCCGAGAGGCCTTGCACGGCTCACTTCCGGGCTTTATTCTCTCCTTCTTGCCTGATTGTGTTGTTGCCATAGCAGCCGACGTCCCCGATGCCCAGATCATCGGCCATGAGGAGCAGAATATTGGGGCGGGAGCCGGAGAAATCCCTCCCATCGGAGGGTCTGCAGGCCAGTAGGCAGATGCCCACGGCCAGCCAGCTCCTGGAAAAGAGGGCGGGAAACCCGTGCCAAATGCTGCTTTCTGCCTCATCCACAGACTTCTGTGGGGGAACGTGGGTGTCTCTAGTGTAGGGGACCCTGACTTCACATCCCATGGCCGCAGGCATGGAAAGCATCTCTAGGGCACTTGGTTGCTGGGGTTTTTTTTTCAGCTGAAAACAACAGATACTCTTCTATTTGTGACCCAGGGTTTGCACAGACACTGGGACGATAGTCCCCCAATGGCCAGCATCCTAAAATGAAGGTGCCTGACCGGCCACTTGGAAAAGCGGGTGCCCAGCCAAGTCCACGGGAGAGGACAGACTGGGAAGTCACAGGAGGGCCTGAGACCAGCCGGGCCCGGCCGCCACCTCCCACTGAGGAAGCCCCCCAGACCTGCATGGCTACTTGGATGGGGAAGGTGGGGACACTCAGCTCCTTCCGAAGGTGCCCTGGACACCCCCAGGTGATGGGCCTCGTGGGGACACCTTTGCATGGTGAGTCTCCCTCCCCGTTCTGAGACCCGCGATCCGTTGCTGATGGAGCAAGACCCCTTGTTCCGGGCGCATTCCCAGATAGCTCCGGGGGGCACGCGGACGCAGGGATGGGAGGTTCACCGCCTCACCGAGTCTCGTCTTACCAAGAACGTTCCAGAGGTATCATGTTCTGCCCCGACTGGGAGCTCCTGTGAGGAACAGAGAGAGCCATCATTCGTGGCCACGGAGAATCAGCTCACGAGACAAGTGGAACTCGGGAGGCGAGTCCAGAGAGGGGGACTTGGATTGTCTCTGCTACGGTCCCTAAAGCCCTAAAGCAAGTACCGAACACCCCGAAAAGAGTGGTGCTGTGCCCTGTGGCGAGGTCTTGAAAGGGCCAACTGTGCCCTGTGTATCGAGGGCCCCGTGGCACGTATTTCGGGTTTTTCTGCACGGAGGGTCACGCCAGTCCTTCCGAGCTGTTGTGGGTGGAGCACCGTGTGGGGAAACACGCCAGGGACTGGGTGTGGGTGTTGGCCGGGCAAACTTTATTCACAAAAACACGCCAGGCTCATCCTTGTATTGGTTCCTGATCGCTCCTGGAGAGGGACCGTGTGTGAAGGGAAGAAACACGCAGAAATGAAATGATGGGAACGTCTCTGTGGAACGGTCTTCGGGGTGGCGGTTGCTCGTCATGGCAAATGCACACAAGAACATGTGCCCCGTGAAACCCTGGTCCGTGTGCACTTCAGTGGCACTGGGGACATTCAGGTCATGCCATTGTCCCCCTCACCTGCTGCACGGTGATTTCCCGTTGGGAAACTGAAACTCTGTGCTAAATATTGACGTCCACTGCCACCCCCAGTCCCCAGAGCCATGTCCCCTCTGTCCCTGTGCGTCCGACCCCTCTGGGGACCCCTCTGGGGACCACCGAGAAGTGGAATGACACAGTCTTTGTCCCCCTGTGAGGGGCTGTCCCCGAGCCTCGTGACTTCCTGCCCTCACGTTGGAATTCACAGCAGGACGGTGCTGCTGTGTCCGGCTGGAGGCCAGGGCAGAATACGGAAGGTGCTGCCCACTGGGTCCCTGTCCTACAAGGGGACAGTTGGCATATCACACACGTGTGTGGACAGAGCCCCGAGTCTGCGCATGCTCACTCTTGTTTCCACCCCATCGACAGGAGTCTCATCTCTCACTTGTTCCTTTGCGGCGATTTTTTTTGTGTGACATAATTCTTCAATCACTACCTCTCAGGGAGTCTATATGAATATTTCTGTATACATATACATCATATAAAATACATAGCCCATGCATACATAAAATACATACACAGGACAGGCGTATTATATAAGATACTCAGTATATCATATCCTCTAAGGTAGAGAAGATTTCCCCTTTCGATCTATTTTAATTTTTTTTTTCTCAGCAAAAGCATAGTAGAGGACTGGATAAAACAGTTGTGGAATACTACGTGGCCTTGAAAAATGAAACAAATGTTACCTTCTGCCACGGGCCTGGGTGAACCTGGAGCGCATTACGCTCAGCGAAACAAGCCGGGTTGTGAAAGACACGGGCCACATGATTTCACTCACCTGTGGAATCCAATCCACAAAGTAAACAGAGGAGGAAGAAAGTGGAGACAGAGGCAAGGACACATGGACAGACGCACACCTGCCAGGTCGGGGGAGGGGGGCTCGGGGAAAGAAGGGGAAGGGCACAGTGAAACAACCAGAATGCCTGACCCATGGACCCATGGACACAGCCCACGTCTTAAACAACCGATTCTGCATATTCAGATACAGCCAAGAATTAGAGCATTACACCTTAGCACTGAGGTCGGCCTTTTAGCCGTTAACCATGCTGCAGACTTTGTTTTGCTTCACGTTTGCTCCGTGGGTGCCAGAGAAAACTTTCCATGAGCAAAACAGCCAAAGAACAGAAAACAGAGCGAGGCCCTCCGGGGCTGGTGGGGTGGGCGGGGCGGGGAGCTGCGTCTGAAGGACACAAAGTTGCCAGCGGCAGCGGACTGAGGTCTGCGGACCTCGCCACCTAGCGTGGGCGTTACCCTCAGCAACACTGTGGCACCGACTCACCAACTGTGTCTTAATTGCTCTCAACGCAGAACCAGTGCAGGGTAATTCTGCAACATCCTGAGGCGTTGGCTCACAGTGTTGTGACCATGATCTTGCAAAAACCCAGGTGTCTTAAGACACTGTGTACAGTGAAAGTTACTCCAGATTATCTGTCCATCATACCTCCGTTTGAGGAGAAGATTCCCAAAAACAGGAATAAAATATTTCCAGTGGGTGGCACCGGGAATTTAGCCCTGGGTTCTGTTCCCAGGGCAGAGGGAACTTTCCGGGGTCTGGCTGTCCTCCAGCCCCCAGGGCAGCCAGCCTGGTGTCACCACGGCTGGGGACTCTGTCCCCAAACCCAGCCTGGGTTCCCGCCTCCACCGTCTCTTGGACATCCAGCCCGCGTCTTGTGCCATCTCTGAAAGTCGAGTCGAGCCCCTTTCCACCCCCACTGGGCGCTTTTCCCCGTGAATTTGCCTGTGCATTCCTCCTGGGGAGAATCCCTGAGGCCTATTTTCCCATTTGGAGGGCAATGAGCTTCTTTGTCCCCGCCGAAGGCTGCAGGACTGGAAGCCATGGCTGGCCACCCCGTGTCTCCCGGTGCCGGTGGACCGCACCTGGGAGAGAAGCGCGTTACCTGGATGCCGGCTGTGGCGTGCTGGGCCAGGCGGAGGCCACCCCAAGGAGGCTTGTGCGGGCGACCTCTGTCTGAACTGCGGGACCCGAGCTGCTGCCGGCTGGGAGTCGCCCCCTCTCCAGTGGAGACACCGGTATGCAGCAACTGATTGACTCTTCAAATAAACAAAGTTTGCAGAGAAGGCAGCTGGCAGCTCTTGGAGAAGGAAGCAGGCCGACTGCTGACTGCAGTCTCCTCTCCTCTGCACACTGGGTCCCGCGGGCCAGACACCTCTCCCTGAAACAGTGCCGGCTTTATTCACCCGCCTTCTGGCCTCCTCTTAACCCACAAAAGGCCTGGCCTGGCTCTCCTCCAAGCGGGGAAAGCAGTCGCCTTGAAGAGTCTGGAGAGATTTGTCTCCCCCTCCCCTCCGACGGTGGCCTGAGAAAATCAAAGGGAGACAGACTAGCCACAGTGTGCAAAGGACTGTTTCCCTCGATAACCATATATTATAGCCTGCACGTAAACTTATTTTGGGCTCTGTGCCGATGTTTTTTTCATTAAGAACTGCTTTCTTTTTTTTTTTTTCATATGGTTGCAGACATTGTTTCTTCGACAACATCGGAAGTAAAAACACTTCTTTTCAAAGATGTTACTGAATGAGAACTTTTGCCCCCGTCTGGGTGTTGAATCCCAAACAACATGCTTGTTTTCAAAGTTTTCAAAGCCCCACATGTGGTGGTGTTTTTTTTTTCATACTCAGTGGCCAGGGCGTTGTTCAGTTTTTGTCTGAGACTCACGTGGCTAAAGAACCATTTCGAGTGCGCTGCTGCTCACCAGAGACAATTCTCTTCTCCTTTAATCCTCACCGGAGGAGGTGCTGATTGACTTCGACTTCACAGAGAGGGGGAGGGGGAAGAGAAACACTCATGTGAGAGAGAAACATCGGTCAGTGGCCTCTCAGTGCACCCCAAGCAGTGACCATACCTGCAACCCAGGTGTGTGTCCTGACTGGGAATCGAACCTGCAACCCGTCGGTGAACGGGACCCCGCTCCAACCCACTGAGCCGCCCCAGCCGGCCCCCGAATGATGGTTCACAGCTCTAACAAATCCACAGGGGAAAGTTCAGCGACCGTGGAGGTAGGAATACTGACCCACACTGACTAAATGACTGTTGAAAAGGGCTTTCAACATGCTTGGAATTCTTTTGGCGCAACTCCAACCAAAAACTAAAAACAAACAAACAAACTAACCAAAATCTGTCTCTGGGGTATTTTGAAAAAATTCCCAGGTTGTCTTCAGTTCAAACTATGACCTCTTCCTTTTTCTGTTCTTCTGATGGTGGCTTTAGGCTGCACGGGGCATCCCAGTCTCCGGGTTAAGATTTATAAAGGGACCCACTTGAAAATCTTTGAATATGAATGGGTCAGAAAACTATGGCACATTTACACCATGGAATTCTATGCAGCAGAGAGAAAGAAGGAGCTCCTACCCTTTGCAACAGCATGGATGGAACTGGAGAGCATTATGCTGAGTGAAATAAGCCAGGTGTTGAAAGACAAATACCATATGATCTCACCTTTAACAGAAAGGTAAATAACAAAACAAACAAGCCAGCAGGAAAAAAAACAAAGACACTGAAATAGAGAACAAGGGGGACAGCGACCAGAGGGAAGAGGGGAGGGAATTTCAGGGGAGAAAAGGGGAGGGATTTGGAGGAACAAATGTGATGGACACAGGGATGAGGACTGGGGGGTGGGGAATGGGAGGGAGGTGGGAGCACAGGGTGGGGGAGGCTGGGATGGGAGAAATAGACAAAAAACTGTACTTGAACAACAATTAAATAAATTAAAAGCAAAGAAAATCTTTGAATATGCATGCCACTGTACTGGTCCCGATCCCCAATGTGATTAAAAGAGAAAAAAATGTTCCCGTCAGGCTAAGATAAATACGTAGGTTTCATGAGAAAACTCCTCCTATGTTGGTGGCCTATTTTTTTCCCCCAAAACTCTGTGAAGGTTGCTTTTAATCTCAACTATCAGCATCTCTGTCAAAACAGCTGAGTCTTGTATCCACGGCGGCCCTGTGTCATTGGGTCATTCCTGTACTTGCTAAAATTTTTGGTGTTTTAGCTCCTCCTCAGCTTCTGAAGTGGGACGGATTCGAGTGCTGGAGGGAGGTATGCGTTTGTTTTTTATGCACTTTCCACCCCTCTGCCCCAGGCACTCAACCACAGCAGAGCAAACCCGTTTTGAGAGGATGTAACTGCGCCCAGGGAGGTATTTTTTCCACACCTCCTTCCCTCCCCTCCTTGCGGTCATAACTGAGGAAAGTCAGGCTCACAGAGAGTAACTAACTCCACGGACAAGGGCAAATCTCAGGGGCCGAGCTGGACGTCTGAAGGGAAGACCTCTCGCTCCCCAAGTCTCGCTTTCCAACACCAGGCTACAGCGCCCCTCGCTGGCGGGCATGCTCTCTGTCATCGAATCAGAGTGCAGGACCAGATTTTAGCTCGTTAGCAGCTTCTCTAGGGGAACCCCTGGAACCGTGGTTGTAGGGAGACAGTCTGGGTCCCAGGTGAGCAGGACCCCCCTCGCTGCCCCGTCTTCCAGCCCCCCTCTCGCCCAACACCCACACGCCTGATGTGGGACTCCTCCATCTATCTCTTCCACTAGCTTCTGTGTTCGATAGCTGCATGTTTCATCCAATTACGCTGCAAAAAAAAAGGAGTAAAATCTCCCACTGGATGAGTGGATAAGGGGTCTGCATTCAGTTCCCCCCAAAATAACAGCACCTGCAGGCCAGAAGGTCACACACGGGACTCTAGACCACTGCGGTCCCACTCCGATCTTTGCCGGTGCAAGGAACGGCGGACGCCACGGAATCTCCCTCCACATCTGTGCAAGACGCGTGTGTCAACTTCCCAGAGGGCCATCCTGGTCCATTTCGGGACGTGGGATTCAGACCTTGGGTTGCACAAAAGCTCAAACTCAGGGTGTGCAGCTGAGATGCAATGAAATATTCCTCAGCCGTGAAGGAGACTACGATGCTGTCGTTTCTGACCGCACGGGTGGACCTAGAAGGTATTCTGCAAAGTGAGTGATAAAATACGTTACAAATGTCTAATTCTCATCCAAGCCTGCTGGCCACATGGGGGGCCGTGGGCTTGGCCCACACAACACGGCTTTCCACCTGCAACCTGGGAAACGCACAGTGTGTGTGTGCAGAACAAGAGAAGACATGCCTGTATAAATAATCCTGGCCCCCAGAAACATCTTGCTTCTCCAGAAATTCGGGGGCCTGTGCGCATAGGTCCCACTGTTGCCAGACAATTTTCCTGGGGGCATCCGTCAATTGTCACGACAATTGTCAACAGGGGGCATCCGTCCGGTCTTGCCCAGACATCCCGGTCACCAGCCCGGGTTACAAGGGAGGACAAGCCTGTTTCAGCAGGATTTCATGAGGATCGTGTTCCTGAACGTTGGGTGCAAGGTTGTCTCGGAGTGGGGGACATTGCCACCTGTAAACTCGGGTGAGGAGGGGGCCCCGCCCCCCGGACGTGTGGGCTGAGAGCAAGTGACACTTTGTTGGTCCCAGGATATGGCCCTGAGGACCAAGAGACTCCTCTAAGTACAGGATGGTGTTGAGCAAGCCGACTTTGCCTGCTTGGTAGTCTATTCCCGGTCCCTCCCTCTTACTGCTGAACTGTAGCCTTGCTTAAGTTTTCACGTTTTGTTTTATTTCATTTCCCCTTTATTGATCTAGGGGACACTATTGCAGATGTCCCCCATCTCCTCCCCGTTGCTGCCCCCCCTTCCCTGGGTCCACACCACACCGCTGTCTGTGTCCATGGGTCAGACATGCGTGTTCTTTGGCTGAGCCCTTCCCCTTCTTTCCCCCAGTCCCCTCCCCTCTGACAGCTGTCAGTCTGTCCGTGTGTCCATGCCCCTGTTTCTGTTTTGTTCCTCAGTGCATTCGGTTGATCAGGGTCGACCTGTAAGCAAGGGCAGAGGGTAGTTTTCTCCTTCTGACTTATTTCACGCAGCACCCCACTGGTGGGAATACACCCTAAAAATCCCCCCACACGACTTCGAAAGAAGATAGGCACGCTTATATTCCGAGCAGCGTTATTTACAATCACTGAGATTGGCAGACAGTCCAAGTGCCCATCAGTAGACATGTGGATTCAAAAGCTGTGGTGCATCTGCACATAAATATTTTGTGGCTGTAGAAATGGGGAAAAAATATCTTTTTGTGACAGCATGCATGGAATGGGTTAAGCTTTTTTAAAAATATTTTTTCTTTAAAAAAATTTTAAATTTATTTTTAGAGAGAAGGGAATGGAGGGAGAAAGAGAGAGAAACATTCGCGTGTGGTTGCCTCTCATGCGCCCCCTACTGGGAGCCTGGCCTGCAACCCAGGCATGTGCCCTGACTGGGAATCGAACAAGCAACAAGGGTTTGCTTCACAGGCCCGTGCTCAATCCACTGAGCTACACCAGCCAGGGCTGGGTTAAGCTTTTTAAAAAAGTTCTCGTGGCAGAAAACGTTTCCGATACCATCATTAAATCCCCGTAATGATAGATGCGTGTTTGCTGCCGATCAGGAGCAAGAGAGGAGAGATGTCTTCCCTCGGTAACCATGGAACAGGTGTCCCAGCAGGTCGTGTTTGCATGTAACAGGGATGGAAAGACTCACACAAGGCTCTGCTGTGGTCACTCGTACGTGTTTAATTAGAGCGAGGAGCACAGAAACTCAGAGCTGGGGCACCAGCTCCCCCTTGCAGGTGCTCACACCACAACTCATTTCAACTCAGTAAAATATGTTTGGTTCATTCTAATCCCAGTCCTGTGTGCTTATGAGCTCAGTGGGGGTGGAGGATGGAGCAGTGAGCACAGATTTTATTCAACCAACTCTCTTTTAAAAGGCCCGGAATTGCATATACATGGAATTCTGCAGCGTCTTTCGCCTGCCTGCTTTTGTGCCCGAGCCCCATGCGGTGAATGTGGTCTGCATTCACCACTCACTCCCTGTTGCGGCTGCCGACTGTTCCGGTGGGTGCTGGGCGCCCTGGAGTTGCTCCCCTCATTCGCCTGTGTGTCAACACTCGGATGGCCACATTCTGTTTTCTGCACTGGGCTTCATGGGTTTTGGAACTTTTATACCATTCTCCGGAAGGTAAGGAGAACTGAAGATCACGGCGGTGAGGGACATGGGTTGGGTCATAAAATGATGTCTATGTGACTTTGTGAACC